GTAGGGTCGTCTGTCCAACCTCGTGGGTTATCTCTGGGTCCTCCGGTTTCCTCCCACTGCTAAAGACCCCTATGCACAAGAGAATTATTGAAATAAAATTAAACCATGTGTTAGTCCCAAAATGACCTAGTGTGTGTTGAGTGGAGTTAAATCTCTCTCTCTCTCTCTCTCTCTCTCTGGACTGTTATCTTAAAATCAAGGATACATCTACAATTGGGGAGGAGGGGGGATTAGGACCTTTGTTTAGGGAAAGATGTGAACTTTGTTTTAAAAAAATTTACGAAATTTTATAACCTTTTAAAACACTAAAGCAGGTAATCTTTTTAAGATTACATGTATGTTAGCTGATACAAAAAAAAAGTGTTTTGGACTCTTACATTCATTATTTCATGTTTGAAAATGTATGGAACATCTTTAATTTAGACAAAAATTAGTAGCTATGTTAAAGGGGAAGACCAACGATTTTCAATAAGGTTTCCATAAATATTAAATATATATTTAGAAATAATCCCTCCTATAACATATGCAAAAAATAATTTGCAAGCGAGAAATTAATTTTTATTAATACCGGAAGTGACGTAGTTGGTTCGACACGCTCACTGGTCACTATAGTAAACATACAAATTTGGAGCAAGTTTAGCGCTGATTTTGTGATCGTTTCACCGTTTGGCAGAAAATCTGATGAAAGGTAATCTTTATTAGGATATTAAGAACAAGAACTTACGGTGTTTTGAAGGTATAATATACAACGCGTTTGTGTAAATTAAGTTTCTAAACTGGACACTGTGACACAATTTAAGCCACATGGCTAATTGTTTACATCACGTGATAGCTGGCACGTGACAGATATTAACCGAACACAAATTGGCGACCTATTCGGCTAGCGACCTATTCGACCGATCCAGCTGGCAACCTGTTCGTTGGCAACCTATTCAGAATGAGAGCGCACCCCTTTAATATGATTGTGCCAACTTTTACTAATAATATTTCGAAAGCTTATTTAATCAGCTTTCGGAATATATTTAGTTGGATGTCCAGAATTTTGTAAGATAATGCGAAATTACATCTCTATTCTGAGCTAAAGGAATGGATAAATGATAATATATTCTACTTTCATTTGATAGACGTTACGTTGGATTTTATTGGTTGATAAAATAGATGAGTTTGGGCGACTGTTGAATTTATTCTGAATAGGTTGCCAACGAACAGGTTGCCAGCTGGATCGGTTGAACAGGTCGCTAGCCGAATAGGTGGCCAATTTGTGTTCGGTTAATATCTGTCACGTGCCAGCTATCACGTGATGTAAACAATTAGCCATGTGGCTTAAATTGTGTCACAGTGTCCAGTTTAGAAACTTAATTTACACAAACGCGTTGTATATTATACCTTCAAAACACCGTAAGTTCTTGTTCTTAATATCCTAATAAAGATTACCTTTCATCAGATTTTCTGCCAAACGGCGAAACGATCACAAAATACAGCGCTAAACTTACTCCAAATTTGTATGTTTACTATAGGGACCAGTGAGCGTGTCGAACCAACTACGTCACTTCCGGTATTAATAAAAATTAATTTCTTGCTTACAAATTATTTTTTGCATATGTTATAGGAGGGATTATTTCTAAATATATATTTATTATTTATGGAAACCTTATTGAAAATCGTTGGTCTTCCCCTTTAACTTTGCAAGTAAATTAGATGTGTTATCAGGTTTTGTAGAGAATGTAAGCCCTGTGTACTTGGATTAATATAATCAAATCTGCACATGTATCAACACTTTATTTGCAAAATCAACAAAAGACGAAACTTAGAATTTTGTGCTAAGTAAAGATGAGAGATGTCTTATCTTTATTACCTACATAATATATACTTACCTATATCACATTACCGTATATTACAGTACTTTAACATAATACATTCCTTCACAGGTCAAACCACAACAAGTTAAAGTTCAAATGTTATAATACAAATGAACTCAATGAACATTCAGTCAATGACTTTAAGATGAACTGGTTTTTTGTAACAACTATTTGAAGGACTTTATTGAGATTTATTGAGTCATCAATTAAATTAACCCCACATGACAAATTTATTATTGTACATGTACTTGTTCTTTAAGTCATCTAGATTGTCTTCTTGCCGTCAATATACAAATATTTACTTTCTGAAAATAAAAATCTATAGAGCTATTAAATAGAACAAAAGCTTTATATAACATGACTTATTTGACATAATGTTAAAGCAAAAGTGCAGTACCGAGAGTCTGGCAAGAGACAACGTATAGTTGTTTAGATGGGAGGAAAAATCGAGGTCCCGTGTACACATTGGCATGCATGTAAAAGATCCCTTGGCATTTGGAATTCAATATATCACTGGGCAAAATTTCACTCCTAAGACAGTGGGTGGTGTATGTTTGTCTTCGTTTGCAGAATAGAACACTAGGACATTAATCCCATTTCATTTCTTAAAGCACAATTCCATGACTACTGGAAGATAACAAATAAGTAAGTTAACTAAACCTTTTATATAAAATTGTGTATACACAATAAATAATCAGGAATATACATGTATATAGGGCTGTAAAAACATAGTACATGTAGGTAAAATTTATAGATTGAATGTTTAAACCTTTGATGTAAGCATTTATATTTAGTTCTGTGAAACCATTGTATGGGTGATTGGTTGAATATGTCATCATATGCATGCCATGAAGGTGATAATTAATTCTTGTGATTGACCTAGATTTACCATTATATACAGTTAGCCATTACAAATTGGCATTATGTGGGCTGAGTGTTTTGCTTGATTCTCCCTGAGAAGAAATCAGGATGTCACCGACACATACATGTAAACTATGACTTGGGTTGCGTAGACCTTCAATTTATAAAGTATGGTGGAATTTTAAGATTTCATATAAAAACTGGTTGCTAGCTATATGATATATATTGTAGGAAGCCGGTTTTATATTTCTTCACATATGAGAACTAATGCTTAACACATGCGATAACATTTGAAAGTAATTTTAAGCATAAACATGGAATTTCCTCAAGCCTTTGGGAATAAATGCCCTCCTGTAGTTATCTAAACAGTTTACTCATCAATGGTAGAGGAAACAGGTCATGTGGTAGTCTGTTGTGTATCTGCAATGTTTTGTTGTCCCCCGCCTTTCGAAGAAAGCAGGGGACTATTAAAATGGGTTCGTCTGTCTGTCTGTCTGTCTGTCTGTCCGTCACACTTTTTGGGACACAATAACTCTCCTAATTGACCTAGAATGTTTAAACGTGGTGTAGGTGTTTATTAGGTCAATGCCTTGATGGAGTGTGAAGATAAGCATTTTCTGCTTAGGGTAAGCAAAGATAAGCAATTTGATTGGTTGATGCTTTGGGACACGATAACTATCTGATAGAGAGTGATGAAACTTAGTGTATAGTTGATAATCAGTTTGATTGCTTGATACTTTGGAAAAAAAATAGATGTGCGATTAATTAATATGTGTCATCTATTTATTTGGGGATTTCGGCGGGGGACATCAGCCTCACTGTTGGCTTGTTTAATATAAATTAGCTATGTTTTACTGTTAACCAAAACGGAAATACTCCATGAAGTACATAATTACAACTTTGTACATTGTATATTTGCAATAATATAAGGAATTAATATTCTGCATATACAAAATATTACTACCGGGTTTATTTATTTTACCCCCTAATTATTGTAAACAGTCTGCTAGACAAGGTAACATACCCAAACAGGGGGGATCACGTGGCTAAGTGGGTAAGACACTGGCTCGCTAGCCTGGAGGTCAGGTGTTCGATCCCTGCATTGGCCGAGAAAGTTCATCCAGATTTTCCGGCGTGGTTTCCCCTTGTCGGTGATGCAGGATGGAGGCCCTGACAAGGACAGCTGTCTAGTCGTTTGGATGGGACGAAAAACTGAGTCCCCGTGTACAAATTGGTGTGCACGTAAAAGATCCCTTGGCAGTTGGAATTCGGTATAAGAGTAGGCTGTAGCGCCACTGCCCGGGCAAAATTTCCCTCATAGCACACTGTATGGCATGTGCCCGTCCTCATTAGCCCAGTTTAGGAGCAAAACAGTAGGATGTTAAACCCCATTTCATTTCATTTCAATACCCAAACAGTAGCTTTGTCGTTCATGCTATACAGGTCTTATCTCATGTATTTTTAAATAATTACAATTTTGTGTAATTGTTTTGTGTAAACTGTGTATAACGTAACCGACTTGCTGTTCCCATATAGATGTACAGTTCACACAGTGACTTATTGGAATGTCTCCAACCTGTACTGGCATTCTGCATATTTCGAATACAAAATGAAGGCCAAATTTTGTAAGCTACATGTACATAGCCTAAAATATATTTGTAGTTGAAGTGTATTAAAGGGGATGGAAGCTTATTGACCTTGAATCTGATAAACAACTTCTGGTGTCCTCATTCTCGCCTCCATTAACCCCAACTGAAAATGTCTTAAAAAAAGTATCGCTGGTTGACACTGTATTCAAATTTGGAGCTGATAGTATTTTTCATGGTCGAAGTGGAAACAAATTAGACTGGGGGATCGAAAGTAGAAAAATTTGAGTCCAATATTATTAACTGTTTGTGAAAATTGAATTAAAATCTGTCCAGAATACTTTCGAGACATATTAATGTATTATACGTTTAGAAACTTATGCAAAAATACTTGAAATGCAAAGGGCTCATTGTTACCCCCAATGCTTACTTTACTTAGTAGACAAAGAAAATGTACTGTAATTTAGAACTACATTAACTTGTGGGTGTATAATAATTGCATGTTAATTTTTTTTTTTTTTTACCTACATGTACATGTACATGTATATGTATTATCCTGGCAGAGCCGAAGGAATTTCCAGTACTTTCTGGCTGGGTTAAAGGGATTTCCATGATTTTTCAATTCTGGTTCCTTCTCATCAGTGCAATGTTATGTTATGCTTTTAAAATTAAAATCTTTTTTTTTTCCTTCCAGGTGTGACCGGTCAGGGTAGACAAAGATCGAGATGTGAACAGGGCAGTTGTTACCCAGCAACCGGGGACTTGTTGATTGGTCGTGAAAAATATATGTATGCATCATCCACATGTGGTTCAGAACGACCAGAACGTTATTGTGTTGTTAGTTATTTAGAAAAAGACACAAAATGCTTTCAGTGTGACTCTCGTCAGCCATGGAGAGAAGGTTTTAATGACCGTAGTCATCAAATAGAAAACATTGTGTCATCTTTTAAAGAAAGGCAGAATCGTTGGTGGCAGGCCAAAAATGGTGAAAAAAATGTTTATATACAGCTTGATTTAGAAGCTGAATTTCATTTTACGCATTTAATTATGACTTTTAAAACCTTTAGACCAAAGGCGTTACTTATAGAAAGATCGTATGACTTTGGTAAAACCTGGAAAGTTTATCGTTATTTTGCTCAGGATTGTGCTCGTTCTTTCCCCGATATACCTCGTGGACCTGTTCGTTCACTGACTGATGTTATTTGTGTGCAGAGATATTCAGCAGAAACACCTTCTACTGAAGGAGAGGTAAGTTCTTTTTGTGTCTCACCTTTTGTAGAAAGTGGGGCACTATTAAAATTGGTCTAACAACTTCCCACTGTTCTTTTGTTTTCTTCTGGCAAGGGGTAGAATTATCAGCTTATTATTGCATCATGATTAACTGTTTGCAAAGTTTACAGAGTATGGAATAGACGAGTGCTTTAAAAGCATAACACGTTCTTTTAGTGTGATTTTCATATGAATCAATGTTTTGAGATAAGAATTTCAGACAAGATAAAGAGCCTACTGCTATAAATTTTAGCATTGATTTACATTTGTACAAGAAAATTGTAGTTGCAAAAACAAAATTAATTATTTAGACTGTGCCTTGGAAAATGTAGGAATTGTTATCACATAGTTGTGACAGTGAAGGGGTAGGCTGATGTGCAACATCAAATAAACTAGATTATTTGAGATGTGGTTCTCTGAGAAGGTTAATTTATTTCCTGTCTAAATGGTTTGATTTTGTATGCTAATTTCATTACCTTATGAGGAAAATTGCAATCTGTAGTACATTGTATAGTAAGATATGAGTACATGTATAATTAACTTTTATCATATGGACAATGTTAAATATATACATGTATGTGCCTGCTTAAATGTTCATACTGTGTGACCGCTACTAATCTCTTCTGGTTGAAGATCGAGAGGAACATCAAAAGGAATGGTAGACTGAACACCGTAAAAAAAAATTGTTCACGTCCTCCGAATGAATTTCTGGCCCACATACGCCGTCGCCCCCATCTGTCGTTCACAATTTCTTGTGAACACTCTACAGACAACATTTATCATCTAATTGTTTTGAAATTGATATATCTTGTTTACATTAGTGAGATGAAGAAGCCTTTTTATACGGCCACATAAGGTCATGAGACGAAGAATCCTATTGATTTTCAGCGATTTCTGAATCTTGTGGACGCTCTAGAGGCTAAAGTTAATATCCGATTGACTTCAGATTGATACACAGAGTTTAAGTTCTTGAGACGAACAAGTATATTTATTTTCAATGAATCTTTATGACTTGAACAGCTAAAGTTTTGTATACTAAACGTTAGCATGGAGCAGAACAAATTCTAATGAGTTGTTACTCTTAACTAGATTTTAATGTATTATAAATGTTTCATTACCGGAAAAAGTAAAAATATGCGACAACTCTTGTTGACTGCCCTGACGATATAGCTGCTGTGGGCGTATGTTTCGTTGCCTGGCAACCTATCTTTATTTTCAGCCATTTCCGTTAATTATGTCTAGAGTTATGGCTCTTGTTTTACTTTGTTGAACCTTGTGAACACTCTTAACGACAAAAATTGTGATCCGATCTGTATGAAATTACATGTAATACGTATTGTTTAATTTAGTGAAACGAAGAAGCCTGTTGAATTTGAGTAATTTACGTTTATTACATCTACAGTTATGACCCTTGTCCTTGTTTCACATTGTTGAACCTTGTGAATGCTCAAACAACAAAATTTATCATCCGATCTGATGAAGTTTATGTGCATTATTTCAACAATTAAGGCCCTTGTTTCAATTTGTAAACCCTCAAACGACAAAAATTATAATCTAATCTGTAGGAAATTGTCCCAATTACCTACAAAAGAATAAATATACAACAACGGCTTGTAGATCACTTGAATGATTTAGCTGCTGTGGGCATATGTTTCGTTGCCTAGCAACCTATCTTATAATAATGAATTAAATGTCTTGATTTGATTTTCTGACTGTTTCTTAAGTTCTACTGTGAAGATATTAGTTTATGATAAATATAAAGGAAACTGAAATGATATATTACAGGTGATGAACACATGTGATTAATATAACACTACTTTCTTTTATTATAGGTCATCTTCCGTGTATTGTCTCCCGTTATAAGAGTAAACGATCCTTATAGTGAAAAGGTTCAGGATTTGTTGAAATTGACAAATTTAAGAGTAAATTTTACAGAACTCCATACATTAGGTAGGTGTGTTGTTAGTTATTTAGAAAAAGTTATTTAGTTGTCATCGTTGGTTGTGACGTTTTTTATGCAATCAGCGCATGCGTTGTGGCCCGAAATCCCCTTTTCACACGATTGTCACTATTTTTGGAATTGAGAGAATTCAATTCCGGAACATTCAATTGAGTATCCCCATTGTCACAAGACATCCAATTAACTGTTAGTCTGGGAAATGAAGTTATCTTAAGTAAGTAATACCACAATGCCTAACATAATTCTGATGCTACGTGTATCATTAAACTGGTTTTGTTCTCACCCAAAAGTAAACTGACTTCCCGTTTCGGTTAGTATTTTTGGTTTTCAAATATTGATTTATTTTCCACCATTGAAATACTGTACAAATGAAAAATATATTTATTTTTACAGGAGATACATTATTAGATTCCCGTCCAGAAATTATAGAGAAGTATTATTATTCTATGTACGATATGACTGTTAGAGGTAGTTGTTCTTGTTATGGTCATGCTTCAAGATGTCTTCCAGTACCAGGCTATGATAGTAGACCAGATATGGTAAGACTAGTCTTTCATTGAATGCTTTAAACCATTTTTACACCCCAACATTATAATGTATTTCTTACGTTGTTTTCACTCTTGACCATCCATCATGCCTACCAAGAAAAATATGAAGTAACCTTTATGGACTGCTTGAACAGCTCAGCTGCTGTGGGCATATGTTTCATCTTTAAAATTTTAATATATATGGTGCACAAATTCTTTACAATGTAAGTCCCCGAAAGCAATGTAAGTCCCAGAAAGCAACTTAAAATAAAAGAGAACAAATGAATTTGTGTTGCCATAATTAATAAAGTCGTTACTTTATTCTGCATTTGAATAATTATAAAAATATAGAAACTATTAAGCAATTTCAACCTTGTTGTTTTCGATTCTTGTTTTTGTAGTAAATGATTTTATTTGACAGTACAAACATACGTACATGTATTTATAGGTACATGGTCAGTGTGAATGTACACATAATACAAGAGGCTTAAACTGTGAAATGTGTGAAGAATTTTATAATGATTTACCATGGAGACCAGCCAGACAAAATCAACCTAATTCTTGTAAAAGTAAGAATTATTTCGTTTGTTGAATAAAATATGGAAACAAACCTTACCTACATGTGACATAGAAGGTCAAATGTTCAGCAAAAACATCACCAAACTAAAGACTGTTTGGTGAAAATATATTAATGAACAACTTGCCATGCCAAAATGCTTTGGTATTGGGAGAGCTTTCTGTTAAACTTTGACTGCAGTGTTCATCTTCTGGTCAAAATTGCAGACTGTCCATTGTAGTGTACACACTTACATTATAGGGTGGAGTTATTGAGACTATAAATAAATGGCTATGGGTAAATATGCAATAAGAAGGTTGTTGGATCAAATACTCTTATTCTTTTAATTTGTTTGTTTACAGTGAATGCATTTTAATTTGTAAATTAAAGACAAAAAAATGTATTCTTGGGGTTAATACAAAATACCCCACCTACAAACTGTATATCTGTTATACTTTAAAGATATGCATTAACTTTGTAAAAAAACTGTACATTGATTTAGTATTTGAGACTGGTACATGTATTAATTTGGGCATGTAAAAATTAACATGTGTATACAATCTGGGATAAATTTGCCAGTCCATTTTAGGGTGGCACAAACTGGGGAACTTGTGCAAAATGCATTTATTTAAGTAGGTCAGAGTTGTGGCAACTTAGCTGCAGTGAGTGTATGTTTTGTAGAATGGCCATCTATCATTTATACATTCAATACTAAACTTTTTTACAGGATGTAATTGCAATAATCATGCGTCTAAGTGTCACTTTGATCCGGCCGTGTTTGAAGCTACTGGTAGAAAGAGTGGTGGCGTATGTGATGATTGTCAACATAATACAATGGGACGTAACTGTCAGGAATGTAAAGTTTATTTTTATCAAGATCCTAACAGAGATATCCGAGATCCTGAAGTCTGTCAGCGTAAGTCCTTTGAAACTGTTTCCAAACCTCTACTTTATAATCTTTTAGTGGCAGTATCGTCTACTTTATAATTATCTTCATCAATAAAGGCTTTTTAAAGGCATAAGTAATATTGATGATAACTTTTTATGTATACAATTGTCAGCCATTTTGAATACCGGAAATTTATATGTAAAAATACAAAACTAACAGTTGTGGTCTTTAATGGAGGAATAAAAAGGGGTGTACTGTTAATTAAAATCATCAAGTTCTCAATTGTATGATACATTTTCATACTTTCACATATGAATCTCTCGGCTTTGATGAATTATTGGTGTATGTTTCATTGACTGACAGTCTATCTTCAAATATTATATACAATACAAACATACATTTAACTATAGGCATTTACGTTCCTTTAATTTTTTTTAGCATGCGATTGCGATCCAGCTGGTTCTGAACGTAATGGAGAATGTGATAGTAGAACAGATGAATTACGAGGTGAAGAAGCTGGTAGATGTTATTGTAAGAGACATGTCAAAGGTCATCGATGTGATAAATGTGCCGATAATTACTGGAATCTACTAGACACAAATCCTGAAGGATGTGAACGTAAGTGTATATACTTAAAATAGTTTTCATTGTTCGACAATCATTGGTGAACGGCAGAAAAATAATGTTCAATATGATGTGATTAATTCAAGGGTGTATATTCCAAAATAAATGGCAAATATAGATGTTTCAGCCTTCTGGTTTTGTTCAATGTGAATAAAAAAAATCTTAAATGGCTCTCAGTAAACTCTGAAACAATTATGAGAATTTATATCAAGGTTCTAGAAAGAGTAAAGATGTCCTGCTCGTGAGTAAAGAATTATCAATTAATTGTAAAATTTTGTATAGAAAATGATTATTGTTTATATTTACAGCTTGTACATGTAATCCTATTGGAACTATTGGGGATTTTGGTTGTGATCAGGTGTCTGGTTTATGTCGATGTAAACGTTACGTTTCTGGTAGAAATTGTGATGTTTGTGATGTAAGTTATAGTTGCCATATTATGTCAGATAAATTGTTGTATGACAAAATTCTCCTGAGTAGATTGGTTTATTGATGAATAAAGATGCATAGCTTTAAATATGACTTTAAATTTTGTCTTTTCAAAATTTCCCCAAAGTGTTTTGGACTTTCTTAAAAAGCATAATAATGATAATTTTCAGTGTTATTTCAATTATGAATCGCTCTTTAAGTGTTTTTGCACATAACAATTATAAATTTATTGTGTTGTATAGATTAATTCTTTCAAATACCCAATTTCATATCATGTAAATTGACTAGCAGATAAATTCTCCAAATGGTCAGTTTCATTCACTGAAATGAGAGCCCTCTCTGGACCCTTATTGATGAAAACATAATAAATCAGCTCTGAGGTACCCAAGTAAGCAGCCATTCTTAAAATGTCTTAAAATGTCTTGAAATGGATTTCATTGTGAACAAGTCTAGTATGTTTTAACAAAAATTGTGTTAATTGTTTATGTCTCGGCTTACAGCGTGGATTTTATGGATTAAGTGCTAAAGCTTATGGATGTGATCCATGTGATTGTGATATTGGTGGATCATTGAGTGAAACATGTGACCAAGGTAGTGGACAATGTCAGTGTCGACCCAACATAATAGGTAGAAGATGTGATCAGCCAATATCAGGATATTACTATGCTGGTTTAGATTATTATTTATATGAAGGGGAACATGGTCGAGGTTCAGGGGTAAGTCATAATCTTTACATATTATATTATAAATAACTGTCAATCATTTTCTTCCTTTTCGGTTTTCTTGTGTTTAAATTTTTAATAAGAATTGACTATTTACAACAAAATGTTAACTTCATGCTGACAAAGTACTTAATTTAAATCTCTAATTGAGCAAATCTCTAATTGTTCGATCCCTGCATTGGCCGAGAAATTTCATCCAGAATTTCCCGCGTGGTTCCCCCTTGTCAGTGATGCAGGACAGAGGGCCTGACAAGGACAGAGGGCCTGACAAGGACAGAGGGCCTGACAAGGACAGCTGTCTAGTCATTCGGATGGGACGGTAAAACGGAAATCCTGTGTACACATTGGCATGCCCGTAAAAGATCCCTTGACAGTTGGAATTCGATATAAGTGTAGGCTGTAAGGCCGCTGGCAAAATTTCCCTCATAGCACACTGTATGGTGTATGCCCGTCTTCATTAGCCCAGTTCGGAGCAGAACTGTAGGATGTTAAACCCCATTTCCTTTCATTTCATTTAAATCTGGTTGTCTTCTATTGTTATGTGTTAGTGTTCAATGTGAGTGAGTAAAGTGGCCCTTCTACATACCGATTTCGTTGTACTACCTCATAACTAACTGGATCCGATATATTCAAAAGTTACCCCATGTCCACCTAGAAATTTTATGATATTTTTCTAGTTGTAAATCCAATTTCCTTACCCTTTCCTTGCCATCATAGCCAATGTTTAGATTATACTTGAAATTAAACTAGTACATAAAACCATTACTATATGATTTGTTATCTTGTTTAAGAATGCTCGTGTATATTTGAGAGAACCTGTTCAAGAAGGTCGTAATTATTGGACTGGTACAGGTTATATGTTATTAACAGAAGGAGACAGTGTTGAAGTCATGTTAGATAACATAGATTTTCCTATGTATTATGATGTAGTACTTCGATATGATCCTAGGGTAAGTTTCATTTTTTTTATTAACTAATTCCATGTTCATTATTAATAATATAAGAGTTTTCATTGACTTGTAGTTACAGCGGCCATTTAATTAGGAATGAAAATTTTAAACCGAAATTTCTTACCATTCTACAACTAAAATAGACTTATAAATGAGAGCTTGAAAAAATTGTAATCTGTTTAGAAATCTGTGGGACTAATTCACGAAGGTATTAGTTTTTACAAAATCAGAACTCTCAGAAATACTGGTATTTATGTTTCTAACTGTTTGTGTAAATCTAATGACATATTAATTATATTTCTTACTAATTCACCACAATTATATACTCTTTTATTTTATTATTAAATGCTGCAGGAAAGGAACAGTGGTAATGTCATATTATTGTATAAAAACTATTATTAAAGAATGATATATTTGCTTGTATTGAGTAACTATTTCTTTTAATCTCATTGATTTACCTTGCATGCTAATTATTTCTTAAAGGGAATGCAAATATATTTGGATTGTCATAGGCTTACAAGTACTGTGAAGGTTTTACTACTTGATTTCGAACACTTGACTAATTTTTGTGTGGATTATTTAAAAGGGTAAAAAATTGATGAATTTTGCAGAAGAAAATATGGTTATTGTGAGAGTATTTCTATTTGTGTTGTAGATGCCTGATGCTTGGAGTGATGTACGTGTAACTGTTATTAGAGATGAACCTATAGATCCACAGGGTCTATGTGCTAGATATGATCCAGCTGATGACGTTAAAGATATTAGACTGCAACCCAGTAAGTTTCTTCTAGAATCGTCATTCTTTCTAACCTAAGTCAAGTGAATATAAAAGGAAAGATTGAAAACAAATTATAGAATCTAGAAATTCATGTATCCATTGCGATTAAATTATGGATTGACATCTAGAAATTCAAGTATCTATTGCGATCAAATTTGGATTGGATTCTAGAAATTCAGGAATCCATTTTGATCAGGTTGTAGATTGAAATCTGAAAATTCAGGTATCCACTGCAATCACCAATATTTGGGATAGATATTGTTGGTGTGATGTCAAAACACCAATTATCAAAGTAATATTATCTTCTGGCAGTTATTATGTATCATACAATTAATAAAGCTTATTATTTTTACTACAGGTAATCGTTTTATGAGTGTAACTCCACCAACTTGTTTAGAACCAGGTAAAAAATACACAATAAGATTAGATATGAACCGTTATAAGGAAGGAGAGACAACTCCACAAGCTACAGTTTTATTAGATTCAGTAAGTAAAAGGATTTGTATTTATGTATTCCCCACTTTCGCTTTTATAGTGTTTGAAGTCCATTATGTATTTGTTAAGTTCTTCTTGCTAGCCTGGAGGTCGTGGGTTCGCTCCGGTGTTGGCCACGAAAGTTCATCATGATTTTCCAGCGTGGTTTCCTCTTGTCTGTGGGTGCTTGACGGAGGGCCAGACAAGGACAACTGTCTAGTCATTCGGAAGGGACAAAATATTGAGGCCCTGTGTACCCATTGGCGTGCACGTAAAAGATCCCTTGGTAGTTGGAATTAGTCGTAAGAGTAGGATGTAGTGATGCTGTCCGGGCAAAATGCCCCTCATAGCACACTGTAGGGCATATGCCCGTCTTCATTAGCCCAGTTGGAGTAGGACGTTAAACCCCATTTTTCATTTTTTTGTATTATTATTATTAAATATTCCCTGCTGGTAAAAAAATATCAAATTCTGCAAGGCTTAATTGATAACAAATACCAAAAATGGTTGCCATCCACAAACTTGTGTTTTCTCTTTCTGATAACTTTTAGTTTGTCAATAAATCTTAATAGGTTATTATACAATGTTTTATTTCAGATTGCATTAGTACCAAATACAGATAGTGTACCTATATTCCAAGGTCCAGGTCTTCCTCTATATCTAAAGAATCAATTTTTACGGTATAGATGTGATAAAATACAGTTAGGTTCTCTACAATCTAATATACCAGATGAATGTAAAAAACATTATTTTAGTATATCAGCTGTATTACACGGAGAGGCTTTAGGTTTGTTAATTGTTTAATAAAATTTAATTATATATTTATTAGGTTATTATTTAGTAGCCAATTAGATTCAGTCACAAATTAGATTGTCTTATTAAATAAGATAAGTGGCTGTAGTTTTTAATCAAACATTGATGTCTTATGTAGTTACCCAACCATGTTTTTACGACATCATTCGATGATTTTTTTAGATAACAGTGCAAAAGAAATATTTGATTATGTATAATAGTTTTAGGTTAAATTGTCTTTAAGTGGGATTTGGTGATTTCTAGATATGATGTCATCAGTTAAACACATAGCTCATTAACTTGAATAGTGATTAACACTATATGTTAATGCTGATTCAGTTCATTAGCAATATTTGTAAAATATATTTCCTATGAAAATAAGTGATATTTTTGAATAATTAGATATATCACAAGTGCAGCTAAGTACTTTATTTTTTAAATTATATTATTTTCCCAAAGAAATAGGAAGCAGACTTTTAATACGTATTCCCGTAAATAATTATTCAAATTGATATGGACTTGTGTAAATGTAAAATCTTTTGTAGAAATTTGTTTTTAAAAGATTGTTATTTTTATATTACAGCATGTGATTGTGATTTAACGGGATCAATAAGTCGAGAATGTGAACAATTAGGTGGACAATGTCAATGTAAACCAAATGTTGTTGGTAGAAGATGTGATCAGTGTGCGCCAGGAACATACAATTTTGGACCAAATGGATGTACTCGTAAGTTATACCTATATTTAATCCTTTAGCATATAAAATTACTCAAACTGACCCAAACTGACGGAGTCACATGAATAGCTTCTCCACTTTGTAGGACTGTGAATGAAAGAATGTATAGATGTTTGAATGTGATAAAAACATTCTTGACAATAAGATACTACACTTGTCATTTTTACAAAACTTGAGTCGAGAAATTTTCATTTAAATAGGGAGTTCCAGTCACAAGCAAATTTACCTTCGCATTGATCCAAGTATAAATGTTTGCTATGGATATATCAGTGCATAAAATTTAACCTGATGTCCGCACTAATGATTTACAGAATGGAAATAATCTGATAATATGTATTACTTTACTATAACTTATATTATTTTCAGCATGTAATTGTAATGATATGGGAGCATTAGATAATTTCTGTAATGCTACAAGTGGACAATGTTTATGTATGGATAATATTGGTAGTCGTACATGTGATGTATGTATACCTGGAAACTGGGGATTTCCACAATGTCGAGCTTGTCAATGTAATGGTAATGCTGATACGTGTGATAATCTGTCAGGAAGATGTATAAACTGTAGAGATTATACACAAGGTGAAAATTGTGACAGGTAAATACATTATACAATAATTAAGGCTTTAGTCTTTTAAAAAAAAGTAACATTCCCTCAAATTGCCAGTACGTTTTGCAGCGATTTAATTATTTTAGAGGCTACACTGTTGCTGTAAATGTAGACAAAAACTACTGGTGCACCTATGTTATGTCCCTCGTACCCATGATGTAAAAATAGAATATTTGTAAAGAATTGATTTGCATGTGCACATGTCAAAAATGAAAATAAAATGAAAAAAAAAAAACATGCACTTACATATATACGGTTTATTGATTTTGTGTTTCCGTGATTCAAATCATCCTCACTCCTTAAGTTCATCTCTCATTGAAATAGTAGCAAAAATACACACCATAACAGGTCTATCATTAAATAAAGAACATCAGTTTCAATCAACCCTAAGCAAGAATTCATACTGATATATAACTTATTAAAGATCATTAATCTTAAGTAGTGAAAAAGAGTTTTAATGATTTTCTATGTCTATTTATAGATGTCTTGATTTCTACTATGGTGAACCACGAGGTGGGCGTATACCATGTCAACCATGTATGTGTCCTGGAGGTCCTAATAGTGCATTAAATCACGCTGATTCCTGTTCACTAGAACCAAGATCCAGATCTTTTGTGTGTGATTGTAAACCAGGTTACTTGAGTAAGTATAAACTCTATACTTTAAAATTTTAACCATAGAATTACTGGAATAGGTGATGAAGAAATTATAATAAATAACTACATTAAAAATTTGTTAGCTAAGGGAAATCCACAAATGTGAATTGGTGATCACATGTTACCCTTCGCGATGGTTGTAGAAAGTAGAGCCAGGCCCAAGACCTCCAAGACTTACCAACCTATAAACAGCCAAACTTTGATATAGTTTATGTAATCTTGAATATAACATTACAGGACCTAGTGGTGTTATATTAACCAATATAGTATTACAGGACCTAGTTGTGATCTATGATATTATTTCACTGACTAGTTGTTTCATAGAGTAACTATATTATTAGACCTAATTGCGATAATTGAATATATTATTATTACAGGATCTACTTGTGATATATAATTGCTATTATATTATTACGGAGCATAGTTGTGATATATAATTAACATTGTCTATATTATTACAGGACCTAGTTGTGATCAATGTGAAGAGAATTATTATGGTAATCCATTAGCTGAAGATGGTAGTTGTGATCGTTGTGTATGTAATAATAATATAGATTTTGCGACTCCTGGTAGTTGTGATTCATCATCAGGAGAATGTTTGAAATGTTTATATAACACAGAAGGTTTTAACTGTGAAGTCTGTCAGGATGGTTACTATGGTGATGCTACTCAACAAAGCTGTAAAAGTAAGTCTTCTTTTGATTTAAGCTTTATATTTAATGTAAGTCATTTCTTAAAATAGTTTTAATAAGACCATTTCATAAAATAGTTTTTGGTAAGACCATAGTTACCTTGTACCAAAATAGTTTTGGGTAAGACCATTTCATGAAATAGGTTTTGGTAAGACCATAGTTGCCTTGTACCAAGTATATTTATTAAGACTTGTGATCCCATATTGTACATGTTTGCGCTTGCTCAAAGATATTCTGATTCGTGTCGATGACTTAACCTATTTTGTTTTCGTTTATAAGAATTATATCTTTTTACCTTTCACAAATTTCTTGAATATGGAACATAGAAGAGATGTTTTAGAATAATCTAAAGACAAATTAATTGTCATGTTCCTTTTTTTGTATTTGAGCATAACTTTGTATGATTTATTTATTAGGATGTGTATGTTCTAACCTGGGTACAGATGTATCACATGGTGAATGTGATCGCAGTAATGGACAGTGTCCATGTTTACCTAATGTAATAGGACAGGAATGTGATCAGTGTGCAGCAGGTTACTTTAATTTGTCTAGTGGTGTAGGTTGTTCACCATGTAGCTGTGATCCTACAGGTTCCTTTTCACTAGAATGTAACCAGGTAATTATATATATATATATATATCTCTTGCTATTTATATGAAACATTGTCGATAAACAGCTTTTAATAGAGGTCTATTCTATTTGTTCTTACAAGCACTCAGATTTGGGAACACCAAAAAAATATTAAAGACAAGAAAAGAACCCATCTGCAACAAAGATATCTTGTTGTATATATCTGATTGCTTGGATTGCTCAAAAAGATTGACCCTTGTGTCAATCTCAGATTAATGTTTTGAGTATGGCTGACTTAAGTCAATTTAATGTTATAAACAGATTGATGGACAGTGTGAATGTAGAGAAGATAGAGGTGGTAGAACATGTGGTGATTGTGCTGATTTCTTGTGGGGAGATCCACGAGATCAATGTTATGGTAATTATATTTCACAATCTTCTAATTCATTTAAAACATTCTACTTGAATCTTAACATATTATTTTGATACTTACATGTAATCTGTAGAAAGTACACAACTAATGAGTTTAATTACATGTAGCACCTTGATTGATCAGTATATAAGATGTGTCTAATCTTACGGATTGTCCATAAAATCTTGCTTCATGTAGCTCTGTTATGGGAAGCTAAGAAAGACTTCATTTGTGGGATTGGGGATTCTCCTGCAAACTTCAATATTGTGAGAGTTGAATTTCCACAAGGAATGTCAATCCATAAATGGTCACGTTCTTTTCTGTATGTACAATAATATGATGAATTTAATATTTGTCAACATTTGGCATCCTCTCCAGGTGATATAAACGGGTTATGGTCAAAAGCTACCGATAATCTGTGTGAATTTTTTTTAAAGGGCCTTGTTTTAATCTGATTGAATCCAAGCCTAAAGCTTATCTACCTTTGATTAAATATTATATAATCAGTTTGAGTACATTTTAGCGTAGTTTAACCCTTAACCGGTCATTGTCGACTATAGTCACTACAACATTATACTTAAGTGGTCACGGTTGACTAAAGTCGACGACAGCAAGACCCTTTTTGATAAGCCGCATTTGAGTATTTAGTTTCGTATTTAATTGATATGGCCACGCATGCGTGTCAGACAGGAACTTGTCTTGTCAAGGGCATTGAGAAAAACATGTCTTTGTTCAACATTTTTTGACGAAAAACGTAATTTAACGATGTCGGGAATGTTAAAGACGCTCTAAGTGGTTGAAATAGTTATGAATGATTCCGACTCGGATTATATCGATGACACCGATTTTGAAGACGATATTTCTGATGAAAAGGACTTAAAATGATTTGCAAATTATAGATCAACTTATCCCCTTCAACTTTTTTATTGGTGTCAAGAGTCTATCACTTATAATTATTCAACAGTAGTCGATTGAAATAGGCATACAAAATATTTGACGTCAGTCTTTATTTAGCCTGACCACTTGACATCATAAAGTCAAAATGATGTCGACCGGTTAAGGGTTAAGTTGTGAAAAAGTTAATATTTTCCGAAAAATGCAAATGACGCACAGACACTTTAAATATAACTGAGTCAGATCAAATATAGAATATAAAAGGAATAAAACATTGAATTGAAAAACATTTGGTATTTTAATGTTTATATAATACCCAATCAGCCAGCTTCAGTTAAGTCTTGTATGATTTGTAATGATATAGATTATTGCTCTGTAGGGGTAGTTCTCTGGTTCACCATGGATGGCAGGGATTAAAATGTATTGAATCTAAAAATCACATGTGAGATAGGCCATATTTTATTCAACCTCTCTAAATACAAAAGATTCCACATATGGGAGATAACTCCCAAAGACTCCAATAAAGAACAAAGGGGAGAGAACTCTTCCATGAAAGGTGGCATTACTATATGACATTATAATGTTAGATAAACTGTGTATTTTACAGATTGTGCTTGTGATAGACGTGGTTCAGCATCATTACAATGTGAAAGACGTACTGGACAATGTGAATGTGTACGGGGTGTAACAGGATTAAAATGTGATAGATGTGCAAGGGGAACAACTGGTACTTTACCCTACTGTGTTCCTTGTGGTGAATGTTTTGATAACTGGGATAAAATTATAACTGATCTCAAAGGTAAGTTAATCTTCATCATTATCCATTTGTTAAATTAGGTTTTTATTTTATATATTGTGCCAGCTTAAATTCCAGCCCTCTTTACAATGAGAAAATTACAATGTTAGTCTCAAAATAGTCCAAGTTACAATTATTAAAATATGTAATGAATGGTAGTCAAAAATTGTGTTTGTTGTTCACTGAATTACTATTATTATTCTAGATCAAACGAGAAGTTTAGTTGATCAAGCTAGTAATATTCAGTCAACTGGTGCTATTAAAGCTTTTGAAACAGAATTCCGTCAGATGCAGTCCAATATAAATGAGATACAGAGTATCATATCTAGTTCTAATTTAACACAAGTAGATGTACGTGAAATAGAAACTATGTTAGACTATATCAGGTAGGTACCAATTATCCAATCTGATTAAGACACATATCCTATTTCGTTTCGTTTTTTTATAGTTCAAAATTTTGCTTTTACAGTAAACATCGCATAGGTCGGATCTAAGTGAACTGACCAACTTTATCTGAGTTAAGCGAAGATCCGAGTTAGCCGAAGACCAAAATTCAATCATAACTCGATTAGAAATAAACTGCACGAGCCGGATAATAATTGATTCTGAATGATGTGAGGGATTAGCCAATGAAATGGTCTGTTACGGCGAGCTTTTGGTGTGAGGTGCATGGAACTGTGGGTAATTGACTAGAAACATGAATGCTGATTGGTTAATCAAATGCCTGATGTCAAAGAGTCAAAAGTCACTCGTATGACCTCTGACGCGACCTTCCAAAACAACTTGTCAGATCTTCATGTAGTGTAGTCCATCGAAAGTATAAAAAAATGAAACGAAATATGGATCTGTAGTTTAATCAGATTACCAATTATCATGCCCCAATTTTTGTGCCTAGGGAGTCGTGGTGGCTCAGTGAGTAAGGCACTGGCTTGCTAACCAGAAGGTTTTAGATTCATTCGCTGGTTTTTCCAGTGTCGTGCCCCTTGTCAGTGGTGCAGACTGTACACTGTACACTGTTGGAATTCAAAGTAAGAGTAAACTGTAGTGCCACTGTCTGGGCAAAATGTCCCCCATATTGTAGTTATTGTGAAGATCAGTAATTAATTGATTCCTTTCTTTTCAGACAAAATTTGACAGATAATAGTCGATCATTAAACAATGTTGATGATGAATTGAGCAATACTACAGCTCGTGTACAGATAGGAAATAATAGAATAGCTATATTACAACAACAGGTAGCTGCTTTAAATCAACTAGCACAAGGTTTACGAGCTAATGCTACAGATATACAAGCCAGAGATGTTGAAGGTAGAATTTATCTATTTTAGTAGTTATCATTATCTTTTACCCCATGGTGCTGAAAGCTCCCCACTGGGTCTAAGCACTGTCTGCATTCACTGTTCTCTTGTCTTAAGAAATGTCATGTAAGTCAACTAGTTACTCTCGACAGTTTTGCACAGGTATTTCTAATAGTACATTAAATTACATTTTGATCTTTGAAAATTTTAATTTACATGACTTTGTCATTTGTGCGTCAATAAAAATGTACACATGTACAAAACTTTGAGACCAAATTTGCTTCTCAATTGTTTTGAGTATGATATTTTGTCTATATTATTAATTTTTTTTTTCAAGGTGCGCTAAATTTAACAAGACAGGCAGAAAGACGATCACAAGAAGCACAACGTAAAGTAGACGGAACTGCACCAATTATAGCTGATTCTGAACGAACGCGAAAGAGGGTTGAAGATCTCATAGCGGAAAATGGAGCCAATTTTAATGAGAACTTAAAGAAAAATCAGGAAGATTTGGATGATTTAGATAATAAAGTTACATCACTTGGTGGTAGAATATCAGATTTAAACAACCTGGTAAGATTACAACTTTAATATATATCTTTAGACAATAAAATCAACACACAACTTTAGTAGAAAAAATCAAATGGAGGAACTATATATGCTGTCCATTAATTATTTCATTTAGTTATTTCCTCTTTCACTGAAACCTTGTGAACTGGTCAGATTTTTTGATATTCTTGTTAAATTTTTTGTCGGCAGTGCAAATTGACAAAATTGTGGAAGGCTGTATTATTGGTTGCATAGCAACACAATGATTGTATTTGTTTTTAGTGCATCTTAAATAGTAACCAAAAATTCAGTAGTTAGTAGTAGGAAAGATCTGCCAAGAATTCAGTAGGATAGAATATTTTTAAAAACATAAGAAAATAGTATTTCTATATCCCAGACAATCCTTCTAAATAAGTTTTGTTTTTTCAAAGGATCACATGATAAATGAGTTCTTATAAACATGCTGTTTATGGGAATTCACTTACACAATTACTAAAATTTATTGCTGTTGCTGTACACCATGTTAAATGCAAGTTTATTTACAAGCAGTTTGTTCTACTGATGTTAAGCACAAATTTTGTAGTTTTTATGCGAATCATGCTTCATGTAGATTGTAGACCACTTTAAAAATCTGCAAAGATTAAGTAAAGTAATGGATGATTGCCATTACCTGATAAGAATAAGTCAATTTGCGATTGCCTAGTGCAATTCATGATTCTTAATAACATTCAGTGAATTGAATACTACTGATTAATTCAACTGGAAACATTTACAGTTGGATATATGAATTTTTGGCAATTACGAGAATCTTTTTATTTTTGAAATAAAACTTCATAAACTGAATGCGACTGTATTTGAGAACCAGAATATTTTATTTATATGGCCTAATTTTGTGTATTTAATCTTTAGGTATGTGGTAAACCTGGAGCACCATGTGATGTATTTTGTGGTGGAGGAGGATGTGGTAAATGTGGAGGTAGTAATTGTGGAGATGGTGCTGTAACTAAGGCCGAGAGTGCCCTTGACCTTGCCAACCAAGCCGCAGAAATACTGAAAATTAAAGAAATGGAAGCAGATGACCTCTTAGCTGATGTAAGTATCTTTTTCCTGAGTTAATTTATAGAATTAATCTCAGTTGTAAATAGTTTATGTCTAAGTAGAGAAAAAAAATCTGCAAAATTCCTTTGTTATATTAAGTATATCTTTATAGTGTGTTTCAAATACATAATACATAAACCTGATTTGTTTCTGATCCCAAAGCATAAATGAATTGTTAGTCACTACATTTACGAATCTATACCTACCCTTCATGGCAATCATATGCTAAACATTTTTTTTATCTGCACACCTGTTTATTATAGTGTAACACTATTTAAAGATGCATTAGTTAAGAGCTAGATATGCAAGTCTTTCTGTAGGCTTCAAATGTTATAGAAATTATTAATTAGACATTTATTTACATAACAAGCCCAAAGTCAACTGTGTAGACCCTCAGATGGCATGGATACAGCTTGGATTTAAACAGTCGTCCATTTAATATTAAATTATTACATGTAAATGGCTGACTGAGCTAAGATTTACTGTTAATCACTGAAGTCACTCCCTGAGACTGCCAGTTAAAGGACTGATAAGCGTGGGTATTTGGGTGGAGTTATCGTCTGTCAATCAAACGATCAGCAATTATCGGAGACTGCAGAGACAGTTGATGCCTATTTCTAGTCCAAACTTCCAACAGTGATAACTTCATTCAGAATGAAGTAATTTGACTGAAATTTTCAATATTTTCTTTATTTATCATCTATTTTTGAACTGTTTTATCAAGAATGACCAACCCTTTATTAAAATCTTAACTATTGTATCTTTAAACATTGTCCAAATGGGGGATCACGGTGGCTAAGTGGGTAAGGCGCTGGCTCGCTAGCCTGGAGGTCGGGTGTTTGATCCCTGCCTTGGCCGAGAAAGTTCATCCCGATTTTCCGGCGTGGTTCCCCCTTGTCATTGATGCAGGACGGAGGGCCTGACAGGGACAGCTGTCTAGTCATTCGGATGAGACGAAAAACCGAGGTCCCTTGACAGTTGGAATTCGATGTAAGAGTAGGCCGTAGTGCCGCTGTCCTGGCAAAATTTCCCTCTTAGAACACTGTATGGCATATGCCCGTCTTCATTAGCCCAGTTCGGAGAAAAACAGTAGGACGTTAAACCCCATTTCATTTCATTTCATTTGTTCCAAATGACAGTTCCTTCATTGTCATATTGCAGCGTATTTGATAAAAAAAAATTGTCTATAAGAGATCCACAGGACTATTTTACTGAGTGAAAGTTTATCATGGTGAACAGTCTGAAGATAATTCTCAGTTATTACTAATCAAGAAGCTTCCATGTATATCCTTATGCATAATGAGATGGCCACATAAGACAGCAAGAAGCTACAGAGCTGGTTTAATTTACTGACAGTGTAATAGACTTTCACATTGAACTACTTTTCAGTTCGTTGTCTTGTTGAAGTTGGTGTTATTAAAGTAGTTGTTATGTTATGTTGAAGTTTGGCGTTATTACAATTTTTGTATGTTATTCAGGTTCAAGAAACAAAGACAGGAGCAGAAGAAGCTAAGGCTGATGCACAGATGGCTTATGATGTAGCTGTTAATGCTAAAAACCAATCAGAAGCTGCTAGAAATAATTTAGAAGGTTTATTGAATCGTATACGTGATTTCCTTAAACCACTTAAAGCTAATCCTGATGATATTAAAAAGGTAAGAAGACTTGATGTTGTCATTTAATAACATGTTATACTTACATAACTGAGGTTTTATTCTGATTAAAAGCTGTTCCATTTATAAATACCTGGGAACACAACTTTTTCAAATTGCCTGTTGATGGAGGAGGTCTTGAAAAATTGGATTACTGCATGTTTAACTTAGGGACAAAAATTCTGTTAGGTAGCTTTAGTTTCCAAAAAGTACTGTTCACCCCCAAATCAAGTTCAATTTTTTTCCCTTGCATTAGTCTTTTGACTCTTTGTTAAGGTTTAGAGCGCTTAAAGTTATTATATGTTTCAGATTGCTGACGAAGTATTAGATATGAGTATATCTTTAACACCACAACAAATACAAGATTTAGCTGATAAAATCAATAAAACTATACAAGGTCTACAGAATATAGATAATATATTAGATGATACTAGAGATGATCTAGCTAAAGCACAACAATTAAAACAGCGAGCTGATAATGCTTCGTAAGTTCAAACACATTATTGTCATACTATTATTAATCAATGTCTGAATGATAGTTTATTTCTATGCACAAACATTGAGGTCAAAATGGTATTTAACCTCAGTTTATTATTTTAATTGTTAAGATTACTATTTAAAAAAAAACCTTGCAGTTTAAAATGGGGAAAACGATTATTGTCCATGGGGTGATGTGTAACTTTAACACTAAAATTTTCAACTTACAACTAAATTTTTGCCATTTCTCTATTTTTTATTCAATTATTAATGATGATTTCATCCATGCTTTACAGAGAAGTTAAGATTTAATACTAATAATATATTCATCTGTTAATTTTAGACTTGATGCCAGTGCCATCTTAAATACAGCTGAAGATGTATTAAATGCATTAAAAGGAGCTAAAACTGCCCAGGAAGAAGCAGCTAAAGCCATTAAACAAGCTGATCAAGATATAATAGATGCTGAATCAGATCTTACTATGGTTAGTTCTTAAATAAAATGTACACAATTTATTCACCTTTTATGCTCTTTCATATAAAAACAGATAATGTTACATGAAAGAAATCAGATGCTATGCCTGCAGTTAAAATTCATACTTTTGAGGTTTTCTGTTTTGCAATTGTGAAATTGGAGCAACAATGTAGTCAAGATATACACTTCAAAAAAAGTAGGGTATATTGAAATACAAATACCTATGCAGGTTGTGATATGATAAATAGTCATGGACACTTGACACGCTTTGAGAGCATGTTCACAGATGAAGAACTTATCGCCCCAACAGAACCACTGAGCTGCACATGCGACACACAATAGCTCCATACATGTGGGAGGGTTCATTGTCAAATTTGACACTTCAAGGAAGGGTTGATGAAAACTGCCGCTTGCTGGTTTATCCTATCCATGTTTGCTTTCCTATCGGTTCTTGCATAAGATTTACTGTTTAGCGTATCTTTGCTTTAGTGTGTTACGTTTAATTTGATTGGGAGACGTGTTCGTCGACGTCAAGCTCAACCGACAACACTGCAAGAGGAGTGGGTCAGATTGACCCAAATCTTGATTGGACGGTTGATTAGGAGCATGCCATGACGAATTGCTGAATGTCTGAGGATTGGTGGAGCAATTATTCATTAAGACAAAAATCAAAAATTTCCATTTTCACTTTTGACGGTGTATCTCGTTGTGAGTGAAATGGGGCCGTCAGATAAGCCGCCCATATGAACTGTTTATGTTCATGTGTAGGCAATTGGCCTGTTATTAACATTCACTGGTTACCTTTAATAAAAACAGCAGTGCATTTCCGCAGTTTTGAATTGTTTCTGAATATCCCCTACTTTATTTGAAGAGTATATAATAGACATTTGTTACATGCAATGACACCACCTTTATTACTGATTATGCTTACATTACAATTGTCTTACTATTTTGATTTGCTTTGATGATTTGTATAATATAGTATGATAATGTGTATACTAATTACTGAAGTTGATATTTTTATAGATTGAGTCAGAAACTGCTTCTGCTAGTGATAAATCTAATGTTAGTATGAACATTCTTACTAAGTTAAAGGAGCGGCTCAACAATTTACGATTGAAATATACAGAAAACGAAATAAATATTGAAAGAGCAGAAGAGGCTGTCAAAATGGCCACAGAGTTAGCTAACAAAGCAGAAAGAGTAAGTATAGAATTGCAGCATCTGTTTCTTTTGAAAACAGATTTTTTATTTAAGACTACCTAGACTTCCTGTCATACTGTACTACTATCCAGGAGGGGTAAGTTTCTGTATCTTCTGGAGATTCCCTTAGGTTGATGTTGTTAGACAGTCTGAATGACTAGGTTACCAATAAAGGCTGCCAGATTCCTGTACTGCTCCTACAAAGTCCATCATTGCTGGCTGTTCGTTGCCAACCATGTTGTGCTGGACTGCATTACATACGAGGGGGGTGGGGGTGGATGGCCAAATGGTTAGCATGTGGTACTGTATCACAAAGTCTGATATTGAGTCAACTGGCAGTTTCTTCCCACTACTATGCGCAAGCGAATTATGGAAATAAAATTGTGCCTGTAACATTATTATGACCTGTGTGGGTTGTTGGTTTCAGCTTATGTCTTGCCATCACTTTCTTGGATCCTTATATTAGTTGAAAAAGATATTTATTTCTACTTATATTACAGGATGCGGATGAATTAAGCAAGAAATATCAGGATGCCTCATCACAATTAAACTCTAATTTTGGTTCTACAAGTGATTCAGTTACAAGAGCTAAGAAATTAATGGAAAGAGCTGATACATTAGCTAAAAATACCCAAGATAAATATCTTAAACTTAAAAGTAAGTTTTATCAAATATATAAATAAAATGTTTGAGAAAGAGAGATAGCGATAAAAGTTTTAGATTTTAGATTTTATTCATGCCAAGACTGGATCTAAAGCAGGGTTCTCAATCAATTTTGAAACGAACCGGCCAGAACTGGGTCAAGTGAGGTCCGGAAGGAAATGGGTTAATTATAAGCTTCCATTCCCTTTAACATAAGCAGACTTAAACAAAAATAATTCTTGGTAAATTGTTACGGAGTATGTTGTATTTTAATGTATGTGATTACCACAAAAAGAACAACGGGTACACCTTTTGAGAATTTTCCATATTTAATTCACGCACCAGCTTGAAGTTCACGTCAGTAATATTCCAGAATAAATTACTGTCTTTGTTTATTCGATGAAACATTCACATTTCATCACGTCCGTAATATTCCAGAATAAATTACTGTCTTTGTTTATTTGATGAAACGTCACATTTCATAAGTCGATGATCTAAAATATTAGCATTTTTCTACTATTGCCAGTATCAGAAAATGCTGTAGCCAAAATAATCTGATACGGCACCATGGCATTTCTTCATAACACAATTTGTAGGTTTTTTTTGTCCATCTATAACGTAACTAGTCACTTAACTTGCAAAAGTTTTTATTCATTCGTCGATGGTGGCACAATTGTCATGTGACAACCATAATTGAAATTGCTTTAAAATAAAAATTCTGTATGATTATGATACAGCCTTGAATAAAAACAACAATATTTTTAAAATAAGCCTTTGTCAGAATGTGTTTAAAATAAAAAAAATTATAACTTTAAACGCTATTTAAAACTGGTTTATTGACCCAATTCCGATGTCATGTGTCATTTGAATTCGGCATTGGAGATTCTATCAGGAAAATATATTATTAATGACTGTTTCTCAGTGTATTCGGTGTTCTATCAGTGGATTATATTCAATGAAGATTTTAATTTACCAAATCCATCAATGTATGATCCAGTTATTATTTTAATATCTACCGGTACCTGGAATTCATACGGAGAGTGAAAGACGCTCAATTGGCAAACCATGCCAAGATCGTATTCTTTCGCCATGTGGGTTATTTTTACAAAAGCAGCTTACTGAACCTGTTATGAATAATAAGCAAGCTTGTTTTGTTTTTTTACCGGATTATCAAAATTAACGTTAAATGTGCTAATTAGTCTACTCGAATTATGAACTACATGGCCGATTCTCACCAAGGTGTGACTGTTGTTGTAGCCGACAAGCAAGTTGATTGACTTATTAATTAACAAGTAATAATTAACCTGTTGTAATTTAGCCGAAATTAGATTGATTTATGTTACCATAGTGGCCGGTTCATTGATTGAACATCAAGCGGCTAAAGCCGACAAAAAACAACCGATTAAGATCCCTGCCCTAAAGTGTTGCTAATGTTGATTATGTGTTTCAAGTCACAAAGGGTAGTGTCGCCGGATATCGAATGCATGTTATTTAAAAGTTTATTTCTGGCGACGTTTCTACGAGGGTTCCCTCCCACTGCAAAAATAGTAATACATAAAAATATCAAATATTTTTTATTAGTCCTTTGAGATGATTTTTAAACCTGTTTCCCTCTGACTAATTTTTGTCACTTATTATTTACACATGAATTCATACAGACAAGAAAAAGTAATGTCTATTTGTATCCTTTCTTCCAGAAATCCAAGAAGAATTTGATCAGAATCAAAAAACATTGATAGAATTATCTGATTTGATTGACAAATTAAATGCCAGAATGGATGAATATTTAGTAAATATTCAAGATAAAGCAAAATATTACAGAGATTGTTAAAACTGGTGATATATTAAAATGGCTGAGTCAAATGTAGTTAGTTGGCAGCATTGTATATAGATAAGTGGAAATTGTTTTAGAAACCCTACGATGTTATTTTGTAAAACTGATATTACGAAATTCTGGATCAGATGAACATTAGCTGCTGATGTTATCACACCATTATCAGTAGACTAATTGTTGAATTAAGGGTTTTTGATAATTTACTACCCAAGCTAAAGGATAAACGTTGAAGTATTGTTGTGTAGAAATAAAGTATGAGTAGAAGATAGATAATATTAAAGAAGATTTGTATTATGTCCATTAATAAATAGATTATTATAATAGAAATCATAATCTATATCATAATTAGTCTAAAGATATAATTGCATGCCAGTATATGTACACCTCATTTTTATATTATCAATGTCATTGTTTTATAATTTTAATCAAATTGCTCCATTTGTTTTAAGCCATTTGTTTTTCTTTTTTTAATTATGTGTACATTATACATATTACATGGATATTTTTGTACATATATAAACTTTTTTAACATTATTTATATGTAATTCTTTTTAAAAAATTTGTCATAACACAATTAACTCCCACCTTTGTTTGTTAGTAATAATTATTTACATCCTAGTTCACACAGCACAAATTCATTTTATTACTCAAATATGATAATCAAAATACTGTAATGATAATTTATGGAACAGACCAGGGCTTTCACTTTAGAATTTTGCCGGTCATTTAATTATTCACTGATTTTGCTTAGTTCAGATTAGGAAGATATTTTTTTGAAAAGACACTTTTCCCAATTTTTACACATAACTATTCTCAATTTAACTGTTTTTGTTCTGTTTTAATTTTGTGCATGTGAATTGACTGATATGTAAATTCTCCAGTCATTTTTACTCCAAGTCAATCAAGACTGGCAAATATGACCAAAATGGGGGCCCTGGAGCAGACTGTAATAATATCTTGAGGAATTTTGAACTATAGTCTATTTCAAATAAATAAATCACTGTGTGTCTTTGCCGTTTTGCATTTATGTCACACTAAAGTTTGTCTATAGTTTATTTATTTACTGATATCTATAAACATTGATCAGCATTATTTTCGGTAGTTTACATATATCATTATGTATTGATCAAATTGTATTGATATTATGTACGTATTTCCTGCATCTTCTACTTAAAACTATTTGTATTTATATGTGCCATATATTATATACTATTATAATGATAGTGATGACCTGCGATTGTTTGTACAAGTTTAATAGTATGTACTAACATTTATATACTCAAGTTATCCTAACAGTTCAAAAGAAACTAACAGCCAACAACAATAATAATAGTGTCCTGTTTAAATTTCTATTGTTGTTAAACTGGTGCTTATTTGCAATTAAAAAAAATACTCTCATTTACCTCATGTGAATTTATTTAAATCTATGAAAGGTTTGAATTTGATAACAGTGTTAAAATGTGTAATTAGATTAAATTGTAAATGTATTCTGTTGTTGTTCTGTGGTACATGTAGTTGAACACAATTAGAATTACATTTAAGTACAGGATTAGTGCTAAATGTAGAAGTAATGATAACTTACTGGTTTAAATAGTGTTCAATGTCCTCTTACAAATCTGTTTCTCTGTGTACTGAACAATGTTTTGATTTAATTACAAAGTTAATTACTCTGTTGATGGAAGCAAAACTTAAAAGCCAAACCTTAATGTGGTTCATGTGAAATCCAAAAAAAGAATGGTTGGTGTTTCTTTATGATTTTTTCTTTGTTGCATAATGAAATTTTGTACATTTAGTTGTCCCCTCCCCCACCCTTTATTATGCGATATTCATTATTTTTCAAATTAACAGAAGAGTAAAATGTTCTTGAATCTCTCTTTAGAAAGTTAAGAGAAAAGATCTAATTGAACTATAATTTTGGACATCGATATATGTCTGTCATTAGTGTATTTTATAATTTTTATATCTAAATAAAATCTTACTGTATACAAAATGTGTTTTGTCTTCAAATTTTCTCCAAGCTTTGGTGATTTATTGACCTGCCAATTGTAGCAAAACAGGAATGAGCCCACAGGCTAATATGGTAGATATTCCTAATTCGTAAATAAAATTTATCAAATCTTTGATGGTATGTGAAATGTCACAGGCTGTAGATATGTAATATCAAATCTGTTGTCAACTTCATATTTGTGATGTATTCTGGTATTTAAACCCATATTTGGATCACAGAGCACATGTGTCTTGGTAAACAATTTCTGACTACAAAGAACAACCAATGTAAAATAATACTTTAAAAAACAGAATATGATGGTTAAACAAGAATTATTCAATAATAATCATAGTTCAAACAATATTTTTTCAATAACAATCAAAATAATGAAATATAAGAATTAAATATTCAGATCATATATATTTTAATATCATATAAATATATATGTATGATAACACTCCAAGCTGTATCCGGCACTTTTTATTTATAATATAGCAACCTTGATGTGGATAGTTTTAAAGATATATTCCCTTGAGCATATATGTGTCAGTTCATATTTTAAATAACCAGGAAAAATCCATTATAAACACAAAATGTCTAGTAAGTCCACAAATTATAGACACATATAAATCAACCAAGTTAATATTACAAAATGTAAACCATTGAGCCTGATGTGCCTATCATACTTAGTAGATTACTCATGATTTAAGTAATGGCAAGGTATTTAACAACTGATTCGAGTAATATAAAAATTGAACATATCCTCACATCTAACCACAAATTATTCCAATGTACATTTTTGAATCTTGTGCATTGTAACAATAAATAAAATATTTTAAGTTCATATCAGAATTGGACCACATTAAAGGTAATTCATATAACAGTTATATACAGTCAGCAGTTTCACTTTGGTAATTTGATCATATCTCATAAACTATATTATTAAATAACATACAAATTTCACTATCAATATCATTCTAAATTTTAAGATATAATAACCAAGGTCGTACTTTAAATTACATTATTTTAAGATAAACACAATTATTACATGATATGCAATATCCTTTTATAAATCAAAGGTCCTATTTTATCATCTCTGTAAAATTTTTATTGTAACACCAACAAGTCATACAATCTTATTGTAACACTAATTATTTCTTACCATATATAATAATAATGATATGAAAGATATGTATTTGCATATTTTATCTGATGAAAATAATATATTAAATATTTACTACTGGTACCATATTACTGTAACTACATGTGAAGTATGACAAAATGACTAGCCATCACCATCCCACGCCCTTGTACTTGCTTGGAGGGCACAAGGAAAAACAACTTCTTGGAATGTCAATGGGCTAGTCAGAAGATTCATGGAAACACAAAAATGATTAAATCCCAAAAATTCCAAATTAGCAGAAGGCACCACAACTACTATAATAAGTTGATGTTTATACAAAGTTTCATGAAGATATCTTGAATGGTTTATGAGATATGCTTCGGAAACAAATTTGTACACCAAAAACTAAGCCAAATTTGTCGCTATGGAAACACAAAAATATAAATCCCAGAAATTCCTAAATAGTAAAAGGCACAACTACTGTAATAGGTTGATGTGTGTACAAAGTTTCAAAACGATATTTTGAACGGTTTACAAGATATATATGCCCCAGTAACTAAATCGGGACAGAAAGATTGCCAGACCCCATTTCAATATCACTCCCTAACTTCGTTTGGCACGGGATAAATAGATAAAACTCAATGACCATTGAATACCGCTCGGGTTATTCAATGGTTCAAGAGAGCGTATTCCTGCGTAAGCATTCCCCGAACAACAGCGAGTGGAATGTGGCAGGGATACACTCTCTTGAACCATTAAGAAATCTGAGCAGTATTCAATGGTCATTGATTTCTGTTTTTATTCTATAACTACATGCAAATCTCAAAATACACTGTACTATCCACATTATCCCCCCCCCCCCCCCACCCCCCCAAAAAAAATCACCAATAACGTTAAAATTCATCATAGGTTCTGCCCTTTTTTCTTTCTTTTTTACAAAAATTGTGGTTGCCTAATGGTGACGTCATTACAGTTTGACGTAATTCTGAAAGTGACGTCATTCTGGACAAAAGTAGTACATGTTCAAGCCATTGAATACAACCATAGGTTATTTAATGGCTGTATTCAATGATATTTGCTTGTGCTTGCATGTAGTTATAGAATAATAAGAAATCTAGTTAAGTAGATTCAGTAAATAAATAAATAGAATACAGCAAACTATAAGATACTTGGACTTGTAACATGTAAGACAAGACTGAAGATTGTCATGGACAAAATCTTGACTTCTTGAATCTATCAGATTATATAAACATCTTATATAACATAGACAGTCAATTCGATATTCTCGATTATATTTAATATCCTAACTTTATTTTAAAGTCATGTTTATGGTATTTACAACTGATATAAATCCTAATTTAATATGTTAAAACCATCATTAAGATAATAACTTTGGTCTAGAATTACATATAAATATATATAAATTAATAAGAATTGATCCCAGACTACCATTTCTACTTTGGTTTTAATAAAGCGATAACTGAGACTACGCATGTCCTATTTCAACTTTTTAACATGTATTTGATTGAATGATGAAATATCATGGTATACCCATCATGTCTAACAAACAATTTATCTTCACATTTAACCAGTTAGTTTGTTTACTTCTTAAATCATCAATCCAGTGTGTAGGCAGACGTGAAAATCCCATTTTACATCCCATTATAGCACCAGCTACACATGCATTACTGTTACTATCACCACAAGACATAACAATATCTAATATCGTACTTCTGTAAATAAACATAAACTTTAAAATTATTTAACAAAGGAAAATAGAATATTTGTTGAAGGTATTATTAAAGATACATTATGGGAGATAAGATAAAGAGATGGCAGTTCTCGCTATAATAGTTAAAATCTAGATAGTGTAAAGGTAATTTGCTGAAAATTTCAGTCAATTGATCCACTATGAGCCGAGAACGAAGCAGGTGATATTTTCGCATAGTCTCGGTCATCATTACTAAAATCATTAATATAAACAGCATAGTCTCGATTATCCACTGTTTTGATTTAATTATCAATGGCCATTAAGCGGCATATAGGAATCTAATCCAGCCAACATCGAAGGCTAGCCTTGACATTGAGAGTTTATTATGGTCTTGATAAGTTAATTTTACATTAAAATGTCTAATTGATAATTTAGATAACATTTCAGGCCTAAAGAAAGACTTGTAATAAGCAGATTTTGCTCTTGCATAATGCATGTTTAACTTTCCTAGATTTATTTTGCTCACAAATAAAAGTATACCTCAGTTTTATATTATGGTACAGTATGTAACGATATATTCCTCATAATCATCGTATCGCAAAATATACGACCACAATGCAATGTGAGCTTATAGAAATTCACGGTAAAACAATTTTCTGGTATTGGTATTTTAGCATATATTATAGAAATCGTAATTAACTTACTTGTAGTCTGATTTTGATTTCAAGGCAATAATGGCTGCTGTGATTGGTTTGAATGTGTGGCTACCTTTTCCATCTTCTCTAGCATTTAAACTGTCAAATCAAAATTTACTGTTAAGTTAAAATATTTATATACAACATTTAAATTGTCAAATCAATAAATAATACACAATTCAAATATTTACGATACAGGTGGTTGGGTGGCCGAATGGTTTAAGGTCTATTATTGAGTCAAGGGTCATCTGTCCAACCTCTTGGGTTGCCTCTGACAGTTAAAGACCCCTACACGCAAGCGAATTATTGAAATAAATTAAACCATATGTCCTAACATGACCTAGTTTGTGTCGAGTTGACGTTAAACCCCATATCCTCCCTCTATTTACACTATTTTGATTTGGGGTGGCAAATACCTGAAAAAAAATATAATTTAATCTTATTCAAATGAAACTACAATATTCAGTGAATTTCAAATTTTTAACCCATCTATTAAGATAAAAATTATGAAGCACAAACCTTTGTAAATCTTCAGCTTTAACTAGTGCTAGAAACTCATTTCTTTCTTCTTGATTAGATATAAACTCCGCACCATGACTTATAGATTCATGTATCAACCCATCTATATCATCTTCATATTTCCCCTAAAATAAATTACGTTAGATTTTTATGCAGTGCTACTACCCCTTGATATTCTTTTTATTAAAGCTTTGAGTATTTGCACAGCAAATTTATACTGTGCATCACCCTGTGAGTAACGCGAAATCAGTCTGAAGAAATGCTAAATTATTTTTAAGAATCTTAGAAATAATGATTTGGTTTTTTTTGTTATCATTGCAGCCATCAGAAGTAAACAAAATGTGCATGTTTGTTTACAACTGATACTGAACCCATCGTGAAATAATTTCTTGAACTAATGATCTTTAGTTATAGATTATTTAAATAATTCCCTACGATATATAATGTTGAGACTACCTGTAACATTAATGCCACCATTGTTGATATCATCACACTACTGGCGACACAAACAGATTTAACATGAGTACCACGACAAATTCTTACAGCATTATTCTTTACTTCTATTATATCATGGAATGATGGTACCCCTGAAAAAGTGTATCATACGATTCAAGTAGTATATAGTTGGTTTCTATAAAACATACCCATCTAGATCTACATCACTGAATAATGTGCAACTATCTGTAGGAGACTGCACATTCCGGTTTATTATTTATCTGCCATAATTCTCTAAAAACTATTACTGTCAATGAAATGATTTTTTAATTCGAAAAGGTAATGTTTAAAACTAGTAATTTGTTAATTGTTTGAAACTTGAAATTTGTGAATTGGACAGATAATGTTTGAAACTTAATTTTTTTTAAAATTACAAATGTAATGTTTGAAACTTGAAATTTTTGAATTGGATAGGTAATGTTTGAAACTTGAAACTTGTTCATTGGAAAGGTAATGTTTGAAACTTGAAATTTGTTGATTGGAAAGGTAATGTTTGAAACTTGAAATTGGTTAATTGCAAAGGTAATGTTTAAAACATATACTAACCTAATATTGGGCTTCTTGTAACAGCTGCATTATCACATCCAAAATCATCACATGATCCAATATTTATAGCATTGAGGCGTTTTTTACAGCGAGCAAACATTGATTTTTGGGGGCTGTCTATACCACTATCTGACATAGAATCAGCTGAATCCAAATCACCATTTAAATTATAATAAACAGGTTCCTTTAATACAGCTTCAGCAGCACGATGTGGATTGGTTGTAAAATCTTCCATTGAAAATAGCTGATGGAATAACAAATAAATACATCTGATTATAAACTATTCATTTAATTAACAGTTAAAGTAGCCAAGTCTCTAACTCACTATCATCCAAAGTCTTCGACATTGAAAACATGAATTATTTGTCAGTTTAAATCAACATTGATGTTGTGATCTTACCGGGAAAAGATGGGATTCCGATATCCAATATTTAAGACAAAATAAACATTTTACCATTGGTACACAAATTGTGTACCATAATGCGTTTCAGCGCCATTTGTAACAAGGGACTCAAAGAACTTGGCTAGACATATTCCATAAGTCATGTCAAACGGAGATGCCATATTCTTATCTGGAGAGCATGCCCAATAAATACTATCGGTGTAGACTGGAATAACCAGATGTTAGAGATTGCCATTTGATTGGAACTTCTGGCGTATTTTGCCGAACATAACAGATTTAAAATTAGAGTAAAAACGGAAATGATTGATGTAAATCAGTTTATATACATTCATATTACATTATTTAATGCGTTCTGACCAATTTGTGACAATTTCTATGTCCTAAGTATTAGCGATTTAGCTCCTTAAGGAGAGCTTGTGAGTGCACTCCATAGATTTCTTTCTGAGCAAATTCTATTGATTTTTAAATTCTCTACTGAACTGCAAGGTCAGAGCTATGTAAATTTAAGTATCATTTAGTTGTTTTCACTAAATTTTTATTATAGTAAAATAAAGAAATTGATTAAAATGTGATAAAATACAGGTTTTATTTACAGGTTAATGAGCTAGAGAGATTGCTCCCCTTTTCGTTTCAACCACTGAGACAGAGGTTTGAGATAATTTAATTCTTTTATTTTTCATCAAAAGTCTCAATGTGGATATTAAAATTTACTTCATAATATTCTATTTTTGTAGAAGTAATCATCAAAAGTCTCTATGCGGATATTAAAATTTACTTCATAATATCCTATCTTCGTATATGTAATTCTAGGCCACTTACCTGTAATAAAGTTTGCGAGAGAACCACACCTTCTGTATCACCCAAATCAGTAAATCCATTTTGATACCAATTTAATAAACGCTTAGAAAAATCTAATTCATCTACGACACCAGCCCATGATATGATCGAATCTAACACAATTATCTAGGTAATAAAATATCAATATATTTTACCAATTTTCTGAAGAGATAATATACTACCTATTGCAACCACTTCATTCAAATTCTACATTTGAAGATAAAAGCACAAAAAGCATTAGGTCACCTCATATTTAAAATAATACGTAAGGGCTTATTTGTCTTCTTTTAAAGACTTATTTGAATCTACAATGAGCTTAGTCCAGATAAAGGTCATAGCAATTCCTAGAACAGAATTTATTTCACAAATTTCAACTCATTGAAAACACAACAGTGAATTGAACATTCATTAGATAATATGACCTAATGTTTTTTCTACAATTTACTTTGGTCATTTTGAGATTAATAAACAGATACAATGTAAGTGAATCCCATTTTGTCCTGACAGAAATGTTAAAGCCCAACATGTCAGACCCCCAAGTTTTTGTACCATCCGAATGACTAGGTATGCCCTGCTTATCCATATTAATGAACTTACCATATGGTCAACATTACACGTCCAGTCACCTTGTCTCCACCATACTCTGTTCTCACCAACAATTATATCTTTATATGTTATATTAGGATTGGGATAATAAAAACTACATTCATCTGGTCCCATCCATCTTGTAGATATACCTATAGCATCACCTATAGCAGCACCATATATCATACCTTAAAATAGATATAACTCAAATCAAATATATTTAAATATATCAACAAAGAACGTGTGAGGTAGATAAAATCATATGGCTTTAGATTTAGAATGACATTTTATTATATAACATTTGATGGTTTAATCTTTTTTAAATTTTTAAAGACAATAAGAAAGTGTTCTTAAAGATGAGCTGAATCAGCGTGTCTTTTCAAATTTAGTTGATGGCATCATAATTTTATACTTCATTTATTTCTGTTTCACTAACTGTGACTAACAATATATAATGGTAGTCCATTATAAAATTTTATTCCATCATATGCTTAATTAATACATTAAATATCAAACCAATACCAAAAAGCCAATTATGTCCTTTTTCAATCAGAAGTAAAATATGGGACAATAATTAAGAGTGTACTCTTACCTATTATTTTATCACCAAGTTGATCTGGATCTAGTTTGGTAGCATTAAGAGGAGGGAGAAGGGGAGTTTTAATGCGTACTGGTGTATTAGTTGTATCTGTCTGTACCTGTATATACTGTGAATGGACGGAGTGATTATTTTTATCTATACTTTGGCATTGATTCCCTCGAACCCTTGGAAAAATGTTTACACACACTTTGATTTCTGAAGCGGAACAGATGGAAACAGACGAAAACTTTCGTCGTAGAAATTTGATAATGGGCTCAGAACCTTCATTGCTGATAGATTGTGGTGGTACAGTTAAACGGTTTCCCACAGCAAGAACTAAAGTTAATGTTTCACATCCACCCAAAGAAACTGGTAATAATCGCAGTTTATTGTGGGATACATTCAATTTACTCAAACTTTCCATCTTTCCTAAATCTTCGGGTAATTCTCTCAGTTGATTGTAAGAAAGATCAATCTTCTCTAGCTTCACAAGATGGACGAATGCTTCCGGTAATTCTCGTAACTTATTGTGTTGTACCATGAGTGTTTTTAAATGAAACAAAAGACCAAAACTATCAGGAAGTTTTTGTAGAGCATTGTTGCTGAGATCTAAGTATGAAAGATGGGGTAAGCGGAGTGGTAATTCTGCAGGTAGTTCTGTAATGGCATTAAATGACGCTGACATACTTTCATACAAGGAAACAGAGTCACGGATATTCCATGGTAATTCTGTTAAACAAGCTTCATGATAATCTCCATTTTTGTGCTGCAAGAAGAAACAAGAAAAATCTTGAAAAGGAAGAGAATCTAGTTATACGTCTCATCAACATCATATATAAGGTAAAACAAGAAAACCGGAAAAATGTGAGTGATTGCCAGTTACAGAATTTAAATATATCTGGGTTTTTTTAATATAACTTAAAAGAAATTAAACCAATTTTAATCAAATTTCAGTATTGAATTATATTTTGATCAGTGATGAGTCAGATTATTGTTTTGAAATATTATGTGGAGGTCATTCTGTTTACTGATTTTTGGCTTAGACTGTTGACAGTGGAACATAAAATCTGTTGTATGAATCTCAACACTGTCTTTATTTATGGACTTGAATTTTTTTAAGTAGACAGTTATATGCACAAGAAAATCAACACATTAAGCATTAATTATCTACTAATTGGTTCTTACTGTGTAAGCTGACAAGAACAGGATACAGTTGGCCATGTTAATTTTAATACACATTTATTGACCGCTTTCAGGTTGCATTAATTACATGATGCATTAATTTTTTGTTTTACAAAAAATACAAAAATAGTTACATAATCAGTTTGTGGTCATACAGTACACAATGTACTATAGTATGACTGTCATACTTAAAGGACCAATCCCAATAATATTTTTGACAATAAAACTGGTTAATTTTGTGTTAAAATCCCTTAAACTCCTCTACCTTAGGGCCGAGCAACTAACTCAATATATTTGATACGTTTTCAAACAAATTAAACCCGCCAGTCTTAATCTGGAAGTGGGGACCGGTGCCCAAAGCTGTATTATACTGTGTCTGGATAAAACATGACTTTTATTCTATAAAAATAATGTGTAGGTGAAATTTACCTTTCGTTATCAAGTACAACACATGGGTCATTCACTGTATAAACCTCTAAAGGAACGGGAATCGATTATCAGGTCACCCAACGAAAGAATTGACCCAAAATCTTAAAAAGGTTACGTGTCCGGATAAGCAGTTTTGACGTTCACGTCCAAATGACTCAATATTTTGAGCTGAAATTTTGAGACAGGGTAAATACACCATTTCTTTATATTTTGACGCTTAACTTTTATACGTACTCTGACTTTTAATTTTGAGACTCTGTTCAATTCGGGATAGTCCCTTTAATGTCTTGTTTTACAGTACAGTATACAGCAGCCCTATAGAAACATCATTTGCTTATAGTTAATCAACGAGATTAAATGGAGACCAAACAGTCTGATTTTTTTAACAATCAAATTTCTATATTTCATGCTTATTTGTTGCCAGCAAAATTATTGAAAAATATAGGATAGTTAATGGCAGAAAATTGCATTTGTCTGTATTAATGTATATTAATAGTTGACCATTTTATTGTTTGCTAATATATTATAACTGTGTATTAACATGTATTTTCATACTTATCTATCTAGTTGATAACACAGTAGGCCTATACAGCAAAAATATATTCATAAAACTCATTACCGTAACAGATACAATAACCCAAAATCAAATTTGACAGTGATATTATATCTCTTTTTATCTTACCTTTTCGTACTGTTTGTAAGATATTTTTCGACTCAGATTTAATTCTTTTCTTTCATCAGAACGGACAGGTGCAAGGTCATGCACTTCTACATTCCCCATTTTTAATTTAGTAGCAGATAAATTAATGAATATATTGTTCTTTAATCTTCATGTTTCTAGAAAAATGAAATAAATTTAACATAAATTGTCAATTCTGAACACTGGGCATGGTGCTCAATTCTTCCCAAAATTGGGGGGTTGGATGGCCGAATGGTTAGCACGTGCGCGCTGTGCTGTATCATACGGTCTGTCATTGAGTCGAATCCCCGGTTGTACGTGACAAGGAGTAGGGTCGCCTGTCCAACCTCGTGGGTTTTCTCCCACTGCTAAAGACCCCTACGCGCAAGCGAATAATTGAAATAAAATTGAACCATGTGTTAGTCCCAAAATGACCTAGTTTGTGTCGAGTGGACGTTAAACCCCATTTCTCTCTCTCTATCTTCCCAAAATTTTATAGAAATTCATAAAATTTACATCCACATGTGGTACCGCAATTACTGGCTTTTACACGATGGATGGAATGCGCTAGTTAATGTTTTCTAGTTTAGATTTGAATACTTCGATTGACTCTGAATATAAATTTTAAAAAAATGTTATGTTTCTGAATACAAAATTATATGTGTTGACCACCACTCATCGCACAAAGCAGAACTTATATAATACGATAAAGGCAAATTTATAAAAGCAGGATATAACAAGCCAACAGTGAGGCTGATGTCCCCCGCCGAAATTGCAAAATAAATAGATGACACATATTAATTAATCGCACATTTATTTTTTTCACTAAGTTTCATCACTCTCTATCAGATAGAATCAAGATTATCTTGTCCCAAACCATCGACAAATGAAATCGATTAGCTCTGCTTAGCTTCAGCTCGAAATGTTAATTATTGAACTCAGTCAAGACATTCACCTAATGAACATCTACATATACATCAAGTTTAAACATTCACCTAATAGACACCTATGCCAAGTTTGAACATTCTACCTCAATTAGAAGGAGAGTTATTGTGTTCCAAAGTTTCTACCAATCAAATTGCTTATCACTCTGCTTACCCTCAGCAAAAAATGTTCATTATCGAACTTAGTTAAGGTATTCAATAATAATAAATCTATACACCAAGTTTCATCAATCTCACTTAATTAGAACTAAAGTTATCGTGTCCCAAAGCATCAACCAATCAAATTGCTTATCTCTGCTTACCCTAAGCGGAAAATGCTCATCTTCGAACTCCATCAAGGCATTGACCTAATCAACACATACACCAAGTTTGAACATTCTAGCTCAATTAGGAAGAGAGTTATCGTGCCCCAAAGTATCAACCAATCAAATTGCTTATCTCTGCTTACCCTAAGCGGAAAATGCTCATCTTCGAACTCCATCAAGGCATTGACCTAATAAACACATACACCAAGTTTGAACATTCTAGCTCAATTAAAAGTTATCGTGTCCCAAAGCATCAACCAATCAAATTGCTTATCTCTGCTTACCCTAAGCGGAAAATGCTCATCTTCGAACTCCATCAAGGCATTGACCTAATCAACACATACACCAAGTTTGAACATTCTAGCCCAATTAGGAAGAGAGTTATCGTGTCCCAAAGCATCAACCAATCAAATTGCTTATCTCTGCTTACCCTAAGCGGAAAATGCTCATCTTCGAACTCCATCAAGGCATTGACCTAATAAACACATACACCAAGTTTGAACATTCTAGCTCAATTAGGAAGAGAGTTATTGTGTCCCAAAAAGTGTGACGGACAGACAGACGGACAGACAGACAGACAGACGGACGAACCCATTTTAATAGTCCCCTGCTTTCTTCGAAAGGCGGGGGACAAAAAGCTCAAATTAAGATTTATAGGTGTAGGCCTACATGTAAAACCATGTAAGGGTGATGCAAAAAGTCTTTGGGGTAGGGAGGTGGATACCATTTTAATATACCCGTGGCCAATATAATAAAATATTTTCTCTATGTAGGCTATAAGTTACTTTAGTACGGTCAAGTAAATTGTATCGGCTCGCATAGCCGCTACATGTAGGCCAATGTGGCATGTCATTTTATCTGGAGTGGGACTGTTGATTTTGATTACCGGTACCCATGGCCATATATAAATATATATATATATATATATATACCGGTAGTTCTATTGCTAAATGAAGAGTCCTAACCAGATAGTTCTGTTTGAGTTACATCTGTGTTAGCATGATGGTTGGCTACCTATCTGTTCCGTGTAAGCCCAAGCCAAACAAGAGCAAATAAACAGACTTCGATAATTGTCAATAAACACAGTTTGAACAAACGGATTATCAGACTAAACTCTTTATCCCTTTCAATCAATAGTTCGGTACAAATTTTCGATGCAACAGCTGTGATTCATTCTCTTCAAGGTGCGAGTAACACATCAGGCGACCCATCATCGTTGCATATTAACTGTCCAACTTTTATTTCACAGCCACGAAGGCAGTGTGGACTACGTCACGAGTTTGTGTGGTGCACATTTGCACAGGAAGTTCCTGAAATGATGGCTAGTCCGACAGATGATGGTAAGGAAAATATGAAATAAAATTAATATTTTAGATAAATTGTCGATAGGTTGTCTTCTGTAGGGACTATAGCCTATTTTTGAATGTGTAGGTATCAACTGTTTATATTTTAACAAGTTGAACAGGTGTATTCTCATATAAAATATGTCAGTCAGTCTTTCACACGCATTTCATCATTTGGACATTTGTTTTAAATTTACTGTCTCCCCCAGCAGACAGCAGATCAATATAGAGGTAGGCCTACATGTAGAATACAGTTGCGGAGAATATAATTTTAAAAATGCACATAGCTAACAATTTGTAGTTTCGATTCGCTTGCCTATTTAGAAAATTTTTTTATAGGCCTATTCAAAGTTCTTGCAAATTTTCTTTGTAACCACATATGGTTATCTCCGCAATTGTCCTTATTCCTTTGAATTTGATTTTGATGTTAAGCCATTGAAGCCATTTCAGTATAGTCGTGTGGTAGTGATTCAGAACCCTAAACAGCTTGGCTGTTATGTGCCTTGCTGTTTTGTTAATTACTAAAATTTACCACAACCATACGTGTGCATATCAAGCAATATGGTTGACATCCTTTTCATACAACTGTATCTGACTACCAGATTTCAATAAACCACTGTTTGAAAATAATGAAAAAAGGGGTTTATAAACCTACTGACCAATGCAACACTCTGTTAGTGCATAGATGAAATGGTTCCACTACTGATGTCTTCCAGCTTGCTTCAGCCACAGTAGTGGACCATTCTAAGGACTTCCTTTGTTTGAGGAAGTTTTATCATCATTTAATGACAAAAAAGTTACTGGCCTATAACTTACTTCATTTCTAATATAAACACAGATCCCAAACTGTACTGCACATAGCTTAAAATATAATAAACCAGTTCCCATTGAAATAAAGGTGAAACCTTAACCGCACTCCGTCGCACGTGATCATATATATGTCGCTTTCCATCTTCATATCTAAACGCTAATTTCTCTTATAGTAGTAACAGGAAGGCGATGGGTGGGGTTAACGTGACGCAATATTTGGTGAGATTTCACCTGGGTGATACAGGCCTCTAAATGTTTTTAAAAAGCTTATTGTCGCAAGTGACAGGTAGCTTTTCTTCATACCTGTCGCTTCAGTAACTAACCTGTCACGCTCAATTATCAAAGACCAATCACATCACTACATACATGTAGGTACACAAACACTCTTAAATTGTTTAGGTCTTCACGTACATTGCTCTATATAAATATCGTAATATGAAACCTTTTTATTTCTTCGAGATTGGAATGCCAAAAAATTCTTGAAAGACGGCAAATCTGTTTTGGCTCAGCGACTTGAAAATTCGTACAATTCTATCATCCGTATCCACGTGAATTCCACCAAGTATCATGGTACCACACTTGAGTGCTAATTTGAATACTTCGCCGTTGAGGTGTAGAATTGAGCTTTTATAATATCCGTAATAAATTGAATATCAAAACACGAATCACACGTGTGTGGCACCGTATTTACATGTACCGTGTGCGGAGGACAGGTAACGCCCCCTGGAATTCCTTTCTCACATATCCTGTCTATATTTACGCTACAAATTATATTTATATATGAAATATTTTTCCAACTTAATTATTTGATTTTGTCAAATTGGCTTATAAATTATTCGGAGCCTTTATTTATGGAAATTGTTTTAAACTTTTTAAATGATTCAATATATCAGACAACAAGCCGCGTGAATTTCCATTCCAGCCATGGAAACAAATTGCCACAGGGGTGTAAAAAAACAAGTATCACTGCTACAAATATTGTAGCTAGTGCATAGGCTGTTCTAAGTATGTGTGATGTAGACCACTGCAATGGACTGGATTCATCTAATTTCTAAATGATTCTAATCTAAGTAAACTCAGTTTTGCGCCATAAACTTGACTGAGGAAGCTGTCATCCGAAATAACTTGCCAATAATTTGAATAATAGCTTCTGCTCATAAGCTTAGTCATGTAATTAATTAAGTATTAAGGATTTCATAAAGTATAAATTATTGTTTTAAACTGCTTTTACTTTTACATACATACATGTATATTGTAGGGTTAAGAAAAAGAGTAGGAACTAAGGATGTAACAAATGTAGAAGGAAAAGATGATAAGAGAGATGTTACACTAGAACCTGTTTTAAGACCAGGTGGTCCTTCAGGAGATTTTACAGATGCAACAGGTAGTACAGGCAATAATACTTTTTTATAGAGATTAGAATGAGAGAAAGTTTACATAATAAGGCTATATTAAGTAAAATGGTTTTGATTTTTGATATGTATGATGTCGTCAAGCTGATTAAAATACAGATCTATATTTCATTTCGTTTTTTTTATACTTTCGATGGCCTACACTACATGAAGGCCTGACCGGTTAATCAATCAGCATGACGTTTCTAGTGGATTATCCACAGTTCCGTGCATTAAACGCCAAGAACTAACTGTAACAGACCGTTTCATTGGCTAATCCCTCACTTCAACCAGAACGCCGGTAATTAACAACTCTTCTAGATCATAGTGAAGTAAAGACAAGTAAAACAAAATTTTGAACTAGAAAAAAGACGAAATAGGATCTGTGTATGTCATATATATAGTGTTAACTCATGCAAAGTTCTCACATCTATATTATAATGACTATCTAATATGAATTTAACAACAGTCTAATTTCAGTTAACTTAACAAGGTATTATCACCTCAACTAAATAATAAACCTAATAAGTTTTTAATAATATTGTATGTAAAATAACCCTAGATTCACCATTATATCCAAAATATAAGTACCTTATTTTAAAGTGATCTTGCAAGATTGGTAAATTAAAAATATGGGAATTACTTAGTAATTGTTTGTCAACTGGAATATGTTCAATTTCACTGTATTATCATATCACACCCATGTAGCTTGGTAGTCGAATCAGGACTTCTGTATTTAATTTCATGATGTTTTGTATTGGTATTTGTCGTTCAGGGATATTGATTTCAAGATGTTTTGTATTGGTATCTTGATCATATGATGCAGCTTTGGGAATTGGATTTCAAATTTGACTGGCAAGCAAATAGGCAGCTGATTCAGATTGGTTTCTTTTAAACATATAATAGCTGTAGATTGTGCTGAAAATTTATAACATAAACATTAGAGATTTTCAATAATTTTAGATCTACATTAATTAATTTACTTAGTGTATAAATTTAATGTATAAATTGAATGTTTTGTTAATGGTGGTCATCATTACAATTTATTTTCTATGATGTGAACCGCAGATAGACAACACAAGGTGGTTCTAATATACTCACTTTAAGAGAACCTTAAAGCATTTAACACATGACACAATTATATGGAATACAAGTTACTTAAAGGATTTATTTCAGCGATGTTTCGACGAGGGTTCTCCCGTTTTTATCAAGTATTTCTTAATTGATTCTGGATCCAGTTTTGCTTTTATTTTAACTTTTTGAAATGTATTTTAGGTTTTGAATATGAAGATGATGAATATTCTAGTGGTGAAGAATCTGATATTGAAGACAATGATGAACCTATTATGCCAATGAAACACAGAGATCCTAATCCAGATCTACCTGATACTGCTGTATTACTGGAAACACCAGAAGGATGTAAGGTGTATGTTGTTGGTACAGCCCATTTTAGTACACAGAGCCAGGAAGATGTTTCTAGGGTAAAATATAACTTGATCTGTATTCATAACTGAAATATTTAGGATGGTTGATATACTGTTCAGATATGTCAAAACACTTAATGTCCTATTTTTGTGCACTGACTGGGCTAATGAGGATGGATTTAAGTCATGCAGAGCGCTATGATGGAAATTTTCCCAGACACTGGTGCTATGGGCTACTCTTTATTTTGAATTCCAACTGTTCTTTTATGTGCATGCCAATGTGTACACAGGAGCTTGGTTTGTCATCCCATCCAAATGACTAGACACTGTCCTTGTCAGGCCCTCTGTCCTGCTCCACTGACAAGGGGAAACCACACCTTTCTCGGCAAACACTGGAAGCGAACCGTAGACCTTCTGGTTAGCGAGCTAGCATCTAACGGCCACCACCGGGGCTCCCTATTAGAATAGGCAATAGCAATGTAAACTAGCCCCATTATTCAACAATCTTAATATACTTTCTTTTGCTTTTGTTTTAGGTAGTACAAGCTACCCAGCCAGATGTGGTCATGTTAGAATTGTGCAAAAGCAGAATGAATGTCCTAGAATTAGATGAAAGTACTCTTTTAGAAGAAGCCAAAAATATCAACATGGAAAAAATACGTCTCACCATCAAACAGGTATTGTAATCATTTTTGAAACTTTTCTGAAGCTGATAAGTTAAAGTAGACTTTAGATTAAAATTTGGATTATATAAAAATACAATATTTCTTTAAAAAGGAAATACATCTAGAATTAATATTCACCATTTTATTACTTTCTTATTCATTTACAGAGTGGAGTAGTTCAAGGGGTAATGAATCTATTATTATTGAGTATGTCTGCACATTTAACCAAAGAACTTGGTATGGCACCAGGCGGTGAATTCAGGCGAGCTTTTAGAGAGGTGAGATTGGAGCTTCATAACAGACATATTGAAATATATAAGACTGATCTTGAAAATTCACACCCTAATAACTTCAATATTAATTCCATGTTATTTCTGTGTCTTAAGCTTATAGCATCTTCTTCAATATTCTCCTGGTGTCATTTTGCGAGGGGGGATTATCGTATCTCATAAGTCTGTTTGCCTCCTAATACCTATGCATACATGTATTTACCAGATCTAGTAGAAAATGTAACATTTCTGGGATGGGATGTGTACATGATAATTGCATACTATATTATTATAAAGACAACAAGAATTACCATGCAGGGGAAAAGAAAAAAGAGAGAATTGCTAAAGATAAAGGGACCAAAGAAACAAATGACCAATCTTTTGCCAGATATTTCAGAAAATGTAAATCTAGCTATATTTTGTGTACTAATTGAAATGTATATTTTTTGTCAAAAACAAAACCAAACTGTAGTATTTTTAATAACTTACTTACAGGCTCAGTTGGTACCTGGTTGTCGTCTGCATCTTGGTGATCGTCCTATTCATATAACTTTGAAACGTGCCTTGGGTTCATTATCAGTATGGCAGAAGCTCATGCTTGCCTGGTATATACTCACTTCCAAAGAACCAATCAGGTTTGTAATTGTTGGCAAACTTTTGTAAAGTTTTCTCCTCTATAAATAATTCTACATGTATTGTATTTTTTTCAGTTGAACATATTTTTGATAACATCTAAAGATTCATATATCAAGGCTGGAAATAAAGCACTGTCACAAACATTGTCAGGCACTATTCAGGCTTTGTCAGGCATTATCCTGGAGTCTGTCATTTTGGCTTTTTTATACACCCACATTTTCATGTGGGCGTTTTATGCCGTCACCTCTGTCCATAATTTGTTTATGGAAAAGTCTACAGGTCACATTTTTATTTGATTTTGACAAAACTTGATGTATTGGTCTATCTCCCAAAGATCTCAGTTCCTTTTGATATTGGCATGAATTATGGCCCCTGATTGTACGAAAAATGACTTTTTTAGCTTGCGGACACTCTAGAGGACACAATTTTGAGCCGATATTGATGAAACTTGAAAAACATGTTTATAACCCAAAGATCTTGGTTCATTTCGATTTTCACGCATATCGGATTGTAACTTCCTGAATTATGGCCCTTGATTGAACGAAAAATTGTGTTTTTTAAATTATGTTTCCTCTAGAGGTCACAATTTTTATCCGATTTCAAAAACTGTTTAAATATGTCACCATTCCACCATAATGAATTTTGAATTCGAATTTCGGGAAAATCGAAACTGAACTCCCTTACAAAATGGCTGTTCTTTGTACGCAAATTGTGTAAAGGTATGTTATATGAAGATTGTGGACCCTCTAGAGGTCCCAATTTTTATCCGATTTTATTGAAACTTAAATATATCTTTATATCTCAAAGATCTCAGTCCCTTTCAATATTTCGATATCAGACCAGAACTTTCTGGATTATGGCCACTGATTGTACGAAAAAACGCTTTTGATTTTAGCTTGTTCTCTATCCATCTCTTGCAAAATGTGGGCATATCCTGCCTGGCAACCACTGGTTCATTGTTTTTGTTTATCTTTTGAATTAGATATGTCAGCTACCAGTGCATTAGTGTCTGACGCTAAAATTGCTATTTCCAGGCCGGTATATCATATACCGGTAACAATATGCTTCAGAAAACATGCGACATCACTTTTTGCATTTAACTCGAAAGGTCAATTTGTTGTGACATCTGTTTTTCACTCCAACAATGTATTAATTTTATTTTCAGTAAGGAAGAGGTAGAGAAATGTAAACAAAAAGATATATTAGAACAGATGTTAAAAGATATGACAGGAGAGTTCCCTGCCCTTACTCGAGTTTTTTTAGATGAAAGAGATGCCTTCCTTACTCATTCATTAAAATATGCTGCCAGACCCATTCATTCTTCCAGTTCTATAAATGGTATGTTTACATTTCCTGTATTAGCAATGCTAGTCTGAGCTACCATTAATTCTTTACATTTGTCAAGTGTCCAAATTTCACCTAGTCTGAATGTGACTACACAGGGATCAGTGACAGGCAGATTTTCCATTGATTTATTCAGTCCAGTAATAGCAATACCAATTTGAATGATAATGTATTTCCGTATGTCTTATATTGCAAAACATGGTTACTAATTATTGTCATTGGTAATAATCAAAATCAAGATTATATGGTCACAGTTTGCACATAGTGCATCAGTTTAAATTGATATCCAGAAGTTGTAACAGATCAACAATTATCTCCTCTATTTGTTGAAAGGAGGATTTTCTGGATTCATAGGAAGTAAAAGACAAACAAGCTAACATCTTCCACTTTCTGGAAGCTACTGTAACGACTTAACAAGTACAAAATCTGTATATTCGTAACACATCTATCACTATATGAACCTTCTTCCTTCTAGGCCTTAAAGTATAATACAAGTTTATTTGACAAAGATATTAAAGTATTATATATTATTTATTTTGAGTAGGTTTTGTACCATCAGTTGTAGTAGGTGTTGTAGGTATAGGACATGTTCCTGGTATTGTCGCTAATTGGTCTAAAGAACAAAATATACAAGATATTATCACGTAAGTTACTTACACTATATAAATACATGTAAAATACTTCTACAAATTTAAATATTGTTTTAAATACTTTTTCGTTAATGTGCAAGCTGTTGACAAAAACAAACCTTATAAATCACCCTTCATTCAGATTTTCCGGCGTGGTTCCCCCTTGACAGTAATGCAGGATGGAGGACCTGACAAGGAAAGCTGTCTAGTCGTACGGATGGTGAGGTCCCGTGTACACATTGGCATGCACGTAAAAGATCCCTTGGCAGTTGGAATTTGATATAGCGCCACTGTCTGGGCCAAATTTCTCCCATAGCACACTGTATGGCGTATGCCTGTCTTCATTAGCCCAGTTGGAGCAGAACACTAAGATGTTAAACCCCATTTCATTTTGTAAATCACCCCTTCATAAAATATAAAGATAATTCATACTAACATTATTAGAAATTTATTTTATGCTGTAAATAATGCTTTTTTATATATCTTTTTATGTCTTTTACAGAATTCCTCAACCATCAACTTTGTCACGAATTATTAAAATAACTGTAAAAATAAGCTTCTTTGGACTTGTAACATGGGGCTGTTATCGTATAATTAAGGCTGTTATATAGACATCAAGTCTATAAAATTACATATACCAACATCTAGTCCATTAAATTACAGATACCGGTATACAAAAGAACAATAAATCATGAATCAAAAAAAGTACCCTTAAGTAGTGGAGTGATTTTATGTGGGTCAAAGAATTTATAGAAACTGTATTTGGTAATATAAATTTTATCCTTATGATCTTGAGTACTGAACCAACTTTATCTGTTACGTAAGTGTAAAGAATTAAAGATTTACTTTTGGACTTACAAAAGTATAATCGTCTGAAAAAGTATTAATAAAGTATACATTAGAGATACTCATCTTTTATATTGGTATGAAAGAGGGTAATATAATCATGCAATCCTAGAAATTATGTTATTTTTTGTTGGTTTATATAGCTTCTTCTTCTTTTTAAATTTGAATTATCTGTACTTATACAGTATTATAAGAATTATTCCTTTCTTTTAAGTGGTTTGCATACATGTATTAATTAATCTATTTTCCTTGAGCAATAACATCATAATTTGTCGATCTTAAAATATTACAGAGAAGGTTAAAATAAATATACCGGTATTTACTTTTGAAGATGTAAGCCAAATTAAGTGATGGTTTAAACCACATGTAAATTTGTTGTATATAAGAATGTTGAACAAGATCACAAATCAAAATGATTTTATTTTATAGTTTTATTATACTGTTTACATTTCATAACTAGTGGATATCTGAAACACTGTTAATATTCTTTTGATATCTCTAACAGTAGAGGCAACAATAGCACCATGTTTGTTCTTAATTTCTCACTGACAGTGTTTATCTGTGGTATAGGTACATGGTATTTACAACTTATATCTAAAGTATTTTGAGAATGCTGTCTCTTCATTGGAGAGGAGCACTTAAATCATAGCACAGATTTCAACATTCAACCAATGAACAGGCTGTTTTCATCAAATACTTTAGTTGAAAAGTTTTCATAAATAGGGCAATGGATCGCCTCATCTATTTCACTTACATTATCTGTTATAACTTTCATAACCATGTATTGTTATTATATTTCATTTAACTCTTATCATATGTATATCATCAACAGTATCATTATGTTTCATTTTTGTTGTATAGATAATATTATTTAATGTGGCTGATATTGGATTGGGATTATGGGTGATGGTTGTGTTCAAATAGTGAATACATGTATTTCTTTTTATTTATTCTGCTAAGCAATTAGATTGATTAATAAAAACTGTCACATTCAGTTTAAGTAAAATTGTATCAAAAATATTATTGTGAGCTGTCACTCTTTAAAGCTGTTTTATCTTTTAAGTTAAAGAGATTCAAGTTTTTATTAGATAAGGAAAATGAATTTTGGTGTTGACTGTTGAGTGTATAAAGTAATTGTAATAACACATTCTTGTCCAATATAAATTGTTGACAGCAACACTACCGATATATTTGGAATAACCTTCTCAACCTTCTTATAAAGCATGGTTTGGAAGAAAATATAAAGCTTTATAATGCACTGTAAGAAGCAGATTAAAGGGTATTTCCCGGATTTTGCAGAACATTGTAAATAAAAGTGGGTTTAGGTAGGTAAATCAAATGCTAAGATATGAGAATTTTGCCATATTACCGTGTCTGAAGGTTTCAAAATATGGAGAAGGTTGGAAAACATTGGATCTTTATGTCACTGTAATTAAACAGTATATGTTAGTGAAAGACTGCCCTCATACAATCTTTTACTTCATGTTTCTTCCCTCAAATCTATCTTTCTCCTGTATAACTTCAGACAGTAAGATATTGTTTTTTTTCCATTTTCTGATTGGTTCCGAAGAAACACTTTGGGGATACTCGATTTAACGTTCCGTAATCAAGCCCAAAAATGCTGATTGCATAAAAAATATCTCAACCAACCATGACGGCTGAAAAGGATACATTGTATTTAATTATGACACGATTCTACTCACACCACCTCTGTTGTGGAGACTGGCAGAACTGTGACAGGACTGAATTCTGTATCACTCCATTGCAGTTCTGTCAATTCGGGACGAACTGAAAATTGAGTATCCCCTATGAGGTAAATCAAGGGAGGTATGTAGCTTGTTGAACTGGGCTAATATCTATTATCAAGTAGCCTGGTTTTACTCTATCTAAATTTCAAATATTGGTAATGTATTAAATTTGATAATTTTGTAGTTGTTAAGATAAATAATATAAGTTAAATGAAAATATTACACAAATTTATGATGACTAATGAAGTTAAAATGCTGTTATTGTTATGACAATATTTTTGGTCAAATAGGTATTTTTGGAACCCATATTTCATTGTTGTTATTTGTTTGTAGACATTTCTTGCAAACAGTCTTTTTTTTTTCAACAAATAAACGTTGTTATTTATAAACTATTGTGTCTTTTATTTATATAAAAATGAAATTGTGGTTGGTGACAAATGTTCCTGGTGAGCACCTTGGAATCAGGAATTGTTATCAAGCCTGATAATGATTTGGGTGACTGGGGCTCTTATCTTTGAAAGCAGTTTATACATGATACTTTAAAGAAGTTACCGTTTATTGACCAGATCAGATGATATCGGTGGCGGCGCCAGCCGTCGGTGATTGGAGGGGCAAAGTCCATGGTTAAGGGGGCAAAGGCACGAGCTTCAACTAGGGGTAGGGGGCCTCCCCCAGAAAATTTTGAAAAACAGGTTGCCGGAAATGCAGTCTGGCAGTATTTCAGGCACTGATCGATGAGGTAAAGTGTCAAACGAACGGACTTGAGAATCACAACGAAGCCCACTCACGAGCGTCAAAGTAGGGAGTCCTCCCCCAGAAAATTTTGAAAAATAGACTGCCGGAAATGCTGTCTTACAGTATTCTGTCAGGCACCGATAGTCGAGATAAATAGATCTGCCCAGATACCGTTCGTTGCCTGATCACTAGTTTATATCCGACTAGAGAACAAAATGTCAAATGAACGGACTTGCGAACCTCAACGAATTCACCTTGTGAGCGCCAAAGTAGCATGTCCATTGGGGACCTCGCCAAGAAAATTTTGAAAAATAGACTGTCGGAAATGCTCTACAACATGCAAGTTTATGACTGAGTGGGGATGTGGGATTTATTCACCGTAGAATGTATTGATTACTGAAACGTATCACAAATACTTTTTTTTATTTTCTAAAATTATTGGGGGGGGGGGGCAAACAGAGGGCAGAACAGAGGGCCCCCCTCCCTGGCGCCGCCACTGGATGATACAGAATTTTAACAATTTGCAAAAATCTAATGGTACAGTATCTGATATCAAGGAGATTGGTTTCTATTTTCAAAAACAGATACCCACTGTTTGCGAAGAGAAAGGGTGGGCAGTAGTTTTGCACTAATCCATTTCAGTCCGCTAAATTGAGATGGGCATAGGTTTTTGGTAGACTTCTTCAGCCGTTCCCATACCTGGATTCAGATTCATTTGGCTTACCCATCCAAATGATTATGGTGGTACGGTACTATTAACAATTTAGCATCTTTTAATTTTAGCAATAAGAAATTATTGCTATGAAAGTATTTTGGAAGAGGTGGGTTGTGAACCTAATCCCTATACCCTGGCAGCTTTGGCGTAACGTGCAAGCGTATTATTGAAACAAAAATCGTACATGTTAGTCCCGAAATAACCTATTTTGTGTGTAGTAGACGTTATACTCTCTCGCTTTGGGGTAAATAAATAATCTCTATTTTGACAAACCTACTTTCATTTTTATGTCAGATTTAAAGGGAGATAACTGCAATATTTACATTCAACCGGAAGAATTAAATCATATCCGGAATAAAGAAAAATAGACCAAAACAGTCATAAACGAATGTAACGTTATCCTTTTAGTTTTTATGGTGTATCTTTTTACTTACTCAACAGATTTTGTGTAAGAAATATGTCTTATACATCTGCTTTAGACCCCGATGAAGCTTTTGACTATTTATTTAAGATCGTTTTAATTGGAGATGCAGGTGTTGGTAAAACTTGTGTCGTTCAAAGGTTCAAGTCAGGAACATACACTGAAAAGCATGGCAGCACAATTGGTGTAGATTTTACAATGAAATCTCTGAATATTGATGGTAAATTGGTTAAGGTAAGTCGTTAACCAAGGGCTCTTTAAAGATGTATATTTTCTTGCAAGGAAAACTTTATAAAAGTACGATGAAAAGAACTAACCTATCGGCGATTGCATAGAAAAATAGGCACCTTTTTTACTGTCTGTAAGTGTTACTGTGGAGTTTTGAGTTTATAATCAGCTGTTAGTATGGAAATAAAAACACTACATATTTACCATCCTTATTTATTATTGTTAATAATGTTGTAAACAAAACCCAACAAAAAGTTGACTTGTAGTGTAGGCCTACACACATGTTAGTATCGTATGGAGTAAATCAGTTGTTTTGTTTATATCAACAAATAGTCCAGTCTGAACTAGTGAAAGACTCAAAATTGTAATACAGTATTATTAATTTAAAAGATTATTATTATTATACATGTAGCCTATATCTCTTAGTCCCACTATTTAAACGTCTTTAAGATTATTTTATGTAACCTTTTTTTCCAGCTACAAATCTGGGACACTGCTGGTCAGGAGCGATTTCGAACTATAACTCAAAGTTATTATCGTAGTGCCAATGGTGTCATTATAGCTTATGATATCACAAAACGTTCAACATTTAACAATATACCACGTTGGTTAGAAGATGTTAAACGATACGCTGGTACAAATATAGTACAATTACTTGTAGGTAAGGCATAGTTTACTCATGTAAATAGTCAAACTTGTGCGTCAGTGCTGGATTTAGATGAAGATAGGCCCTCTGCTATTCCACTTATGAGGCCCCTACCTTTACAGCTAGAGAAAAAATGACACAATTGAGCAAAGCTGAGGATGATGACGGATGTTTTAAAGACTAGAGTGCATGTATGATAGTGTCAAAAATATTGTACACCTTGGCCGGTGGCCTCCTAGATCTCTGGGCCCTAGGTTTCCTCCTGCCAAGCTGATAGGTAGATCCGGCACTGACTTGCGATGTAAATCTTAAGATCTGTCATTGAGTCAAATGGCATAGTTTCAATCCACAAGTGTAAGTGACAAGGAGTTGAAGGAGTAAATTGATGGATTAATAATTGGAAATTGATAAGAAAGAAGATGAGAAGTAAACAATAATTGGCTCAAGTCTTTTAAGAGCCCTTAAAAAAGCTTTATAATTTAATAACTATGTTGGTGGCTTTGGTGCTGCCATATTTGTGTACTATATAATCTGTACTATACATAATCTGTAGGTGGGTTGGATGGCTGAATGGTTAGCATGTGCGCGCTGTATCATGAAGTCTGTCATTGAGTCAACTGGCGTGGTTTCGAATCCCCGGTTGTACGTGACAAGGAGTAGGGTCTCCTGTCCAACTTCGTGGGTTTTCTCCGGGTTCTCCTTTTTCTTCCCACCCACTGCTAAAGACCCCTACGCGCAAGAGAAATATGGAAATAAAATTGAACCATGTGTTAGTCCCGAAATGACCTAGTTTGTGTCGAGTGGATGTTAAACCCCATTTCTCTCTCTCTCTCCCATAATCTGTACTAATTTTCAATAATCAATTAGGGTACTAAATCAGTATTGTCTTTTATTTTTTATCTGAATTTTTTATAGGTAATAAAAAGGATATAGAAAGTTTGCGAGAAGTCAGTCAAGAAGAAGCCAAAGCTTTTGCTCAACATCATAATATGATTGGAGCCGAGGAAACTAGTGCTAAAGAAAACACAAATGTTGATGATGCCTTTTTGAAAATGGCACAAGTAAGAACCTAAAATACAAATTGTTAAGGAGGTTTTTTTTTTGTAATTTTGATCTAACAGACCCATAAATCAAACACCCATAATACATGCACTTTTGTGTACCATGCTATATATGCAGGACACAAAATGTTCAAAGTTTTTAAAATAGTATACCGAATGATCGTTAAAAATCAAAAAAAAAATCAGGATTATCAACCCACTATTGATCCAATTTGTAATTTAAGTTACTTAGCATGTTTGGTGAGAGGCTGTGACCCCATGGCCCCAAATCACTGCAAATATGTCAATGGTTATGTAGTCAAGTTGGTGATAATACCCAATAAATTAAAACATTATTGTCATGTATATTATGATGTTAATTAAATAAAAATGATAAAAGATTGAGATAAAATGATAGAGCATTTTGTGGACATGAAACCACTGAAAAATAACTGAAGGTTTGCATGTGTATGGGAAGGTATCATTACTTTTATTGCTGTCTGGGGGTAGACCAACCTTCGACCACAGAGGTTAAAAATAGGTGCTAATGGTTGTTAATAGGAGCTAAGTGGTCATTGTTAGAGTTAAAAATCTCTATGTCTATAGTCAAAATGTTGGTGGCCAATATTTCAGTCATGGGGATCTTCCAAAGGAATAGGTTAAGAGTTAAAACTTCTGTGGCCAATGAGTTATACATTTGCTATATTATGACAATGTCTCTTCATTATACACTTAATAAATCATATTATACAAAGTTTAAAATAATAAAATGTATTTGTAATTTGTTTTTATCTACAGGAATTGAAGAGAAGATATGGTGGTGATTCTATGACAGGTGTAGACGACACTAAAATTAATCTTAACACAAAACCACTAGACAAATGGTACACTTGTTGTGGATCTTAGTAACAACTCAATACTTATAATTCCATGTTTGTGTTGTATAAGAATATCAGATCTAATTGATGCTTAGATTAGAAATTCTGCCTCTATTAATTTTATCTAATCTAATTTTTATGATTTGATTGAAAGATTACAAATGAAAAGAAAAAAAGAACGAATAAAATCAGATATTTTCCTATTGTATTTAGTTGATAACCTAAAGCATCAATTCTATCAGATATATTTTTAGAAAAAGAACTTTTAAGCTAGAAACATACAACAAGCATAAAATGTACATGTATGTAATTTGTAACTTTATTTTACTTGATTCCTCCTTTTGTTGCTAGCTTTACTAAAGTCATTATTTTCATATAATTCTTACATTCCTTTCAAAATTTTATACGCCACTTGTTCAAATCATGATGGTTCGTATTAATAATTGTGATTTTGTGTAAACCTGCAAACTGTCCAAACCTGCATAGATATAGATTGTATTTATTTTGTATAACAGGACATGGCACTTGTACTCTGTGTCCTATTATTAGATAACCATATTACAAGGTCTCTTACTTTGTGATTATTTTGTCATTCAGTATCTGAAAAACTTTTAGAAGCAAACTTAATTTCTAGCTTATATTTTCAGATTTGAATGTTGAAAGTTACAGCTTGTAACTGTGAGAGCGTCTGGCTAGTAATTTATTAAAATACCAGTATTAGGTGTTTAACAAATTTTGATATGTTTCTCTTTGAAGATAATAACAATATCCATGTGTAAAAAGTAACACAATATTTAATTATATGTTGGTTTAATTGTCTTATATTTATGAAATGTGATATGAACATATCTATATATGACTTGATTTGAAATCTGTTCTTTAATAATTAATATCATTATTCTACATAAATATTATAAGCACAATTATAGAAATATTATGACAAACAGGGTATCAGCTTTTAAGATGTGTATTAGATTTCTGTAATTAGAAAAAAAGAAAACCATTTTGATAATGAACAACTAAGCATAAAATGTTAATTCTGTTTTTTATCAGTGTGCTTGTGTAAGAAATTTTTTTTTAATGATCTCAGTTCACCTTTGTGATTAATCTATTAGATAAACTATTTATAGATATTTTTATTCAGAATAAGTTTGAACAATTCTCAATTTTAATCAACTTTAAAGGTATTATTTTTGTACTTATTTTAGATGGCAACATTTTGTTATTCAAAGTTATGTATTATTTAGATTTTTCCTGACCTATTTCTAATTAAAATCTATATTGTCTTTAGATTGATAAGTGTATGTTCACATCTTGAAACTGCACAGATGATTTTTATTCCAATCTTTCCTGTTTGTTGACAGACCCATTAAAAAGGAAAGGCTGTCTCTGCTGGAAAATTCTTGAGTAGCCAAATAAAAATGAAATTCCCATTCTAAATTATTGCTCACACATCTCTAATTTATTGAATAAGAGAAAAACAAATCAGTAGTTTGCTAACAATAAGCTATATCATTATTTTGGCATAGTATATACCAAATAATACATGATTTAATTTTGAAGGGTAGACTTACATTGTAAGAGACATTATACCTCTTAAATATTTCTCCAGTTTTTGAAAACTCAAACGAATTCATTAATAGTTTGCAGGCTTTTTTTTTAGCTTATGAGAAACTGACAGTTTTCTGGTTAATTCTGTTTTATGTGTTCTGTAATTTATCTTAATGTGTTATTTCATTGCATTTAAAAAAGTTATTCGATAATTAATCAAAGTTGAAAATGATTCTTTAGTTCACTGGCCTTCATTACTGAAATTAAACCTTAGGTACATATGCAGTATTATATTACAAAATGCATATAGGGTAGTTAGATCCATTCATAAGGCAAGCTAACTCAAACAGCATTTCAAGGAGGGTTACAGAAACCAAAAATTCATGTCATTATTGCATAGAGCATTTGATGTACCAGTGGCCAAAGGAAAGATAACTGCTTTATCAAAAACCATAGTCTGTATACATGATGAGGAATAAAACTAGGAATGGTTTGTATGTGTATTTCTATTGAATTTTCCCAGATTAAATATATATTGTATGGATTGTGGATCAATTAAATGCATGTCTTTATTACTTAGTAACTTAGTGTTGTCTATTCCCTAGATATTTTTGGACAACACTGAAATCAACAAGTATCTCTATGAGTTATTTTCTTTGTGGGTTTGAGTGTAATCATATTTTTATATTATATTATTCTGATTTTAATATTTATATAATGAAAAGCAATTGTAAATATTTGTTATTTTGTAATGTAATTTATAACCATAAATAAGAACCATTATGGAGTTGGTCCCATTCAGCACTGGATGTTGGTATTTAAATTGTCAACACAAAACATCATAACTTATGAGCATTATTGCTTTTAGATGGCTCAGTTGATGTTTACTATGGGTAGACGTACCAGAATATATATGTGGGTATATTCAAAACAGGATGAGTTATATTGAAATTGTGATCTAATGAAGATTGGTGTTGAAATTGTAGTTAATATTAGTTTATTAAAGGAGGTAAACACTTTTGATTTAGGTCGCAGTATGAATTATATAATTAACATATGAATAGAGTTAAACCATTTTGATTTAAGTCACAATTAAGTATTTTATTGGGTTTACCCCTTTCCTGAATTATTTTACTGTCTTGAATAATCAATTGTGGAATAAACAGTTTTAATGAATGGTGTAGTAAATGTAACAATATGTTCCCAAATTCATTGGTTTAGAATTGACTTTAAACCTGTTTAATGTTAATATTTATATTCAACTGAGTATTGGGTTAACAACCTTTAATAAGACCTAGTCTTCCAGCCTTGCAAGTTATAACACTTCTTTTATATTATTGGTTATATCTTGTTAATATTTTTATTCTTCTTTCTTTTTGGTTGAAATAATGATCAAGTTGTGAATAGTTATGAAATGGGTACATTATTTATATATTGTGTAAAGACTATATTATTTTTATCTGTGATGTAATCCAATTATTATATGTTTATATTATGTACATATATTTTATATCTACCCAAATATGTCTGTACAGATTTAATGTAAATTATAAACATGTTGTCAAGTGTTATGTAACCACGTACTCGACCGACCCAGACTATTTGAATAATTATCGATTTACTTCAGTAGCTTCTGGACTAATGTTGTACTATCCTATTAGTGGATCATTGGGTATTCTCGGCAAATACTGAATTATGTGACATCTTCACTATCTATTGGTTAGTCTCAGCATCTGTTGGACTGTTGCTCTGTCTGCGGATGAGTGGACATTTACAGTTTCTTAGCTATGTTAACTGCTGCAATGAGAAGTAGTATCGGATGTTTCAGATATCTTCTGGACCACTAACAAGCTTTTACCTGTGATGAGTGACTATTAGCCAGCAGATTTCCTGGTATATTGGATTTTCAACTGGCCTCCAGATCATCTGGACTATCAGCCAGGCTATTCATCTATTGGACTATTTCTGTCACATAGTCATAAAGAAACAACTATTCTTTCAATACACTGGCCCTTGAGCTTAAACCCTCTTCAGCTACTGGCTTTCTGTCACTTTGATTCCCCTTTAAAAGGTAGTGACTCAAACCCACAGGGTCAAAAGTTAACTATTGTTTATTCTGAGTTATAAGCTAAGTACCTTATGCACATGCCCGATAATCATCAGCTAGCTAGCAAGCGACCTGTCTGCTGGTGTGTTTGGCTTCTGGAAGATTAAAAATGTTCCCAGTTAGGTTATCAAGTCAACCTACAGGATTACCAGCTAGCTAGCTAGCTAGCTTGTGATTGCAGATACTGAGCTATCCAACAGCTTTACTATATCAAACCCCTAAACCATATTTGCTGCAAAAGAAATACAGGTGATGTGAATAGTGGATAGATTCTGTTGTCTAGCTGTTTTCTTGTCTGCTATAAAATTAACAAACTACCCGGCCGGACGAGTCGTTCATTATCTGTGTTATTGCAGATACAGAACTATCAGCTTGCATTTTTGGCAACAAGAATACCAGCTTCTTCATGTCAGCTACTAGTAAATATGTATTCAATATATACAATATTAATCCAACAAATTTGTTCTCTTGCATGGATAAGAAACAGTTCATTTAGTTTGTATTTGGCCGGGTTCTGATAGTTATTTATGCCCATGGATATATTTCTCTGCACAATGATTATCATAAAGAATTGACCCAATGTTTATTTGTTAAATATAGTGCTAGTTTTTTTTGTACTGTGCTAATGACATTGGGATATAGTTAATTTTACACGTTTTGAAGTATGGGTTAAATATTAATATTCTCATATGATGTAATAATAAAATAACAATAATAAAAAGGTGCTTCCAAATCAATTTGTCCATATAAATATCAGAATCAACATACATTATGGAGAAATTGATGAACTTTTAGGTTAGGAACGAAAAATATTGTTATATGTACACTCATCCACTTTTCGCTAATACTTATAGCTCTTGACGAAAAGGATTATGGAATATATCGCAAAAATCTGGCAAATTTGCTTTAAACCCCAGCTTCAACTGAACTGCCCAAAGTGTCAGAGTCAATGAATGTCCGATTAGGCCAAAGAGTGTACCCAAGCCTATCGCGGGAAAAACCGACACTTACGGTACTTCGTAAAAATGACCTCCCAAAGTCTGTCTTTCGTTGATTTGGTCAGGCTGTTGCCAAATTTTCCTTTAAGAGTGTAATAATTTTGCTCAACGGCCGAAATTAAAAGACCGAGAACTGCAGGATTCCAATTTTGAGTACGCTTTTTAGGCTCCATTTCAGCTTTTGACAGGCAGACAGACGACTTATGCTACTCACGCGCTATGATGTATGCTACTCACGCGCTATGATGTACTATGTATGTAGTAAACAAAAACAAGTAAACAAACGGCATGAAAATAGTATTTTATTCATAAATTGTCCGTAAAATCTAAGCGTATAAAAAAGGAATATATCATTTTCGTCGTTAATGTTCAAATAGGTAAGGATAAAATAAAACATAACGGTTATAAGTGCAGACATTGTCAAAATACAGACCGTGAGAATGTTTACAAAGTATGAATGCAGTGACGCATCATGGCGTCGAGACCATCCGTGACAATTTACGAACAGAGTCTATACGAAAAAAAGTTAAAGAAAAAACTTACGTCGGCCTTTGTGAAACCGGCGTAAATAATTCGTATCTTTTTCGTAAGTCTGTCTTCACGTAGTTTTTCTCTCAAAGCTACGAACTTTTGTGAAACTGCCCACAGAGCCGCATATACAGCTCTGATATAAAGAAAAGTAGGCTCTGCCTCGGCTCTAGTCTGTCTAGGCACTCTAGGCGATAGCACCGGTACTCGTGCAAAATTTCCCGCATTACACTGCATGGCGTATGCCCGTCTTCATTAGCCCGGATGGAATAGAATAGCCGACCCTTATTATTTCCCTGACTTAATACTCGTCTTAAAAGGGAATGCTTTGAGGGTTTATGTGTAGCCTAAAAAGAACCCCGAACCACTGTCTACTTTCACTTAGTGTGACCTCTAGAATAACTGACCAATAAAAAATTAGTATGTTGGCGCGTGACTTCAAACGTGTACCGGATACTCTACGTTCTCTAGCAGACAACAACGAAACCCTGTCATTGTTGACTTGTCCAAAGTAAGTAATATCGAGAAACCAAACGCAACTACTGGCAATTCCAAAGCCCAATGTTAGTACAGGGAGATTATTTACTTATCATTACCTAATAAAGGACCGTATCTTAAACTCTATGTTCAAGTTTAGGCCTTTAAGACGGCGTCACCGTCAGGCGTCACCTACGAAAGACGGCTAGGCGACTACACTCACACTCACTGTGCTAGCCTAGTGCTAGCTTACTGAAGTTATTAATGAAGTTAGTCAGCTAGCAATTCAACGACCGTTCTAACATGCCAACATACCGATTAGCTTAGTAGTAGATCTAATACTACTATCACCACGCAAAATTAGTAGTAGATCTAATACTACTATCACCACGCAAAATTATGTTCCGAATCAAATGATTCAGAATGCAACTTCGCATAAACGAAAGCCTAAAATGGAACACAAGACACCCACTTAGTGACTTACTTAGACTTACATTTGTTCCAGACAAGTTTTCATATTTTGTGAAATCTAACCCATGGCCATTGAGGTGCACGTAAAAGAGTAATCCTACCTGATCGTCATTTCCCGTATAGTAGCTGCAGCATTCTGATTAAGCACAGGCACGTCGGGGACATGGGACGATTGAGCTCATGGTATGCAATGCTGAAGAATCAGCAGGGGCAGGCCTATTGTAGTTCTCGTTATCTACTATTATTGAACTGGTTTAGAAATAATTTTTGATATTCCACTTTTCAGAAATAACTGAGAGTAAGTGGGTGACAGTATGTCTGAAAATCAGAACTTCATCTACCAAGACAACACAAACTATCCAAACAGAGTTCAAGTTCCTGCTCATTGTGGGTTTGAACCCCATTACAGCCACATAGAAACTCCTATAAATTTCTACAGCCAATCCAACTATAATTCAGCACCCCAGGGATATGTACAAGTTGAGAAAATATGGACTGGTAATGAAAATTCCTCAAAAAATAACAAACCTGTCAGTGGTGAATATTGGGCGGTTTCTAATCAAAGATGGGCTACGCAGCAGCCTATTTATCAGCAAGCAGTACCTACTCCAAAACGTACTCAACATCGTGTATTGTCTGAACAAAACAGTTTCATTCCTCCAGATCATCAACCAGTAAAATTCAAAAGAAATTCTATTCCCAGACAACATGCAGCAGTCATAACCCATACTAACGAATACAAAGAAATGATAGAGAATCGTGACCCAAACTATCAAGCTTTAGATAGGAATTGGAATGCATCTACTAGGAGAGTTGAATCTGAGACATCCATTGCTACAAACAATTTGACCAATGTTCTTAATGCTGATCAAGGCTCTGAGAATACTGATTCCCAAGAATCAGCACCTGAATTTACTGGTAAAAGGGCCACACGAAGCAGTCACTTGAGAATTTTCAAACGCAGTACACAGCAAGATACCATGGAAAGAACCAATAATACCGAATTGATGCATCATATGAAACTGAAAAGAAATAATGTTACCCAAGACAGCCATGGACCAAGTGGGGACGGAGGTCCAATTGGAGATGGTGAACCACCGCTAAAAGTTCAGAAGATTTCTATGCAGCCAAAGCATATCATATCATGGTATCTTGATCATCTTATTGGAGAAAATGAAGAAATCACTGAGATGTCAAAATCTTTTACTATTCCTGTTAATATATTTGGAAGCGACGATTTTTACTTCATGGACAGCCTCACTAAAACTGTTAGTTTCCCAACTCCTAAATTTCTACAGTGGATGAAAGCAAGTTTTCCTGATATTAACGCCAATGCAATTGACTTTTACCAGAAAGGTGGTAAAAGAATTATAATTCCTGACCCAAAACGTTATTGGCAAGACAAACAACCTCATGATATTATTAAAGAGGTATTCTACCAGTTTCAGGAAGAACGAATACTTCATTGAACAATTTAGTAGCATGGAACAATATTCTATTGATTTCAAAAATGGACTAAACTAAGTCTTAACTAATTCATTCATGTTTGGTTTATTATAACTTTACCTGTTCAATCCTTAATTTGAAGCGGTTCTTTGTTTCCTATATCAAGTAGAATTTGATATTTTTTATTCATTGTTGTCTTAATGCATGAAATTTTAAATACCCAGGTTAAAACGATTAATGTCTGTATGGCGCAATATGATTAATATGTTTTATAATGTTAATGCATGAACAGTTTGTAAATAATTTACATAGTGATATATTTTTGTTAAACTATACGTTTTTGCAGAAGTACTTATCCTATTTTATAGAAAAAGATTTAATATTATTGTAAAATAGAAATAGATCACACAAATACTGTACATAATAAATCCAAGGGGTAATCGTAATGGAGTATTGGTATTTAAATTTTATCAGTATATGAATGGTAGAATAGAGGCGAAAGAAAAGGAATGGAGTGTGATGTTTCAAGTCAACACAATTTGATTATTATTTTAGTCGAAATTTGTACTTAAAATTACGACAGTCAAGTTTCTTTTAAAGACATGCCAATGTGCACAGAGACTCGAGTGGTCAATAAAATCTCAGTTCGACTATCCATATCGACGGAGTTGCGCGCTGATAAATAAACAATATAAGGGGTACCAGCGATTGATACTACTGGACCGCGTGGTGTCAGATCCAGCAACAGCGTGCACGGGCCTCTGAAGGAGGGTTACCAAACGTAGGGCACTTGAAGAGGGGGGGGGGGGTCCAACACCGAGAAATGTTCTGTTATGTGGCATATGCTAAGAGTCGATTTGACGTTTATCTGAGCCATGGCATACCATAACTTGACACATGGTTGGGTGATTATGATCAAGTCCCGAAGATCTCAACATGAACGTACCAAATCCCATTCCATTCTGGTAGCTAACGATGGAGGAGTAGCACTTAAAAGTAAACTGGCAAATACCAAAAATAATCCCGATTCAGACACCGGTCGTGGCCCCGGTGCAAAAAGTTTACTTTAAGCCTCGCCAAGGAAATGATTGATGACTGAATGAGTGTCAATAGAGTTCGCGGTAACCATTACTCATTAGCGTATTGACCTTGAGTATGCAAGCAGCTAAAAACGTTCTCGTCGCCCGTGTTGCAATTTCCGTTGTTGTTTTTTATTCTCCTAAATTCTAACGAAATAAATAAAACATTCTGACTATTATGAAACTATTCATGCATTGGATGCTGGATCACGAAATGAAATCAGATCCTTCGAACTTTTCAACATCTAAACAGAGAAAATTGAGTACGATACCAGCCTCAATTATCAGTCGATCACCAGCAGCGTTGATCGGTCAATGAGTGATCGATGGTGCATGTACGTACATTGAACGCGATTGTTTTTTTTATTAGAAAAAGAGAGCACACTATTAATATTTGGGCAATGGGAATATGGTGACATTGACGAGCACAGCCACACACACACCTATATCCTGGAAATCTTACCGGATTCAAGCATTATAGACTATTTCCAATTTCTTTTATTTTTGTATTTATTATATGAGGGTAGGGTGGGCGGCTGCCTATCGTGCCTACCCACCCAGCACGCCTGTGATAACAGTTTAAAATCATCTCACTGATTAATCTGTATTCAATGAGTAGGCTACTGGTATCATAGTTTAACATCATCTCAGTAGTTTGTAGATTAATCTGTAAGTAATGGTTTAACAGTTTAAAATCCTCTCAGTAGTTTGTAGATTAATCCGTATTCAGTGAGTAATGGTTTAAAATCAATTCAGTCAAGTTATTAGATTATCTGTATTCGGTTAGAACTAGCTCAACAGTTTAAGATTGAATCAATCTGGTTAATAGAATAATCTCTATTCATTTAAAATCAAATCAGTTTAGTTAATAGATCAATCTTACTTGTTTCCCAGTCAGAGGCATGCTGGGGGCTTCTTGTCTTCGATATCACAAAAGGTTGAAGCGAATGTAAAACCCTACAAATGAACAAACGAATGGGGGCTTTGAAGGAGGGTAGACAGACCAAACTTGCTATTAATGGTCAAATCAATAATGATTCAATAACACAGATAGTTGACAAACTATCTAAAGTGCTTAAGTTAATGTGAAAATCTTTGTTAGCTAAAAGATTATTTGTTAATAAACACAGCATTTTCAAGATTCAAGAATGACAACTTAAATCATTTGGTTATCTAGTTTATTACAATAATAAATACAAGAATGAGAACTAACGAAGAATTAGTATTTGGCACTAAAATGATATCACAGATAAATGTCATGAAGTAATGGCTACAATTACATAAAAATCTTATAAAAGTAAAACAAACAAAAAGCATAGTATATAATTAATATTATGGTACGTACTATATTTACATTAAAATAGATGATGGATTTCATATACAAATTACTGTTAAGAATAATGTCATGGTATGATCTAAGTATGTTACCCAAGATTATATTTCACTTCAAACATTGTACAAAATATATTTAAGAAATGGTAAAGCTCAGTTAGAATAGATGAAATGTGACACAAATAACCTGAAAATAGTTTTATGCCAAACCTGAAAAAAAGTGTTTGAAGTTCTCTTAGTTTGCTTGTATTTGGATTGTTTTCACAGCTTAAATGGAACTTGAAAAAACAAAATAGGGTGAGGTACTTTAAAATAGTGTCTTTACCATTATTTTCATACATTAATATATTTATGTTTAGCATTTACCAATCCATGTATGTTTAGATAATGTATGATAAATTTAATTAAAGCTTTTAAAGAAGGACGGTTTGTAAAGAAATACTTGGATAATATTATGCTATTGCAGTTTGATTTGTAAACGATGGAGGGAACATTGTTAACACTTTGTATTAAAGAAACAAATTATTGTAGTTTGCTTTGAAGTGAACTTCCTAGACAGAGATCTTGAATCAAACAACGGTGTCACATTCAATATTGTAATAAATCTGTCTACAAATGTCATAACAATATAGTCTTTGGTCTATATAAGAAATAATAGAATTGCTATGATATACTTAACATACATGCAGTAAACATTGAGATCTGTTGCCGTTTAAAGAAAGAGAATAAAAATATAATGGATTAAGTAACTTAAATATATAAATAAAACTGAGACACTACTTCAATGAAGAAGGTATTTTACTATTTAACTTATCTGGTCGAGAAATAATTTTCCGTATATTAGATTTGGTTAGACCATTTATAGAACTATTTACTGACTTAGAGGTGATGACTGCTGATTTTTGTTTATTGTAAGAAGTATAGCTGTATATTCCGTACATATCTTTAGGGTTGATTTTAGTAAAGACTGGACTAACACAATCCCTGGAAGAATCATAACCATTATTGTAAGTTTTGATACTATTAGTAGATACTGGTACAGGAATAGATGATTTGGTTGTCTTCCTCTTCAAGTTTCTCCAACTTGTGAAAACCTGTAATTAAAGAAAATAGATCATTGAAAAAAACAACCCAAGTTATTCTTTTAAACAAAAAACATCTTATATTGACATAAGACTGCTATCTGGTCCTCAGGCCTAATTTGTCTGGCGTTCAAATGATATTTTATTACGCAATGACCACAATCATTGTCTTATGATGTATATTGGAGAATTTAAAATTATCCTATTTCTTTCTGTCAGAAATAACCGTCTTTATTAGCCAAGTTAGAGCATAACAGTATTATGTTAAACCCCATTTCATTTCATGTAAGAAATAAAAGCTTGTCTGAAGTAATTAAAATAGTTACCTGCGCTAAGAGCTGTCTCTTGTAAAATGATTGCACCTTTGTTGCTGCTTTCCTCTCACTATATTCAACTCTCCAGTTTAACCAGAATTTCTTTATTAATCGTTCGTTTCTCTAAAATAATATAATTCAAAATGACCAATAAAATTAAAAGCATGCTTAATAAATAAAGCAACAATCATGTATATTGTCAAGTGATCACAGACCAAAATGAAGTTCCAGGGGTTATGAAACCGTATTTTCAAATATTTACTTTAAAAATCATATAGACGATCTTACCACACATTTAGCAGTGTAAGCTAAATCTACTTTCCATTTCCACAATCGACCATATTTATTTACAAGTCTTTCCTTATGTCTTTCTTTCTGTTGTGTAACACATCTTTCAGTCTTCATAGCCTCAAAAACCATTTTGCTGAAATAAAATTAGAAATTTGATTAAAACGCAAAATATTTATGCATAACCAATTGCCTAATGTTGTGTTATGTCATTGGCATATGAACAGATGAATGATAAGACAGTGGTATGGCAAGATTGTTCACAATTAAAATCGCCGAATCTACCTCGTAGACCAGATACATTTAAGAGTTGAAGGTAGCCACAGTGGCTCAGTGATTTGGACGTTCACTCGCTAACCTGGAGGTCCCGTGTTCGATCCCTGCTGAGAAAGTTAACTGGGATTTTCCAGCGTGGTCTGCCCTTATCAGTGGTGCTGGATGGTGGACCTGGCAAGGGAAACGTATAGTCGGTCAGATGGGGAAAAAAAAAGAATGTGCCGTGAACACATTGTACACGTAAAAGAACCCTTGGCAGTTTCAATTGGATATAAGAGTAGGCCATTGTGGAGCTGCCTGGGCAAAATTTCCCTCATAGCACACTGTATAGTGTATACCCATTTTCATTAGCCCAAATTGTTTCAATGGCATTAGTTATTGAACTGGAATATACAAGTCAGAATTCTATGGAATACAGTAATAAGCAGTAATTCTTAATTCTATGGAATACAGTAATAAGCAGTAATCCTATTCCATAGAATTGTGACCTGTATATTCTTTAGCCCAGTCGGAGCAGAACAGTGGGGGTGTTGTTGTACCCCATTTCATTTCAATTCATTTCATTTAAGAGTTAAAGACTTTGATTATTATTAGATACACAGACTACATCTCTGACTAATTAACCCAAACCAAAAGCTTCTACAGAACTATTTGATTGAATTCAAATGCCATATTACAGTCAGTTAAAAAAGATGACTAATTTTGCTGGCATAGACATACCATAAAAGATTGTTGTAATGTTTAATTGCTAACTCTTCTTGATCTGCTTCCTTCTGTCGTTGAGCTTTCTTACTGCATACAAAGTTACGCCATTGTCTGGCCACACGCCAGGCTAGAAACTTGCCATAACATCTTTGTGACATGATGTGGTCAAGTTTATTATGCCAGATAAGTAGTGACTGTCTTTGAGATGCTTGCTTTCTTTCTACCTGTATTCTACTGGCTATTTCATTCAATCCTTGACAATAATCAAAGCGATTTCGTAATAGATGGAATGTCTTTGAAATTTTATTCCGTCTCACTTTAGCCGTCATTAATATGTAGTTAGCTTGTAATGTTTTCTTCTTTTGAGCATGGATGTGCCAGGAATGTAGCATTCTGAAATTATAAATAATACAGATAAACGAATGAAACATTTGATTGGATTGATAAAAGCGAAAAATAAAGTAAATGTTGGGATTAGGGTATATCACTTACTTGATTTGAAGCCTGGTATTGTAATGTTGCTGAACTGACTGATTGACTTGCGTTTTTCCTTTCCAGAGTTTAAAATACAAATGAAGAGATCTCTCCTCTAAGGCCTTCTTCAGGGCCAAAGCTCGAATTCTTCTTTCTTTCACACCTTAAAATATACATAACAATATACGTTATACATGTACCATGAAGAATATTTGTTGATTATAAGTAAGAAGAACTTATATCATACCTGTGCTGTTTGATCTTAATTTGAAGAGCAATTTCAATTTAATTATAACTAATTAAATTTAATAAATTGACATTTATTTAGTGTTTAAGGGACCTTGATATATCTTGTAAATGAACAAGGGATGGTGGGGGGTGGGTGGGGGATAACCTGTCTAACTTTGTTTCAGTCTTGGTTCCCCCATTTTTCTTCCAATGTTAAAGACCTCTGTGTAAGCGAATAATTGAAATATCTTTCTTCCACTGTTAAAGATCTCTGAGTGTACTAATTAATATATGAATCAAATCTACATTGGAACTATCCAACATGTAACCTATTTGGATGACCAGGTTCAGAAGCATAATAGTGACTGCAGCTTGTGAAATGAGACTTAGCACCCACTGGTCAGTCACACAATACCAACTGATAGAAAAATGTTGGCAAAATCTGGACATTAAAACTCACCTCTGCTGAAATATTTCAGAATAAGTGGAAGAGAAATAAAAAATAAAAAAATCAGGCATTAAAAATAGCTTATACCTTTCAATAAATAATTCATATTACCTGTTGCCCATAAGTGCCATTCTGTAAACATGGTGACTTGTAGTTTAGCTGCATGAATACGATCAACATGGCTTAATAACATTCTACTCTTCCATTCATCTAACATTCTACTAACTAAATCATTATTTCTATCACCTATATACTTGTCTAATACATTATTCAGATGAATAACTCGTTGATTAGCTGATTTCCATTTACCAAAATAACTCACAAGCTGAAATAAAATTATATTATTCACGATTATAATCATACGATCATTACTGTTAAGTATTTTTCAAATCTTTTTCATTGTGTTTGACATACAATGTAGTAAAATATAAAAATAAATTTCCCAAATTTTTAGCTCTGGGAAAAAAAAGAAGAGGGTAAACATTTTGGTAAAATACTCAAAGAATTACTATTTATATTTTTATGAATTTACCTTGCGTTTCTCTAATTCTCTACTAAAGAGTACACCTCTACTTTTCATTGCTTTTTGATGCCATTTTCTACCAATATCTAAAGCTCTATTTTGTATATTTTTCTCCTTTTCTTCATGTTGGTTTAATCGACATTGATACTTCTCTTTCCAAGTTTGAAACAATCTCTTAACCTGAATATACACAAAAAAATATCATGGTTAACTAATGAAATTTGAATCTGAAATTTATTTGATCTTTACCATCACTAGCATATATAAAAACAGGGGCACCATGTGAAATGGGGTTGAACATCCTACTGTTCTGCACTGACTGGGATAATGAAGACGGGTATACAACATACAGTGTGCTATGGGGGAAATTGTGCTTGGACAGTAGCAATACAGCTTTCTCTTATATCGAATTCCAAGGAATCTCAGTTTTTCGTGCCACCCGAATGACTATGTGTTTCATGGCCTTAACCTCCATAATGCTGCACTGACAAGTGGGAACCACACCAGATAATCCTAATGGACTTTTTCGATCAATACAGGTATCTAACACTGGACCTCCAGCTTAGCGAGCCAACGACTTAACTCACTGTGGCACCGGGGCTCTTAATCAGTTTTAGATAATAGGTTATCTTTAAGGTTACAATCTCCTTGTGACATCTTGGCATGAGTTCTGAACAGGCTATCGTCTTGTATAAGAAGTCATCAGTAACAACGAAAGTGCAGAGGAGTTTATTGTTGGCCATTACATCAATAATATTCTAATAGATATATGTAATATTTACCAAAGCTGTATAAGACTGAACTTGAAATTGTAAAATTGTTTTCCTTTCTGCTTTCTTTTCCTGAGAAACTTCTTGCCAACCATGTAGTGTTCTGTAACAGTCAAATTAAAAGTTAGTGAAATAATAATAAACATCTATCTGTTTCATAAAAAGACATTACACACTTTCTTACTTGAACCTCTCCCCCCTCCCCAACGCATCCAGACTGATATTCGTAGAATACATATTTTTCTGGATGATAGAGACTATGAGAACTCCAGCAATACTATTTCATAATGAGGACACTGACACAATAGTTGTGAGAGAGAGAGAAATGGGGTTTAATGTCCACTCGACACAAACTAGGTCATTTCGGGACTAACATATGGTTCAATTCTATTTCAATAATTCGCTTGCGTGTAGGGGTCTTTAGCAGTGGGAGGAAACCGGAGGACCCGGAGAAAACCCACAAGGTTGGACAGGCGACCCTACTGATTGTCACGTACAACCGGGGAATCGAAACTCCGCCAGTTGACTCGATGACAGACCGTATGATACAGCGCACGTGCTAACCATTCGGCCATCCACCACCCCCCCACCCATTACAATGGTTGTAAATATAGATATGGTCTAAATGAGTTAAATGTATTATATGAATTTTAATATTCATTCTATAATCAAAATATCATTGAAAATTTACCTTTTAGCTAAGTATCTACTGTGTGCTTCTCTAACTTGTGTAGATTTAATTGTTAAACTATGCCAATATTTAAAGCTGTACTGTAATCTATTAATGTTAGATCTCATTATTAATTGATTACCAATATCTTTATCACGGTGGTTACCTACAAGTAAAATACAAGAATATAAACCTTGTTTCTTATTCTACCCCAAAACTTAAACCAGAGGCCCATTTCATTAAACTGTGTAAGTACAAGTGAAACAAGTCTTTGATTTTGAGTTAGGCATACATACATTGTTTTTAAAGAGTTATTCCAAAGACCTGTAGTACACAACAATGGAATAGAGTTGAATATTGTCCTGTTCATGTTTTGTCTGTGCCAGTTAAAAAGGTCACTCAACACCAATGATAAAGGATAAAACTAAAAAGTAAACATGTAGGTAATAATGTTCTTATTATCTTAAATAAGACATACCTCTAGCCCATTGTCGCCATTTTGAGAATATCAAGCCAAGATAATTTGTCCATGCAGTCTGGTATCTATCTTCCACTTGTTGCTTCTGTTGAAGTTTTATCTTCCATAGATTAAACATCTGTTATAATTATAATAAATACAAAATATACTTTTAACATCTAACACAGCAATATCAATATTAATGGAGCATTTCCAGATTCACAGGGTGTCAAATCGAAGTGCAAATGTTAATTATGTAACAAAGAAACCAATTTACCTTAACTCAAAATTTCTACAACTAATCAATATGGCATCAATATGGCATTAATCTCCAAAAATTGCATCATAAAGAATTTTAGTTAATTGTTTAATTATGTATCATTAGTGAACTGGTGTGCGTAACTAATACATTACAGTAAGATTATAAATATAGTTATATATAGACACTACTACACCTGGCAGTTGATACTAATTACAATGAAACCTGACTATTTATATTTCTTCAAATAATTATCACAGAGTTTCAGAGATGAATGTTTCAAAAAATATTTTACACAGAACTCACATGTTTCACAAATTAAATGACTGGATAAGACATCAACTGACAAATTATATTATTACCTGTTGTTGAATGTGCTTTCTCTGAAATTGCTGACATTTCTTCTTTCTTTCTTGACTATCTTGAGCCCAATTTTTCCATTCTGTCAAAGTTCTAAAATAAAAACAAGTTGGAAACATATAATCTTAAACTACTCTACGAATTAACCAAGGTAAGAAGTAATGGTATTTTAATTCAATAATCCAAAAACACAGCAGCAGTATCCCAGGCAGTTAAACAAAAAGTTGAAAGGGAAAAATAAAATAGAAAATATCAAATACCTCCGAAGAATTCCTAAATGATAAGCCTTCTGAATTTTTCTACTAAACTGGAATTTCACCAACCATATAGAAAAACATAATCGAAGAGATCGTTTGTTTAACTTTGATGTAAAGCTCTTCTCTAATGGAAATAATGTTTGCTCTTCGACTGTTGCCGTTGTCCATAGATGAAGAATATTTTCTTTGTGTTGCTTTTCCTTTGTCTAAAAAATAATCATAAATTAATCCTAACCAAAAATAATAAATCAACAGTAGGCTTTATATTCATCGTTAATCTCTCAATATATCGTGTCTATGTTTTAACATATATTTTCTGATGTAATGCCCTTTACTTGATCTGTAATTCTCTTTATTTAATTCAAGAAATGTCATAAGACAATGCTATTGTTACCTTATCAGCCCAGACTGGGAAAATTTTCTTCATCACTGTTATCATATGATGACGTAAGGCAAGAGCTGATAACTGTTTTTTAGTCTGTCTATTCTTCTGGTAATCTTTCAATGTTGTAACTACACTAGACATTACAACTTTATTCTAGAAAAAAAAAAATAATTATACATTAGTATTTATATTGATTTATCAATGACACTTACATCAAAAAAACTAAATGTCTTAATATCTTAATTAAACAAATATTTTCTGATAAAATTAAAACTAAAGGTTTCTTACTCGGAAGTTTTTAGCCTTTTCCATTCCATAAAATTGTTTCTTCCAAGCTCTAAAAGCAAGTTTCAGCTTCACAGATTGACTAAGTTCTTCTACTTGCTGGGCATATTCTTTTAATTCTCTTTGACGTATCACAAACTCTTTCCATTGGTCGAAAACTATACTAACTGGCCAATTAGAAAATCTGACCACAAATATCCTCACCAATTCCTGAACAATTAGGAAATACATGTACATAAAATAAAGTCATAACTTAAAGATGTGTGTGATCGATCAATCTAATTCAAAATCCGATTCATTTTTATGGTATCTTATTCCACTACATTTCAACATAGTATTTATTATGACTGGGTGATTGGGTTCCCACAATGTGCCATATTTAGGGACTGGGTGATTGGGACCTTGCAATCTGTCATATGAGGGGACATTGTGATTAATTAAACCCTACAAATAGAGGGGCTGGATAATTGGGATCCTGAAATGTGTCTTCAAACCATAAGTCATTCATACCAATCTTAAAAATATATGCTGGATTAACATATATACCTGTAGTCTCTGTATTTTGGCCTCTCTTTCATCATAAATAGCTGACTCTATTCCACTAAGTAGACTCTGATTATCTAAATCTAGTTTCTGTAAATCTAGAGATGTCTCACCAGCTAATCCAGCAAACAATCTACAAATATATACAGTATTTATTACATGACCACATTCTGCATGCCTCATGTTGTGTGCAAGATCGACTAATCATTTTCTGATGATTGGCCAAACATTGGAAAAGTTCTTCTCTAGAGAATCGTAATTTCAAAATTAAAACTAACCTATTTAATGAAGTACAAGTAATTTGGGTAGAACAGGATCTAGGACTATCAATTAACGTTTTATCACCACAACTTGTAACACTATCACCACCTACAACAAAAATATACATTTATAATTATTATTTTGACTACAGACAGATGTATAGAAAGTATTTTATGACATGCAGGATTATATCATTGACTACATATCAAAAATAGTCGAATACAGTATTCATGGCTTTTCCAAAAAAAAATGTCAAGTTGGCACAGTAACATTTTCGAATTAGCTGCAAGAATATAATGTGTACAAATACAATTTGTTTGCTTGACAATTGTCTTTGAACAGTCAATGACAAAACTTCAAAACAATGAAATAAATTTGTATTTAATCAAACTCAGTTAATAGAGAGAGAGAGAGAGATGGGGTTTAACGTCCACTCGACACAAACCAGGTCATTTCGGGACTAACATATGGTTTAATTTTATTTACATAATTCGCTTGCGCGTAGGGGTCTTTAGCAGTGGGAGGAAACCGGAGGCCCCGGAGAAAACCCACGAGGTTGGACAGGCGACCCTACTCCTTGCCACGTACAACCGGGGATTCGAAACCACGCCAGTCGACTCAATGACAGACTTTATGATACAGCGCGCGCACGCTAACCATTCAGCCATCCAACCCCCCAACTCAGTTAATAACTGAAATATTGAAACTTACTTCTTATACTGTACCTATCAAAGGACATGTCTGACATGCTGGATGTCTGGTCTGTATCTTGTACTGGAAGACCAAGTCTAAGAGAGAACTGGGTAACAGCGTCTTGTAGAGAATAGTTTGTTGTATCACACCAGGCCTGTAATATCTTCCTTTGTTGTTTTACCATCAAACTTCTTTGATATACTCTAAAGGAGAATTTAATCAATTTGTTTTCATATAAAAAGTTACATGGTTTACATCACAACCATTGATGATTAGGAACTTCAGTGGTTGTGATGTAATTTATGGATGAAAGCAAAAACCTCCCACAATTCGGCATCCACTGCAGATCATATAAACAGGGTATAGCTAAATTAAGCAAGAGCAAACTATAATCTTAGCTAAACATTGTTGAGGAACCTCTTTTCCATATGATTGAATCAAATTCATAAGATTACCTACCATTGATATCTTGATTTTTTTTTTAAAATTAATGCTAAACTTTAAATCTGAGAAAATTTTAGCGTGGATTATGCTGTGATAAATTAGATATATTCCAAAAAATGCAAATTGAATAAAGATTTCATATATATATAATAATATAGATAAAATAAAATGTGTTTTTGTCAAAAGGGATGTTAGAAGATAATGATTTCAAAGCCCCAGAATAAAAGGGATGGGGAGGGGGGTATATATATTAAGAAATATGTTGAATATCTAACCTTGCTATAAGAGTTATATGAAGTTGATGTTTCCAGGTATAGAAGCTATGTCTAACACGACTATAACTCTGTTGTTGTTGTATTGTAACAATTTTATCTTCTTCTTTTCTCTTCTCACAAAGTATATTGTTAAACCATAGATTAAAATAATACTTCTTCAGAGATGCGTTATTTTCCTATAATAAAGAGAACAGCATAAATACAACTATTAAGTGCTTTTATTATTATTCTGTGAATCCCATAAAGTGAGATTCAAACCTATATAATTAATCACTTGTATTTTCAAGAATTGCCAGTTAAATAAAATTAAGAACAAAACACATACATTCAGTTAAGAATTTTTAGTAAGGATCTTAGCTTTCTTTCAACAGATGCTTGATGCTTTACATACCATTGTTTAAACCTTGGGACAAGCATCCTCTGATTTTGGTGCTAAATATGTAAAAAATTATTAGTCATTTATAATTTCAGTTAGTATATAAGGAATCAGTTATTTACCTGTTCTTCAATGGCTTGTATTTTATCATGAATCTGTGTAGTTGTTCGAGACTTCCAGTATTCAAACAAACATTTTTGGAGATATTCTTTATGAAATTTATCAGCTGTTTGTTTACGTTTGATAATATTTCTCCATTCTGTTAAACAGACGTGAGTTAATTTCTCCATTCTAACTCTCTTAATTTGTTTCTCTAATTGACATATTTCATACTGACGTCTGCAAGGAATAATGAAATTGATATCAGTCTTTAATATTAACACACATTCAAATACAAATTATATTGAGGATTAAGAACTTCTACATTTCTGGAAAAGACCAAAAATCATAAATTTAATGGCCATAATATTATTACAGATTAAAATATCACATTTACCGGTACTTTATTATTTTCCAGAAAAAATAGTTATATAAATTTATGGTGACATATTATCACTTATCAATCTACCATCATTAGTAGTACCTTTTTGATATTGATTTAGTTTAGAATAAGTATTATAATATACAAGTACTTACTTCCACATACAGAATATTTTACGTTGTCTTTCTTTGATTAGTTCATTTTGATTTTCATAACATTTGACTTTATGTTCGACCAGACTATGCCAAGATTGAAAACACCTACAAAGATAAAAATGCCAATTAATTTCTAAGAATTTATCAAAATTTTAAGGGCAAGCAGCAAGGAAATTGGTTTAACTTGAGCTTAAAATAACTAGATCACTTTGGGACATGTGGTACTTCTTTATTTCAACAATTTGCTTACATACATGTTTTTTACCATCGTGCACCACTGACAAGGGGAAATTTTTGTGAACTTTCTCGACTAGAGGCAGCATGAACTTACTGTTTTAAAAGACTGGTATGTCGAGACTTTATCATAGGTTGTATTTTTATAATTTGCATCATGGCTGTTTTCCAGATCTGAAAGGTTCTTTGCAGTTTTGATTTCTGTAGCTGTTTACGAACTTCTGCCGCTTCTAATTTCTCTTGATCCATTTTAGCCTTAGCCATCTGCCATTTCTTAAACATGGCTATTAAATAGAAAAAGAACATGTTTATAATTGCGATTTTACTGTCACTATAATTTATCACAATGCAATTTTGTATTTTTTCTTATTACTGTCTTAGGCCTGAGAGTGGCTAGGTAGATAAAGTACTAAAACAAAGAACTCTTGCAGGCGAGTACATGAAATTTGTTTTGATTTTGAAATCTACATGAAGATTGCTCAGGTCTCCGGAATATTAAACCTACGAAAAATTGAAAATAAAAATTATAAGTTATAAGTTTAATTTATTAAAACACACATCAAGCTATAAAACCAATTTTTGTTTATTTAAATTAACACTATTGATTGTGCCAAAATCTTTGACTCGTAACATGTAGTGCTGATACAGGACAGAGATCTTGATGGAATATTTTCAAACTTGATGGTAATGTTCATTTGGTGGTAAATCTGTACTTATGGCTACATATAAATGAAACAGAGACTAAATATATATATATTCCATGTGTACCTTTAACAAGAGCTAACTCTCTATCAGGTTCTGTTTCAACCAATAAGTTGTTTAATCTTGTATTCCTGCAATTTAACTTCCATTTTTCTACTGATTTTCTGAAACAATAATGAAAAGTTAAAGATGGTTTTCTTAATAGTAGGTATGTATCGAGATCATTTTCTTTATCTAAATTCCATGCTGCTTTATCATCATTTGGTTTTAAGAAGCTTCAATTAAGCAGAAGAATATAGACAAAGTCAAGATAACCAGTTTCTACAGTATACCAACAATATTTGACGTGTAAACTTTTTCTTTAATTATTACGTCTCTGGCCATGTACAATAATCATCAATCAAGTCTTTTTCTTATTCTGTATTCAGTATGAAGAGTAGCTATTATAGCAATTGGTGAGGAGTTATTTATTTTCAGTGACTGACAGTTCCCCTCAAATTGTCACAGCCAATTAAAGTTAAAACAATTTGTACCTTGAGTTATGCATGGATAAAACTAATTTAATACTTGGTAATGAATAAAATATAATGTAATATGTAACCACTGGAGTTAATCTTTATTTCCTTCATGAATAAGACATTACCTAAGACACGTATCTGACCATAGTTGTCTGGCTTGTTCCTCACTAACATGTTTCAAATACTTCTCTAACCAAATAATAAAACATTCTCGCTGTAATGTATCGTCACTCTTTCTACGGAAGGACTCACACTTTGACCTGAAATTATATAATGGAATATGGTTTTAACTATATACATACAGTAACATGTATTCATTATATGAGGAAAAGGCAGCTTGATTATTAAACATACATTATTCAAGAGCTAAATCTGTCTAATGCAGGTCTTTCTTTAGGCCTTAAATGTTATACAAATTATTAATTAGACATTTGTTAACATGACAAGACCATAATCAACTCTCGATGCCATCGCTTCGATATAAGAGTAGGCCGTAGTGCTGCTGTCAGGGCAAAATTTCCCTCATAGCACACTGTATGGCATATGCCCGTCTTCATTAGCCCAGGTTAGGAGCAGAACAGTAGGACGTTAAACCCCATTTCATTTCATTTCATTTCATTTCGATGCCATCGGATGCTCTGAGTTTTTAAACAGATTAGAACAGTTTGTCCATTTAATACAAAAATGGAAAAACTGAGGCTACGACAATAAACAATCAGTGCGCACATCTTGTCAAAATTACAAACAGTGATAACTCCAAATAAAGTAATTTGAATAAAATTTTCAATATATTCATTTTGCATTATCTATTTTTGAACAATTATAGCAAGAATGGCCAGTCTTACGTATTGTATCTTTAAGTACATAGCTGAATGTTTGATCCCTAGGTTGGGTTGAGAAGTCAAGTGTTCTTATTCCAGTTGACCCATACCAAACTAAGTACTATGTAAATTTAATGTTGCACACAAACTTTGTCACAAAAATGAGAGAGAGAGAGAGAGAGAGAGAGAGAGAGAGAGAGCGCTTAACGTCAACTTGACACAAACTACCTCCTTTTGGAACTAAAATTTGGTTCAATTTTTATTTCAATAATTCGCTTGAGTGTAGGGGTCTTTAGCAGAGAGAGGAAACCGGAGGACCCAGAAAAAGCCCATGAGGTTGGACAAGCGACAAATGACAGTCCTTATGACCTAAAGTGTATGCGTTAAACCATTCAGCCACCCAGCTCCCGAGTATTGTAAGAAATTTTTGATGTACCTGAGATTTATCTTATAACGAGTATATTGATACCAGTCATTGAGTCGAACTTGTAATAAAACACCTTCTATATGACACGTTAATTTTTCACGCTTTTCCTTTTGACTTCTGACCAGATTTTTCCAGGCAACGAAATGACGAGAAAGTTTCTGCGAGGACAGACAAATTTCTATTTCTTTCTGTTTTTGTAACCTTGTTAACCAAACCTTCTTCCAGGTTAAGAAACAATTTCTGAAAATGACAATAATTAAGTAGTCCTAGAACATTCATAAAAATCAATTAAGATTCAACAGATTGGAATGGTGCTTAATATCTCATCAACACATTATATGGACATATCAGTTACTGTAAGAAAATATTGAGGTCTGACTAATTAAACATACATTATGCAAGAGCTAAATCTGTCTATTGCAGATCTTTCTTTAGGTTTGAAATGTTATCTAAATTATTAATTAGACATTAATTAAAGATGGGTTCCCAGAAAAGTATTTATCGGCTGGTTATTTCCAATAAAAGTATGGTAATTTTGGTATATATGAAAAGTAGAGATATCCAATCTTACTAGAAAAATACTGGATTCCCCGAAAAACACTCATGGAGCGTATACAGGACAAGAATGTAAGGGTTCCCCTAATCAACAGCCCGACGATTAGGAATTTCTGCACGTGTGATGTCAAAGGTCACACGCGAACATTGAGCGTGTGATGTACAAGTTGATAAACTTTCTGAGATAAAAATGACGGAAAAAGGCGCGGCTAGTGGATAATCCGAGGATTTAATTAGGATTCGATATTTGTAATAAATAGTAAGCGATTAAAGACAACATCAATGAATTCTCCTCTGACTTCCAAGAGAGGTAAGTCACGTGAAGTAAACATACCTGGTTTGATCGAATTTTTATAGCAGGACATTCCTTCGCAATTACAATGTTTGAGAAGGATTTTAAGCAAAGTTATGACAAATTAATTAGTTTGAATATGTTTTTAGTCCATATATACCACTAAATCACCCAGTTTGTACGCGGGAACCCATCTTTAACCTATCCAGACCATAATTAACTCTAGATGGCATCGCTAGCCTGTGATCTTAAGTGGATTATGAGCCGATTTACTGCATAACTTTCCTTCACGATTTAACGATTAAATGGATAATCAAGACTATACTGTTTATCGTACTGACTTTAGTAATGATGATCGAGGCTAGGCAGAAATTTCCATCGCTTAGTTCTCGGTTGATAGTGGATCAATTTGAATGAAATTTTCAGTAAATTGCCTTTACATTATCTAGTTTTTAACTATTATAGTGAGAACTGCCAACTCGTTATCGAATCTCCCATAATGTATCTTTAAGTATAATTGTAAAACTCATTTTGTTTTTCATTATGATCGATTATTGGCTTTTTTCAATATGTAGTGCAATTGAATAAAATACATTCAGATTCTGTATCACATACCTTTCTGTGAAAAGTTTATCCATTCTAACAGCTTGTTTCGTCTTCCATGCTTCCTTCCATAAATAAAAGAAGCATTTGGTTGTTTTAGCCTTCCAATGATGTAAGCTGATCTTTAAATTAGTTTCTTGTTCTTTGTAACTGATAACAGCTCCTTCCTGCCAGTTGGTTAAAGCACACGACAAAACCTGTACCCTAGGAATACAAAATAGTTTAAGAGGTTAAACTAGGTCATTTTGGGGAATGGGATAACACATAGTATTTGTTTATTCCATTAAATTAATTTGTATGCGTACTGGAATGTTTAATTATCAGTGGAAAGCAGACAACAGGGATAAAAGACAGATACGTCTATTATCTTTGTGATACTCCCCACCCTTTCCCCCAAAAAGAAAAAAAAATAATTCTTTATACAGACGACATAACTAAGCTTATAAATAACCATGTTTTTTTTTCTAAAAGAATGCACAACAGTAAAAATGTTTATCTGCAATTAGTTAATCTATTCATGAATTCTTACCTATGAAACAGTTTTGCTTTCTGTATTTGTTGATAACTAATGATCATCTTCTCAAATATTTTCTTCTCCAGGTTTCGTTTATAAAGATCACTGATTAGAGAGATAATAAAGATGTATTGTTAATCATTTTATGACACTTTTACAGAATTTATTCAAATTCTGTTCACAGCCTCTTGAATAAGATATAAGAATTACTGTTTTCAAACAATAATAGATTTTCAAGTTCTAGATTTCCCAGAACAAACTGAAATAACCATTCAAATTAAAGTAAATTTTTAGGAAAATACACAAAATTTATTATAATGTACACTGGCATTATTCAAAAATTTACTTAAAAGGCATTTGACAATAAGAAATAATGAAAAAATCTGCAATCAAAAGAGTTGACACAACATGCTTAAAGAATAGTTTGAACTACCATGCAAGTCATAACAACTACCATAAGGAGTAATAAACCCCATCGAAATAGTTTAGTGTGATAAATGACAAAGTTCTCAATCGCATTTTTCAACTTAGTGTCTTTCAAAGCTAAGTACAGAGTTTATAATAGATACTTTAAAATTTGCTCTGTCGGATTTGTTGACAATGATAATACATTTAGCACTGATGACTTTGCTGCTGATGGATGTATACTGTATAGGAAATGTCTATGTCTATGTTTAACTACCACCAATCTCACATATTTCAAATACTAATAATTTGATGAAGAATAAAATACTTTATATTCATTGACATAATATAATTTCATTATATTTTCAAAGAAATAGCATGGTATCACATTTTGTAAAGAGCTCAGCATTTCCTTGTTTCATATCAAATTTTTAATGATTAAGATTATTAAGAATTATAGGTGTAGACTTACTCTGCTTGCTTGTTTCGTTGTTTTTTAATTCGTGAAGAGTTAGAGAACATTTTCCACACAATTAGAGAGTGGGACAACATTGATTGTCTGTAACATGTTATAAAGATACATAAAACATATATTTTAGTCTACTTTATAGTTAAAACATACACTAATAGATACATGAAACATACATTTTAGTCTATTCTGTAATGAAAACATACACAACATTGTCTGCAACATGTTATAAAGATACATAAAACACATACTTCAGTCTACTTCTATAGTTAAAACATACACTAAAAGATGCATGAAACAAACATTTTAGTCTACTCTGTAATGAAAACATACACAAAAACCATACATAGAAAACACATTCATTGAGACACAATTATTTAGAAAGATGCAAAAACACATACTAAATACACTAGAACTCAGATATCTTAATTGTAGTTGTGCTGTTTCTATTGTCGCGTAATTTTAAAAAATTTCTGTCTAGATTAGATAATGTTGAAGAGAGCAAACAGTTGCAGAATGAACCATTTTAAACTATGCGACAGTAGGAACCCAATATTTTTTGATAATTCTCAATGAATTTTAACAATTTGCCAAGAATGGTTTCAGACTACACATTAAATACAGAAGTTTCAATTAAACATTAAATACAGAAACTACTGCTAAAACTGCACAACTACACGATACCTGAGCTGTAGTGATAAATTATGCAAAGTTGTATTGATTTATAAAACAAAAAATGTGCAATGTGTGCTTGAAAGTAAATGTGAAAAAGAATTAAAGACATTAACTGAGTTGTTTCCCTTACCTGGCAAACCGGTCCGCTTTATTTTCTTTCAATTTTAGACTATAACGATGAATCCATTTGGTAAAAGATTTTCTTATTAATTTAAGCTTCAAATTTTGACAAAAAGATCTGGCACTGTGAAAAAATCAAAACGTTTACCAGCTCAATTAAGCTCTTGGAATCGAATATTTTTAGTCAAATATGTATTAAATTCTATGAAATATATGGAGAATATCGATGTTTCTTTACACTTACCGTTTTTGTTCTTCCGTGTAATCATGCCAACCAATAAAATGTACCACTAATCTATTCTGTCTTTGATTATATGCTCTGGTTCTCCACTAAAAAATAGTAAAATATTGCAACTGAATATTATATCAGGCAAAACAACACATGCCAACTAAATATGAAAATATTTCAACAAATCACGGCAGTTAAAACAGGTTCGCAGTATTTGATTATTCAATGAATCTACTAACAACACACTCATGCTAGAACCACAATTTGGACATTTTAAACTCACATCTGCATCATATTTATAGTTCTTTTAGCATTAAAGAATTCTGTTGCATTTATCAAAATAATGTGCTCAAATTACAAGGATATCATCACATTCTTCAATCATGTAGTATGTAGAATTTGATGATAATATTACAGAAGGGTAATGACAGTATGACTTGAATTCAAACACTCCCAGAGGAGGATATATTGCATTAGGACTGCCACGGTGGTTCGGTAAGTAAGACGTGTTTGATCCTGGTGTTGGCCGAGAAAGTTCATCTAGATCTCCATTTTCTGGTGTGGCTGCCCCTTGTCAGTTGTGCAGGACCAGAGGGCCTGATTGGTTGAAAAACCAAGGTCCCTTGGCAGTTGGAATTTGATATAAGAGTAGGCTGTAGTGCTGCAGTCCGGGGTAAATTTCTCTCTTAGCAGTATGTATCGTGTATGCCCGTCTGCATTAACCCAGTCGGAGCAGAACAGTAGGATGTTAAACCCACTTTTTTCATTTGATTTATTGGATTACCTTTATAAACAACTTGTTTAACAAAATACTCTGTGTTCGTGACTTCATTATGTCATGGTAATGTTGAGATCTATAAATAGCCCATTTAAAACCATCTAAACCTTTCTTTAACATATGTTGTCTATACAACTCATCAGCTTTTCTTTCTGCCATTAATTCCTCTGTTTTATTTCTCCAATCAGTAAAATGTTTCTTTACCAGGTTATTCAAACAAAAATTTCTAATTCTGAAGTTAAAACAATAAACACTGATCAATCAATGGTATAAAATCATATCAACATAGTGAAAAATACTATATATATGTAGATTGGAGGCGGCGATGTCATTTCTCTGTAATAATAATCAATGAGAATTTAGTCTTGTCAGTGTGGTTATGCAATTTTGAATAATTTATCGCCAATAACCAGCTTTAAAACATATTAATTGTTTTTTTTACATCTATTCAGAGGCTTGTTTTGGTACTTTACCAAGTTAAACAATTGGATTTTTAAAACACCTTATTTGAGAAATGTTAGGGGATTGTAGGACATAATTGCTTCTTAAATTGTTATGTGTAGTGTGGTCCTCCTCCTCATACAATACAGTAAATAATACCTGGCTCTTGTAGGTCCATAAATAAGTCTATCATGTTGTACATCATGTATCTTTCTCTGCCATCTTTTAAAATACTCAGCCTAAAAGTAAATTACATTTAGAAAATGAATAAGAAACCAAAAATTTAAAAATCGATGAGTCAAGTGGTGACAAGGAGTTGGGTCGCCTGTCCAACTTTATGGGTTTTCTCTGGGTCTTCCAATTTCCACTGCTAACTAACGATCTCTACAAACTAGCGGATTTTTGAAATAAAAATTAAACCGTATGTTAGTCCTGAAAAGACCTGGTTTGTGCCTAATGGACTTTAAACTCCATTCCCTCTCTGTAAAGATAAGGCTGATGATATAGGTTGTTTGCTCTGTTGGAATGACAAACTATAATATTTTAATTTAAACAATATACTCACCTTTATCATGAGCTCATCTCTAGTTTTATCATCAGCCTGATATAACCTTTGTAATAAGTTGATAGAATCAGAGTTGTTTAAATGTGACAGTATAACATCTACAGAATTAAATGGTGTACTGAAAGCGAAAGATAAACATATAATGTTTGATACCGGTACCACTATAACAATGATTACTGGAGTCATTATGAAAAACAATCTGATTAACATAGTGTTAACATGCTTGTTAAGTTTTAACTTGTTGAACAATCCAAGCAAGTTTAAAATAGATTCTAAAAAAGAAATTGGTTTGTAGTACAACGTTTAAGTTACATGGCAATAAACTGTATGGAATTGATGTGCGACTCTGAAATTCGAGGCTCTCCCAAACAATCCCAGCAAGCATAAAATCAATAGGGATTCTCCTTGTGACACAAATTTCAAAAACTTTGACACAAATTTCAAAAACTTAAAGACACAAATTTCAAAAACTTTGACCAGTGTTTAAAAGGTTTTGGTGACAAGGACAGTATCACATTGTGCAACTCTGAATATTGAACAGAAAATCTTTAACTTACCTAGATCTACACGGAAGTGACAGACCAGTAGAAACCTTGTTAGGGATTGCCATCATAGGCTGTGACGATATCAATTGATCATGTGGCATCTTATTAACAAATCCATTGGTTAGTTTTGTATCTTTTATAAGACTGCCATTGACATTACCAGTTTCTAATTTATTACTTGCTGAGAGATCATTTTCAAGTTTTTTCTTATTCATTAGATTCTTGCATACTGTTTCCATTGGCAACTGTTCGTCTTCAGACACTGTAGGTTCTTTTCTCATTGGCATCTCATCAATTTCATCCGTAATTAATTGAGTAACAGGAGTGTACAGATCCGACATAGTTAGTTTCTTTGGAACATCCGAATCAGACCCAGACGATAATTCCATTCTATTTTCCTTCTCTCTCCCATCTGGAACAGTTGATGTTTTGTAACCATGTCTATTCTGATACCTTTCACCCAATGCCGTAGACAACCATTGCATGTCTTCAACAATACTATTGCTTGCAGTTTCATCATCTTGTGATTGTTCATGGAGAAGTGATGAGTTAAAGTTCAGGTTATTTACATTAACAACATCCACAGCATCTGATAAATGTTTTCGAGAAGCTTTAATATCAAATTCTTGATTTTTGACTAAAAGGCTGTTAGGGTTAAATCTATATCTTCTATTTGTTACATCATTATCAAGTCGCGTTCCCTTTATCTCTTTTTTAAATGGTTTTTCAACATCTTCACGTTTCTTACTGTTTCTTGTACATTTGTATAACCGGCCAAATCTAAATTCTACAGGCTTAATAAGACTTTCTCGCTGTGTGTTTGATTGTTTGTTGAGACTATGAGACAGTATTCCACTAATTTCATCCAGCTTTCTCCCTCTCTCTTCAAAATCCAGAAAATCATTATCACTCTCCAATCTTTTCTTCTTTGAGGTAGGTGAGACAGAGTGCCGTTGACTAGATTTAGCAAGATTTCTGGAACATTTATGCAATTTGGAAGGCACGTATGCGTCAATGCATTTTGATTGCTGTTTGGTGAGAGGTCCCTCAGTATCACGGTTTTCTCCATTTTTGAAGTTCATTATGGATTGATTAATATTTAAAGAGTTGACTTGAACTGGTCTAGTGATAGGAATGGTTTGTTTAATAATTTTTGATAGACTGTCCCTTGTAACCGTTTTAGAAGGCATTGTGCTCTTTAAAGTTTTTAACTTATTACTCTCAGAGGTACTTGATGCTTCTGTTAGTAATCTCTTTGAAGGATGGACATCTTTTTCATTTCCTGTAGACTTTTTGTAACGTGTTGAATGTTCAATATCTAATAGATGTTCAATGTTATCAGAATGATGAAGTCGTTTCAACACATCATCTTGCATTTTTTGAACATGAACAAAATTAACAGCACCATTCTGTTGGGGGGAATTCTTTTTCAGAATAATTTTTTGGGGAGATTCTTGAGATTTTGTGTGAATAGACTTTGAAGACACATCGTTTTGTTGGAGGGAATTATTTTTTGGATGACATTTTTGGGGATCTTGCGATTTTGTGTGAACAGACTTTGACGACACATCACTGGGTTTTGAACATGTTCTTGCTGAACGATAAGATGGGCGATAATTATTACATGTATCTATCCTATTTTGCTTATTTGATTGCTTTGTGGGACTAGAATCCGACTGAATACATGTACTATTGCGTCTGTTGATAATTAGTTTTTCTACATCTCTTCGACTCCTAGAATCCACTTCCCATGGTCCAAAACTACAGTCGTCAATGCGACTTAAATCAAAGGAAACATCTTCACAACTTTCTGTATCAAAAATACTTTGATCTGTATCAAAGTTACAATATTTAGAAACAAATAAATTATCTCGAAAATCTTTAACATCCTGTAAGAAAGTATTTTTAGTTACTGAATCTCCACCATGATAAGAATCACAATCCATTTGAACATCATTTTGTGGACCAGATACTACTGGTGAAGGGGAATGTCTTGTATACTTTGAACTTGAAGAAAGGATTTCATTTAGCTTGTTTCTGCTTACGTGTGATGTGCGGTCTGAGTTAACTGGTGAAGTACAACCCTCTCTTGGAGATCTATGTAATTCTAACTTTGGTATGCATGTATGTACACATTTGTCTTCATGTTTAAAAATAGATTCTCTGGGTGATGTTTTATTTCTCAGTGTTTGAATACTTTGTTGTTTTACAGTAGCATCTGCAACTTTGTCATCCATGCTTTCCAGATCTTTCAAAGGCATAGGACCTGCATCATCAGTAATAGCACTTGGAGAATTTTGATGGATTTTATTTATAAGACTGGATCCACGCTTTTCAACACGGGAAGATTCCAAATCAAAAATATGATTATCATGCATTATTCCTAATCTAGGAGAATATTTTTCCAGTGAATCTTCAAGATAAAGATTACTCTGTTTAAGTCTTTTATCCGCGAAATCAGTAGAAATGTTAAATAAAGTTTCTTCACTTCTTGGAGACATGCTGTTATTTTCAGTGATGGATAATCGTTTAGTTCTTGATACTTCTCCAGAACTTCGAAGTTTGGACTGCTCTTCCAATGAAGTTGCAAAAATGTCAGTTCCATCTGTTAACCTTGGACTTTTGAAACATTTGCCAGATTCTGAATTAAAGGTCTTTGATGGATCTCTTCTGCTTGCCGATCTTTCTTCCATGAATTCTGAATCAAAAAGTCTCTTTCTTACTCCATCTGCTTGAGGTTTGTCCTTGTGATTGACACGGTCGAGAGATTCTGTTAGGAAAAAAGGTTGTGATTCTGACTTTGTGTTACTATGTCTTTGCTCATCCATTAGATGGCTGCAAACTGAAATTCGGAATTTCCCAGAATTATTTACATTTTCCGGGACATTATTTTTTGATTCAATGGCAACAAAATCCAAATCTTCTCTTCGAGATCTAACAAGAGAACGTGGTGAGGGTTCAGATTTTACTTTGTGATCACTTGTTTTATTACGTTCTTTTGATACAGATGTGTTTTTAGATGAAAATGCAAGATTGTGGCTTTGAGGTTCATTTTTTTGATTGGGAAGATAAGACCCCATACACTCATCATGGAAGTGTCTTCGATGACTGTGCTTTCGAGTTAATGAATTTAAATAAATAGCCTCATCCAGATCTTCTAAAGACTGAGCAAAACTTTCCATATCTTCTGTTATCCCACCGAAATTATTTGAGACACTGAGACTTGAGGTGTGAGATTGTTTTTTAGAAGATGTGGGCACATCTTGGAATGTTGAGAACTCTGTTTGTGTTTGCTTGGATGGAGACAAGAGCCCTAGTACCATTGGATTTGAATGTTTCGTTTTATTCATTTTTGGTGGTTTAGTATTTATTTCAGGTTGTTTTATGTTGTTTCTTCTTGGCATTGTCTTTTGGTTTGAACTCTGCTTTTGGGGGGATTTTGACCTATTTTCGGACGTCTTAGGCACATTTTTCTTTGATGTTGAACTCAAAAGATTATCTGGAGCTATTGAAAGAACTCCATCCAAATATTCACTTCCATCATCCACAGCATCAAGATGTGGTGGTCTTTTTGCAGATTCTTTTGGAAATGTATCTTTGGATGATTTTCTAAAGCCAATAGGTTCCCTTTGTTTAGGTTTGATTATATGTGTAAGATTATCTTCAAATTGTTCATAACTATCATCGTATCCTTCAAAAACAGGATCCTGATTAGTCTGAAGCCTATGGTTATATTCCCAAGCATCTAAATATTTCATTTCTGCATCCAGATCATCTACCAGCTCATCATCTGTACCATATATAACTTCTTCATCCCATCCTTCCCTTTTGACTGTTCCACCATAAGCTGTAAATCTTGTTGCATGGCAACCACTCGGATAGTGTTTTTTAGGAGGAGTGTTCAGGTAATCTTTATCAGATTCCAACCTTTTTTTAATATCTCTTATCCTAGCCTCATACCCATCTGGAACAGCACTTTTCTTCTTTTTCGGAACATTATTTTTTAATTTTGAAGACGATGGAAAATCTTTCATGACTGCCTTTTATTTATCGATCATTTTCAGGCTTTGCCAGTTCTAATACGCATTTCAATAATGTCACGCATGCAACAGAGTTATCTATCAATCACACTGACAGTTAATTAACTTAAACTCTCCCTAACGTCTACTTTTATCCACATTGTTTCTGCTGAACTACGTAAAGCATCTCCGGATTTCACTTCATCTGAAAAAAATTTTAAAAAATACACATGACAGATTTTTATGAAAGATTTCATAGGGGTATAGGTTTCATATTTTAGGGAACTGATAGTATAAAATCATATATGATATTTGAACAATATGGTTATTTACTTACAATCATATGTCACTAAGGTTTCTGAATATGTGAGGGTTCATATATTATGGATGATGCATGCATTATATTTATAATGAGGTCCTTATATTTTACACACAAAGGTTGAACCATAACACTGTTGCTAGCCATACTCCTGTTAACTTAATTTATTCAACTATAATATAAGTGATGTTCCTGTGTAAGAAGTAACTGATAGTCCTAACCAGTGTATCCATATTTTGAACTAAACGAAAATCTTTGAAAGATTATCACTGCATGAATAAAAAATCTCTAAATAAGTAAATTCCAGACTCAAATCCAATATGATCCCAGCTGTATGTACCATAAGAAACACTAAAACAAAGAACACCTACTGGTACAGACTCTTCTGATCAAGTAAAAACTATCATATTAAACCCAATCATGGACTTTGTGGCTGAAGGCTTGATCAATATTTGCCAAATTGTTTTTCCTTCAGCATATTGTTATTTTGCCTGATTAATCATAAATTGTCTGAACATGAAAGATTTAATATTCTATATCCCACACCTTGTGAAATAAAGACGACATTAAAAACTCAGTCATTATTAACATAACAACAGATCTAGCTAGGTGTAACCTAAGCCAGGATAATCTCAGATTATTTGAATTATAAGATTTAGTGTTTAAAGAGTCAATGTAAAACAATACCTTCTTTACTACTTATAGTAGTTAAAGCTTGACATCTTTTACAGTTAACTACCAGTCCATGGTTTATAGTCAATAGACTAGTTCTCCTTTTATTCAATATTATCAATAAGTACTGGTATGTTTCTTACCGAAATACCATGTTAATTAAAGGAGCAGTCCCAGATATATTTGAGTGAATAAAAACGGTTAATTGAAGTGCAAGACTCTTGCAAACTGTTATCCTAGTAGTACTCTGCAATTATCGGAAGCTCTGTGATAATATGTTTTTGAAGAAACACTTTCAGCTGCCATGTGGGATTTGCCACCAGTCCCTGAATTTCACACTGTATAAGTGCCCGGATAACCATTTCGATAAGCCGAAACTACAACGGTAAGGGGGTGCCGTGATTATCAAGTCATTAATAAAATTGAAGAATACAATTCCTTAAATCAGTTGCGTTACCTTGTTAAGTAAATCTAGCAATGATTGGGGTACTTCCCCTTTAACTGCTTGAAAGTTCAATATAAATGTAGCAAATAATTTAATCCTTGGACCATTGAACAATGTCATATAGGCCTATATATGAACCCTGTATTAATAACATACATATGGTTCAATTATACAACACCCCATGTTTCAAAACACATAATTTCCATTTACAAAAGGTGTCTAATCAAAAATGGTCGCTCTAAACCATGGAAATTAATTTTTGTGCAAAGAAATAATCTTGCACATGTAGGTCAAGACTGTCTATTTTTCAACTATAAATATAAAAGATACTAGTTCATACTAGTACATATTTCCATTGTGATATCATGAATCCTTAAAGGCTATTGTGAATATTTATACTAATAACATGACAAATAATGTCTAAAAATTCAGAAGTCCTTAAAATTAGAATAGATGCAAGGTAACAAGTATAGTCCTGTTCTTGACACTTTACTGATCAAAAAGAAGAGCAACTTGAAGCAAGACTCCATATTAATATTATTATGATATATAGTTTAGAGATTGTAAACTTGTTAAAATCATAATTAAATAATTAAGCCCTTTATTGTGTTATTATTTAAAAACGGGGAATTATTATTGAAAGTTTGTCCAAAGTGTCTCCAGGACCCTTTTCTTAACCTTTTTGTGTTACGATTTAAAACCAGAGAATTATTATTGAAAGTTAGTCCAAAGTGTCTGACCCTTTTCCTAACCTTTTTGTGTAATTATTTAAAACCGCAGAATTATTACTGGAAGTTAGTACAAAGTGTCTGACCCTTTTCCTAACTGGAAGTTAGTACAAAGTGTCTGACCCTTTTCCTAACCTTTTTGTAGCTATCATAAATGTAACGAGGCCAGGGTTGTGAAAAAAAGGATAAAGGCCCTGGTTTTTTGTTTTTCTAAAACATCTGAATGTTTGATGTTTTAGAAAATGTTCACATTGGTTCCATTCCTGGCCTGTTCAAAAGCTGAATTGTTTACTTTTCCAAAGATAAATATATCCCAAACTTCGTAGGAAGACATCTTTCAAAAGCATGTGTACACCACAATAAACACCATGTATCAATGTTTCCTAACTTTTTGATAAAATGCAATATTAATAGGTGACAGAAATGTAGGTAGGGTAAATAATTAATCCACAATGTTTCAGGAAAGAAATTTGAGCAAAAATTATCAAAAACCTCAGAACTTTGGGAATGCTCAGGACCTGACAAAATAAAAGAAAAGAAATCGGGCCTTTCATGTTCTGACTCTTCCCTGCCCATTAGCCCAGAACATAGTCATAATAAAAAGACTAGGATAAAGAGTAAAACATCTATGACTTATGACTAGTATTTACACATGCCAGATGTAATTCTGATCATCAATAAATATGCTACAGCCTGTGGTAAGTTGAATCTAAATAATTAATCAAGCCCTACCAATAATCATTTCAGGCTGTTCCATTATCACAAGAGGTGATTAATACTTTATGAAATAGCATTAATGATGACATATACACACACACACCATAGGCTTTTATGTAAAAATAAAAAAACAATCCACAATTTGTTATGTTGTTACTATTTCACTGCTGGTATTCATCTTATTATCCAAGCAAACTTAAGTTCTTCAATTATGATTTTAATGAAGTTATTAACACAGGTATAATCCAGTCCAGTTCTCATCACAATATTTAATGATCATTCATATGTAAGATAAGTTTAAACTTGTTTGGTATTATTCATCACATTCCTGATCAAACAATCAATAATAGGTGTGCTCTAATTTTACAGGCGCTTACAGCTAATTAATATTTTCAACTCTACAAATAATTAGAAATCCAATAATACAAGCACATCATATAGACACACATAACTGATTTCTATTTAGACAAATACATAAACCTTAACATGTGGCATCAGTCAGGACCTATCCATTTATCGAATGAATAGATTAATTTAGATAAATGTAAACAAAGAACTAGTTCATTTTGGGACTAACATATGACAAATATTTTTTTTTATATCAATAAGTCACTTACATGCAGGAGTCTTTTGGTGGAATAAGAAGAGGAAATCCACACAGTTTGGCAGAAGATCGTACTCCTTATTCCATAATGTATAGGATCGAAACCGCAACACTTAAACAGCCCTTATGATTTTAAAGTGCATGTGCTAGACTATTTGGCCACCCATTCCAGTCCAATATTAGCATTGTTTGCTACATGCAGATACGATCTAGTGTCTACCAATTAAATAATTAATGCACTGATTGTCAATTGATTAAAAAGGTCTGTTTCATCAACAAAACACACACTTACAAGACATTTTGTCTTTTTAAAACCAGAATGTAGTATCATTTAAGATAAATCATTTATCTTATTGGAGACAAAACTTATCAAGCAATAAGCCTCTGTTCAGTGTTCACATACCCCTACATTTGCTCAAACATTTTTATTCACGCTCTTTATGCATAGATAATAATTTGTGTTCACGTTACCAAATTAAAGATATTAATTTGAACATTTCTGTCCACATAACCTTGCCGTTCACATACTATTTACCACACAATTTACCAAACCATACCTCAGCAGTAAACACAAGGCAAGCTAAGTTTTTTTTCTATACAAATTACTCCTCTGATACAATAACATTATCAATCAATGATCCTGACAGGTAAGCTATAACTCAAAACCCTCAAAACAATCAACATTAAAAAAATACCTGATATCAACACTTTATCTGCGGTCAATCAAAGTGCACACACACAAGAAATAATATCATCTTAAAAACAACTTTTGATATTAATAATTAAAGAAGTTAATCCTAAAACCTTAAAAGAATATAATCTGTATTTTTCCCTTGACCTTGTTATATTGCTCTCCAATCTTCAAATACCAAATAAACTTGAAAGACAACTAGTAGTACTATGTCAAAGTCACAGTCGACTTCAAATGGTAAGCAAGTTGTTTTAATAAGTATTTCAGATTAGGCAGGTGTACAAAGACAAATAAAAGATCTGAGTCACATAAAAAGCCCACAAACACGCGTCCAGTAAATTAAGACATGTGTTCATATTATTATAACTAAATGTTATATACATAAATATTAGTAGTCCATGAATATATGAATAGATTTAATAATTACTTATATATATAAGACATACCTCCAGATATCATTTATGTATATTTACTATCAATCACGGTCAGGTATTCTATTCAATTTGTCTACTTATCTCTATTTGTTCATTAGACCTATAACCAAATATTGACCATTGATTGCTTTCATAAAAGCACACATTACACGGCTAATTTAAATCTGATGTCTCTACATTCCAATCAAAGATAAAAAGATATTTTTAAAGAATAATTTCTATTTGAATGAGGAGCCTTGAACTTAAATATTTTCAGTAAAGATATGTTGCCAGTCAACAAATCATACTTCCACAACAGCTAAGTTGTCCGGGCAATAAACATGGCTTGTCGCATATTTTTTCTACTGATGGTAATGAAAACATTTACAACACATTAAAACCTGATTAAGAGTAACAACCCATTAAATAATTATCAAAAATCATTAGAATTTGGTTGTCTTAGAACTAGTTCTGCCCCATATATGCCAACATTCAGTTGACAAAACATGTAATATCATTGGTCAAGGGTAATAACTCGGGCAGTAATTATTGGAAATCGTTGAAAAAGAATTGAGTACTTTGTTTAATGACCTGGGGCCTTATTCACGAAATTTTAACTAAGATAAAATCAAAATTTTAGTTATTTGATTGGATAATATTAAATTAAATTTTAGTGCTTAGCCAATCAAAACTGAAGTATCTACTAAAATTTGGATTTTATCTTTAGTTAAGATTTCGTGAATCAGGGCCCTTAACCAATGTGTATGAGTTTGAAGTCAACCGGACAATAACTTTATAGCCTCTAGAACGTCCACAAGGTCCATAACTCTGGCAGTAATTATCAGAAATCGCTGAAAATCAATAGGCTTCATCGCCACATAGACACAGTATACAAATTGTGGAAGCTGCAGCGCCGGAAGATGGTGACGGCAATGTACGACCACACTTCAATGTGATTTACAATAATAAATAGAATACGATATCAAAAAAAACATTGTTTATCCAACGCTTTGTCAGTAAAATACTAACTTTGTAACAATTCCTAACAACACTAAATAAATACACATTTATTAAAATTTTTTAAAGCATGACCGACAAAAGAGAAAAGATATCTCTTCAAAGAAGAAAATTCATCATTTTTGTATAACTATAAATAAGTGCAAAATAAGAACTCTTCATCCCTCATGAACAAGTTAGTATTTTTACTGACAAAAAGTTGGATAAAACGAAGGGTTTTTTTTAAATTGCATTCTATTTATTATTCTGGTATATCAACTTATTTAAATATCAAATGAGTCATTTTGACTTTGTCAAAATTGATCCCATCAAACCGTCTGTAATTGGTTTGTGTTACTTGTTTCTATTTTTTTGGCAAGATTCTCACATTTCAATGTGAATGTATAAAAATGTAATACCCTGGGTGACTTTGCTGTGAGAAAGTGAAGTCTAATTCAATAAGATTAAAGAATCATAAACAACTAGATTTATTAAACTAAGTAAATAAATGTACTAGACTATATTATTTCAATAAATAATGGCCTTTGTTTAAATGGCTTATCAGTGAACCTCCATTATTGTCAGATATAATATCTATATTGCCTGAATACTTACAACATAAAGTTACAATATGAACCTAATTTGGTCATCATATATCACTGTGAGTAAACAAAAAGACACCTTATATGAAACAATATCCCAGCTAGTAGACCTTTAATACATTAGGGTGAATATCATTTAAGGCACACAAATGAAATTATATATAACATTTGCAAAGCTTATGTACATACAGCACAGACACAAATCAAGCAAGAAGACTTAATAAACCAAATAAATATTGGGACAAGTATTTCTTTTCTCTAACTAGCTATCTGCTATATTTTCATTTTTTGTTGTTCTTTTCCAGTGAGTAATGGGATTTGATGGTTGCACTGTGTTTTGATTGTCATGGCACAGTTTACAAATGATATAATTATCGAAAATTCATGTTTATTAGGTCACTCAAAAGGAGGATTACTTTCTGTCTGACTCGGGTGGCGTATATTTGTATAGGACTCTGGGACATTTGCCACCTATGTGGCAAATATACATGTACATGTATTTAATAAATCTAATACATGTTCCGGTGTCTATGCCATTATCATAATCGCCTATAGTATAACTTAGTAGCCTACATGTAGAGGCTATATGGAATCCATACATATGTACCTTTTTTGGTGTTTTGTTTGACTTAACAATTTTATTAGCACTGGACTAGTCTGGTAGTGGTACAGTGGTAGAGACTGAAACACTTAGTTAAGTTAGGCCCTGGCCCCAAGTACTTTACTAAATCATATTCAAATGACGAAATAATCTATATCAGAGTGACTATTTTCTCTTTTAATACACTGTAAATGGGATAATTGTACCGATTGCTATTGTTATGAATTATTGTTGGTCTTTGGACGTGCATTTCTCTTAATAAAAAGAAGAATGTCATGATTCACGAAATTGAAATTTGTGAATTATCTTTTTACTTTACTGTTGTACTTACCAATTAAAAGACGATATAATGGTTTATACAGAAATTTCCAAATCTAAAAGAGTGTCTCTTATTCATTCAGAAGATGCGAAATGTGAAGTTTGTACTGTCCGCTTCCAACAGCGCATGTTGATTCTCGTTTCTAAAGAATATTCAACCTTTGACACCATTACAAGACAAACGTATAAAGGGGGTCAACTCTAATTAAAAATGCTCTTATTTAGAGTTGTGTCCCTTTGAACAGTCCCAGCGGCATAGAGTTATGCTAAGCAGTAATCACAATCGACAATCCTCGAAAAATTGCAGTATTTAGGACTCGTGGTTATTCAAATATTGTACGGAGTGCAGTTATCATATAAAATTTATGTCAGAAAAAGAAGATTCTAGTTTTGTGCGTGTGAATTCTCACTTCAGAGTTTTATTATATTATGTGTGTGTTTTTGTAATAATTCCCTACAACACAACACTATAGGCTTACACACATTTTAAAATTTCATAAAACATGACCGACAAAAAAGAAAAGATGTCTCTTCATATTACGGAAGCGTATAGGGGTCATGCAAAATTTTGTAGAAGGTCTCGAGATCCTGCGATCCTGTGATACTTTCTCGAAATGGTAATTCTTTCGAGATCTCAAAATGTTCTCGAAATCTCCTGATAATTTTCCTGGGATATTGAAATCCTGTGTGAATGTTCTCGAGAATTCGAGTTAATGTTTTCGAGATATTGACATCCTGTGTAAATTTTCTCGGGATCTCGAGTGAATATGAAACTTTATAAAATAGTGTCTCCACGTTGTGAAGCTACTATTGGCCAGCACCAACTTTGATAAAAAAAAACCCAACATACTCTAGAATTTGTTACAAAGGAAAACTGATAACTAATGAAGGAATAAACGGACAATCGATAGGGTTCATCCCTTCTTTTATTGTCCTAATGCTTTACACTAAATTTGAAAAATGATTAAAATCGATAGGGTTCATCGTTTTATGGCCCCAATGTTTCATACCAAATATGAAAATCAAAACTTTACTGTGTGAAGCTTTGAATTACAGACTTGATTGTAAAGTTATTTCAATTTAATGTGTGGGCGATGTTTTATTGAAAATGTCATAATTTGCATGATTTTCAGGCCATATTTCTTTTAGAATAAAGCTAGACACGTGGTTTATTGTCTTGTGGCCCAAAAGCTTCGCGGTGGATGTTAAAACAAAAATCTTGAATACTCTGGCGTTCACCAGACGGGAAAATATGAAAAACGCCATAACGAAAAGTCGGGGAGCGCTGCAAATCAATAAGGTTAATTCTCTAGTTGCAACAATCCCTCCGAAAATCTAGCTTCTATCCGTTCACAAGGATAAAATAAATCCCACGGAACACCGAAAGTAAAAAGGGTCCCTCTACTGGTGCTTCAAAAGTAATGTGAAAAATAGCCACGCAATGCGCGGAAAGACGCTCACTCAGCATCTATGTCTCAACAGCAGATTATCGGAAAGGAAAACTTGGATGTTGAATAAATTGAATAAGGGTCTAGCATCCTTCAAGAAATCTAATCTTTATCTGTTCACGTTTTTTTTATATATTCTGTGACGGCAAACCATATATTTTTAAAATTAAACAGGGGTCATCCTTGTCACGGAACACTGAATATCGAAAATCCGTTAAAAACGGAATAGTTTTAATTTGTAGGCCTACTTGTCATTCAGGAAGAACGGAATAATTCAAGAAATGTGGAATACAGTACAAGTTCTTGTAATACATGTAGTAAAATTTACAAATTTTAGCCACAAATTTTAGTCAGAAATTAAACGGACTGGTTGTTCCACTTTCATAGATCAAGTAATTTTGAATATCAATGGCACTGTCATAAAAATGCGTCGATGACTAAATGTTTAATATTTTTATCAATTGAACATTGTGTATTATAATGCATGGGTTATGTGTATAATTCACGGTGAGATATTAGTCTCCGATTGAGCCCGTTATTTTTTTTTTTTAAAAGGGGGGGGGGGGCGAAGAAATTTTCAATAAACCTACTATTCCACTCTTTCCGACGTTGACTTCGTGAAGATTATCTCGCTTAAATTGGTGTATTAAGTTCAACGTGTTCAAGTAGGTTTGAATTGATCTGATAGTATAGATTTATGAGATGTTGTAGTTTATTCTGCGGACATGGCGCAGTTTCTCTTTAGTTCTTCCCTTGAAAGTGGACCAGCTTCCCCATATCCCGTGGACTTGATGTCCATGTGTAATATGGAATCCATACTAGCTCCAGCATGTTTCCATTCTGTAGGACTCTCTGATATTCAAAAAGACTTTCTCGACTTCTGATGGGAGACCTACAATATAAAATCACGAATATAACATGTTTGGCGCAATATGTTATGAGCTAACGTGTCATAAAACTCCGCTTCATTTTATTCACTCAGTGTGCTATGAGGGAATTTTTGCTCGGATACCGTACTAGTTTTATATCGAATTCCAACTGTCAATGTTTTTTTTTTCAAGTGCACGCCAATACGTTGTCCCTTGTCAGGTCCTCCTCCCTGCATCACTGAAAACGGGGAGCCACGCCAGAAAATCCCGATGAACTTTCTTGGTCAATACAGGGACGAACACGGGACCTCCAGGTTAGTTGCCAACTTCTTACCCACCGAGGCACTGTGGTAAATATGGTTAAAAAACAGAGACATGGTTTTAAATGAGAGATTATTTATCTATACTAGATACATATATACAGGTCACAATTCTATGGAATACAATTACTGCTTTTTACTGAGCGACGTTTCGACTAGGCTTCTCTAGTCATTATCAAGCTATGATAAAAAATGAAAATATGACAGGACAATATATACATGTACACCACAATGCTAAGTTAATGATGACAAACCAGGGATGTAACATAATTACGTGTACCTAATGGTAATCTGATTTAATTGTACGCTAATAAGTTACATCCCTGGTTTGTCATCATTAACTTAGCATTGTGGTGTACATGTATATATTGTCCTGTCATATTTTCATTTTTTATCATAGCTTGATAATGACTAGAGAAGCCTAGTCGAAACGTCGCTCAGTAAAAAGCAGTAATTGTATTCCATAGAATTGTGACCTGTATACTCTAGTTCAATTACTAAATGCCATTGAAACAGTTTAGATACATATAGTCATACTAATCAATTATTGCTATTTTAAAATCGGTAGTAGTTCTTCGGGATTTTGATAAATGTATTATAGCCACTCGAGTCATGTGAAAGATGTTTTACTTAGAATATCAAAACTTAAAAAAAATATATAGAACGATGAGCTCTCGAGAAATGCAACCGAGTACTGTTGGTTTACACCCCCCCCCCCCACCCCGGTGATATTAGTGTTATGTTTATCAATATACCAAGAGATTGTGATTTTCAGTAGACACCGCCGATATATTACCCCACCAAAGCAGTGGGGCAATTTTTTTTAAACAGTTGGGCATTTGCTACAAAACAGTCTGGAGCAATTTTTTTTCAAACTGATACGTCATTTAAAGTATTATTATTTTAAATAAATAATAAATATGATTCAGAGATTAACATGTACATGTAGGTATAGTTTAATTTTTTTTTGACATCCATCAAGAACTGAAAAATAAAAGAAATTTGGAACAAAGTAGAAGTTCGTTTTTCAATACATTTTATCGCCAAGACTGTAATCGCTTAAAAATTAACTTTAATAAATTGTGTTTTACAAATCATACGTGATAACATTGCTAATGTCATTCGGCCGCAAAATTATGCCTGGATAAACACGCATATTCCTTAATTTGAGGGAAGACAACTCGTGATGCGATAACAGCGCCATCTGTTCTAAATTTAGCACCGTGAACGAAATGGCTCATAGGGAATAATGACTCATAATAAGCCAACATATATCGAAAATAGGAAACCGTAAGTATACAGCTAACGTGGTATAAAAATTATAATCCTGTAAATCGCGAGAAATATAGTTTTTTTTCTCTACTGATGTCTAAGCATGAAGTATTAAAAATGAGATTCTCGATTCGGTTTCCTTCCATTCTCATTCTTCAGTCGCACTTGCTAAGCCAACTGTCTGTCATTCTGAAGTGGAATCGTCAGGCATTATTTCGGTTGACAATTTTATACAACAGTAATTGATAACATTTGGTTGTTTACGGTATTTTGGCAGCGTTGTCATTTTGATCAAAATGGTACTTCCATATGTAGATTAAGTCTTTCAGAATCTGTACTTGTCTGTTGTCATATATAATTAAATAAGAATGTTTTTTTAATTTATTTTTTTTGTAATACAATATTAACATTAGCTTAGTTAGATCTAGTCTATTATATTAGCTTTATAATATGTGCATGCGTAAATAAATGACTTAGTATTTCCAACATAAATGACTACTTTATATTCTTGAAATGATTTTAGAATAGTTCCCTCCCGTTCAAACTGCTGTATAGTTAGCCAGGGATTTTGTAAATCAAAATTCTCTATAAAATATATATGTATACATGTAGTAGTTGTACTGATATTAACATTAAAGAAACAATTAAATGTATGATCTTGTGCATATACCACACCTACATTTATGTTCCTCACACCTTAGATCCAATAGTAAGCCTAGAATACTTGAGAATACCATACCCATTTGTTTTTCATTGTGTTTGAATGGTATGACAAGACAGGAAATAAAGATTTTTAGTTTCTTAGTGGAAGGGAATCTGAATATTTTTTATGCATGCAGTAGTTTTCATTACATCGTTAAGAAACCGGGTTAGAAATCATAACAAGGTCAAGCGGCATCTATAATTGCAGGTGCAAACCAGCTAGATTCCCACGTGTACTAGACAAGCTACATGTATAAATAACTGAGGGGTATTCCTTTCTGAAAATTAAATGCATTTTTCTCATTAAATTCTGAACTCATTTAGCTGAAATAAATTATAGAATTTACTAGGATTTTATTACAACCATATTAAATTGAAACGGAACAAGCATGCAGAACTTTGTTTTTTTTAGATTAGATGGCATTGTTGTACATGTATGTTCACTTCCATACAAATGACATCATAGATAGACAAGTACATGTATGCAGGTGATCTGAGATAAAAGAGTTGTTTGAGAAAATGATAGATACATATGTAGGTTCTAGGTATAAAGAAAGGGCTTAAAAAAACAGCCATTCTACACTAATTGATTTGACAAATCATGCGATCATTGTGACGTCAAAATCTCTTACAGGAAATTAATTAACTTTTTTTTTTCTAGATATTTTCCTTATCTTATAAAATTGTGAATATTATTCAGGAAATGTTCGCTATATTGTGATATATTTTAGGTTAAAATTTTTGGGTACATGTACAATGTATTGCGGTAGGCTATAGGCTATTTTAAGAATCAGACAATTTGAAATCTGTTTTTTCCAGTCCTTGTCTGTACTGAAGTCCCAATCAGTCTATGGTAGCAGTATCAAATAAACCATGTCTATTGCTACAGGTACCATGTAGTAACAGCATCTAGTGTCTAAATGTACATGTACCACATTGCTGATTATGTAATTTAACAATAAGCTGACTTGTTGACATTGAGGCTGTTATCGTTATATAATCTTATTTAATAAGCTTATAGTATTAACAAAGACTATATGATTAAGCAATTACAGATCCGTGACATCTGAACTAAAAATAAATGAATTATAATGATAAAACATGTTTGTCCTTGACAAGAAATTAATATTGACAAATTTATTGAAAGAAGAATGGGAATTAAGGAAGTTCTACATTCCTTTGATTGAACATTTCATTTGCATTCATACCTGTACTGTGTGCTACTAGCTTCACGTGATTGTGGTGCAAATTGGATACATGCATTGTTTTAATGGGTGCATGGATGAGCCTCTGAGGCCAAAGGAGCTAACTTACATGTACATGTTTTTGAATAATGTTACATTATGTGGGGCATTTTGTTCAAATGATTTAATACATTTCATTGGTACATGTAGTTGAGAATAACCAGAAAAATTCAAAATAAACCCAAAAGCTGAAGACTTAATGCACCAGTTAAGCATTAATTAATAACAGTATTAACACCATACATGTAAGGTTTTCTTTTACTTGTACATGTGCATCTAATTATATAAGACTATACCACATATGTACATGTACGTGAAAAGATATTGCATGCTATATTGTAGTTTATTCTTTTGTCCGCAACTTTAGATAGATTAATTGTAGAAAATCCAGATATTATACGATTGAGTGTAAAAGTTGAAAGTGTGTGAAAGTTCTCAAAAAACAGTGAAACTTTTGGGGACAAAACAAAAATTACAAAAACAGGTCTTGATCTTTTTGACTCTAAAGAAAAATATGCTAGTATTTTATCAATGATGTATAAACAGCTGTAAATAAATTGAATTTGTGTGGTTATATACATGTATCTATGTTTTGACAAAAATTGTACAAGCCATCTACCAATAGGAATGAGCTAAAATTTTCCATATTTGATTTGTGATGGTTTTCAGTGTTAATCTGCGATGTCCTCTTTTCGCTACCTATCAATATGTCTAGGTCATTATACAAGTCATTTATCACATTACCGACAAGTTTGTGAGATAAAGATAGTTGAAAGATGGCCAGTGTTTATAAGTAGTTTAACAGTGCTACCCTATACAAACATGAATTGTTGACCAATATTTGACTTAGTGTTTAATGCGACAATAACATAGTTACTGTCTTGATCTTAACACAGAAACATCCTTATTGCAGTGAATTATTATCATACGCTTGAGTACACAACTTACTCAAAACGGCTAAGTTATAGGTCGTTGGATTAGGAGAACAACGAACAATAATTTTTGTATGGTAATTATGGAAGAATTTTTGTTTTATTTTCGTTGATTATTTGAATGATTAAGAAGAAACTGTTTTAATAATACATTGATACTGCTGTAAAGTCTAATATTGTTGTATTGAGTATTAAAGAGATCAGATACATCATCGAATGTGAAGCTTTTCAAAAGTACCCTTATTAACGCTGATATATTGTTAGTGATCTACATACATGTACATCATATGGTATATATGAAGTCATAACATCAGGACAGTTTGAATGTACACACTTTCACCTATGAAATTGTAAAGCATTAAAATGTAGTTTTGACAAAGGAAGCCCCAGCTGATGGACGATTAGTGTATATCCGTAATAATACAGAATAGTTTATCAAGGCTACTAATAGTAATACAGGATGGCGTACATGTTACGATATATTATATATGTTTATGTATGATATATTTGACATAGTTTTATCACGTGTGATTCTCTTCTTGAGAAACACCCATTTCACTTCCGTCTCAGTATCCCTTTCAATTTTGGATTATCATTATATTGTTACATTAAATTACACATAGAATGGCCTCTACAAGATACTTCATGATGATTCATTTATTTTTTATTCACTGGAGCGAGGAAGCACAAATCCATTATTAGGCAGAATTTTCCTGAATGATTAACATCTATGTCACTTCATTATTTTGTGGATATTTGTTAGTTATACCTATATGTACATGTAATCAATCCAAGGCATGATTTCTACCAAAGCTTTGAAGTACATGTAAATCTCACTCCCACCACTACTCAAATAGCCCAGTCCTTACTGCGGGATGATAAAATGAGAACATAAAACAAAATGAAAATAAATTGAAAACAAAATATTAATGTTATTCTAGAAGTGGATATAATATTACAAAGGTGAAGAATAATAATATATGATTTATGTCTAATTTTAGGTGGGGTTATATAATTATAATATCTGACATTTGATATTGGGTAAAGATGTAAGATAACTCATGTTCATGATATTAAAATGAATTATAAATCAGTTGACTTCATATATTAAGATTGAGGCAAACTTTTTAGGAAGAGACTTTAACATCAAATGGTAAGCAATCCTGTTAAATATAAGCATTATTAAGGTTTGGCGATTGTCCTTTTAAGAAATTCTTTCTTTCTGAGATCATTGACCAGTCTCATAAGAGGATTGAAATCCACAACTGCCGTCAAAATATATGATTACAGAAAGTTTTAAATTTGAAGTTCTGATAGATGTAGGACTACACACAGGCATACTGTAAGAAAAAAAGAATTTTTAGTTTCGTTTAGCTAAGTGTAATGGGTTAGATAAGATTTATTTAAGGTGACTAATACTGTAGTAATTCTTTACACCTCTGCTGGCTAATAACAGGTAGCCTTACTATCTACCTGGTATTTGGACATTAAGGTTTGTCAACAGTTTTTATTCTGTGTTACAAAATGAAAGATACTTGTATCAGATCCGACCACGGAGGGGAATACGAGAATTAGACTATAAACTCTACAGGGGTAATGTCTACACCAGTTGTTAATATATGTACACGTACATGTATACATTGATAAAATCAGTTTTTGTAATGTCTCTAGAATCAGAATCTATTGCATGTAGTCTGAGGAAGGAAAATTCACATTTGTATCCTGTTTGAACGATTATTGTGATATCAGTAATCTAGAAAATACACGTAGTTTCTTGGAATACCAACAAAATTACATGATGCCTGTGTACTTTATTTTTCATTTACCACAAAGGTACATGAGGGGAATATGAGGCTTAAAAATGAAACCTACAGTTGCAATGTCTTAAGCCAATACATGTATGTGTAGGCCCACATATTTTTGTTGACAGTATGTCTCCTTGATGTATTTCTGATAGCATCCGATCAAGAGGAAGTAGATAACTATAACTACTGAAATGGTGTTAGACTCTCAATATCACATCCGTACAATGACACCATTGAAGTACATACATATTTTGTTTGATAGAATATACTAGTACTGGTGGTACATACATGTACATGTATGACATACATGTATGTATATCAAATTCATTATACATTGCAACCAAAGCTTGAAAATCATAACAAGTTATCAGAGATTTTAAGGCATGTTTATTCATGGTACATGTACCTGTCTGTGGTAGGAGGCATCTTCCCGGTGTATGTACATACGTATGTGTGTTATTAATTACCTGCACCATACTAATACTTTGTCTTATTTTAAATAACTTGATCGGTTAAAACTAGGGAAGTCCTAAATGTACATGTATCTGTTATTGTTGATCCAGAAGTATTCTGAATTCAGACTCAAAGCGAACTTCCCGCCTTAATATACATGTATACGGTACTAAGAATTTATTTGGCATCTAAGACTTTTTAAGGACATGTAAATACATGTATATGCCACAGATATTTGAGCCAATGGGAGACTGCACAACAAAAGTTTAACGAAATTCATTGATAAGTTATGGTGAAACATTTGACTTAGATCTATTTAAAAAAAGATTACTAAAAATATTATTTAAAGCCATCTGATTCTGTTTCAAAGGTGTAAAAAAAACGTTTTTGTTAATTAGATTACATTGTCCTTATGAGAAGGACCAGAGAAATAGTCAGCAATTGTCAGTAATCCGAAATAGACACATCTGTATCAAGTCAAGGAAATAATTAATAAGGTGTGTCTAATGTGAGATAATTGAGGTTGATTAGTGTTATTTACATACCAATCTTTATATTCATGCTGCTATTACATGTACAACTGTAGCGTCCTCTAACAAGAGGTCTGCTATCAGTGAAGGTAATTCTGCCACCAGTGACTTCTTCCGGTGAGTCACGGATCAAGCTCTTCAGACGAGCGGTTAAGAGATTAGCCAAAAGGTAATATTCCCTTGCTCAGAAACAAACAACAACTTGTAAATTAAATTATCAGACGAGCGGTTAAGAGATTAGCCAAAAGGTAATATTCCCTTGCTCAGAAACAAACAACAACTTGTAAATTAAATTACCATTTATTCATAAAGAACTTCTAAACTGAGGAGTCTTAGTTACAAACATTGTTGCAATGTTTTAGATACCTATCAAGCAATAAGTAGGACGTTTAGTCCGGCCCAGATCGCAATGATAATGATGGCACTATACAAGGCACTAAAATAATGTACATGAAACAACTAGTCAAAATCATAATAACAAAACAAACCGGGAGGAACTAAATGACAGTGCGAAAACATACACAATGGCATCAAATTAACATGACAACATACTACGTAAAACATTCAGTATACATACCAAATGGCATATATTCCATAATTTGGTCTGATTTATATCAATATACAAAGCATAGATATTAGGATAGTGAATTATTACATTAATCAATTATGGTGATAAGGAGTGCAGTTCTCTTGCTGGACACTTCACATGTAATGGTATATCCCAAAGTTTTTTCACCAGCCTCCCATAAAATTCAAAGCAACTTTAGAGAATTATTTCAATAATGAACAGTTTTAGAATATACATGTAGCATACAGGGTACATGTACTCATGCACATTTATTAATTGCAAAAAAGACAGTAGAAATATTCAAAAATCTATTAAAGCTTACAGTATATAATTCAGTTGATGAAGCTGTTTATGCTACATGCCACAGACTACCATGCACTATATGCAATGATTTTACATAAACATACTACTATTTACTGTAGTAGTAATTTATAATATTAATGTTCAGAAATTTTGATAGGCCAAATATTTCCACTATTTAACAGTACATGTATAAGGATGACGTAAATCATCCAGTGTCTCATATTTGTTTCCTTGTTTATCACAGGAAAAACTTCAAAATGATTTATTTTTATCAGATTTGTTGCCATATTATTGTGTAAATCAACCAACCATTACAAATTGCCATTTGAAATTGGGGAGGGGGGGCTGAATTGTTAGCATATGCGCGCTCCATCATAAGGTGTGGTTTCAGTTCCCTGGTTGTACGTTTCAAGGTGTAGAGTAGCCTGTCCAACCTTGTTGGTTTTCTCCAGGTCCTCCGGTTTCCTCCCACTGCTAACAAAAATTGAACCATAAGTTAGTCCCAAAATGACCAAGTTTGTGTAGAGTTGGTATGGATAGTTCTGTTCTAGTTCATGACTAGAGACATTTATTGATTTTCTTAGCCCAATTGGTGCAGAAAAGTAGGATGTTAAACGAGTTAACTTAACCCCATTTTATTTTGATGTGATTATATTTTGTTTTTGAAAGATTAAAAGCAGAAGTCAATTTGTTCTCTAATGTACTGTATGTTGCCAAATTTAATTTGAACAGTTGAACTAAAAAATGCTTTTCTCAACATTGGCATTATTTGTGGAAGTAGAATTTTCAAAAAAGACAGATTGTCATCCCACAAAACTTAACAATTGCAATCAAGCCACAATTTCCCTAATATCAATTCAAGTTTTTTTTTATATATCGAAATTATGTTATAACCAAATTTTTAACTATATTTTTCGTATTCTTTCAGGTTTTAACAAACACTAACAAGAATTAATCGTAGATTCATGGCATGATGATAGAATCCTAATGCTACGTACATTATTATAGCAACATGTTGCATGATGGAGCATGAAGCAGATGTTATAGCCTAATAATAATTATAACCAAAATGTCAACAAATATTTTTGATAACATAAACTATCATTTGCTTTGCAATGTTATGAATATATTATAATTATGATAGCTGCTAAACCTAACAGTTAGTGATTCTGTCCTATTTGTGATAATTGATTTATATTCATTATGGAACAGAAGAAATTCGGAACAGGCTTAAAAACCACTGGTAGGGACGTTGCTCGTGATAGAGTTGGTGCTGCAACTCGAACACCTGGACGTGGTATTCGAACTCCACTCAAACCTGCCAATGTTTCAGATCTGAAAGCCATGTTTGACAAGTCTGATAACGATGCCACAGTGACTACAACAAAGGTTGAAACCAAACAAGGAGCTGGAATAACTTCTACACAAAGAACTACAGAAACTCGAACAATTACCAGAACTACCCGCAGCATGCAACAACCTGAAGAAACAGGGGTTAAAGTTATTTCTCTCTCGCAACCCAAATCAGCACCAGCACGAACAACGGGTATAAAAACAGCAGATGAAATATTAGCAAAAGTACGTGCCGAGAGACTTAATGCAAGTGATCCTAAATCAACTAGTTTTGTTACAAAACACACAAAGACATGCACTGTTACACAAACATCGTTCGATAGTTCTGACCCATCCTCTAAACTTGTTACAAGAACTGTTGCAACTTCCGACAGTTTGGACAATCAGGATTCAAGAAATAAAGCACGAGAATTTTTAAAGTTTAATTTAGGAAGAACTGGATCTGGTTTAAGCATGTCTTCAAATTCCTCTGAAGAGGATAGTATTAGATCTGGACGATCAAGTCCTCAAAGTAATATTAGTCCAAGATCTTTACATGTTTCTAACCCACGCGGATATAAGAGTGGAGAAACTAGTCCTAGGGCGTTCAAACCCTCTAATGAATTTCGTTCAAATTTAGGATCCTTAGACTCGAGTAGCTTCTCTCAAAGTGAACAAACGAGTCCTAGATCTTATATATCTTCAAGTAGTGCCTCTTTACATAGTAGTCCTAGGAAAAGTCCCTCTCTTCAACGACGTTTGGAACTTCCTGTAAGTCATGAGTCAGAAGATGATAGTGATACTGTGGATTCTTCCTCTATAGCCACAGTAGCTAAAAAATATGGACTTTCTAGTGTATCAACATCTAAAACATCGCCCACTTCAACCAAAACAAAAACTGATATCAAACCAAAAGTGATCAATGGCAGCAAGGGAGGCTCAGACAAAACAGTTGTTAGATTAACTGAAAAGAAATTTGATTTATTAGGTAGTAAATCAGTGGATGATTCTTTAGTAAAGGATGGCGAAAAGGTTATCAAATTTGAAATTGAACCAGATGGTGTGGTGAGCGGCTATAGAGACAGTAAAAAAAGTAGTGAAGTTTCTAAAACCGAAAAAACAGGATATAGGCGTCCTTCTTTGGAGCATAAAAACTTCAAAAACCGTGGCTCCAAAGAAAACCTTTTAGATACGAAGAAAGAAGAGGTTAAAGCTCTGCATGAAATCAAAGTAGAACATGTTTCAGCTAAAGACAAAACAGAAGAAAAGGTTAAGGAGAAGGACAGTGGCAAAGAGCAGAAGGAGAAGGAAACAGACAAAAAGGACAAGACTAAGGAGAAGGATAAAGTTAAGGAGAAGGATAAAGTTAAGGAGAAGGACAAAGATAAGGAGAAGGAAACAGACAAAGCTAAGGAGAAGGACAAAACCAAGGAGAAGGATAAAGTTAAAGATAAGGAGAAGGACAGGGATAAGGAAAAGGACAAAGATAAGGAGAAGGACAAAGATAAATCTGGTAAAGGATTAACAGGTTGGTTTAAAAAATCTAAAGATGAAGCAAAGGAAAAGAAAAGAAGTAACTCAATCGACAAGAAAAATGACAAAGCAAAGAAAACAGATGACAAAAATGGTTTAAAAGTAGTGAAACTATCGAGTGATGCCGGAAGTGATAAGACAGTGGAAGTTAAGAGTGAATCTACAAGTGTTAAGAAGACTCCACCTTTAAATGATACTGTGAATAGATTAAGTGATAAAGCTTGTGATGTGAAATTACGTAAATTATCCGAAGAACGCTTTGGAAATATGTTTATCCCACCAGGTGCCGATAAGCGATTAGTTTCCCGTAACATGAGCTCAGAGCGATTTGAAAAACTAAAATTTGATTTTGAACGTGGATGCCCCACAGAGCATCAAGATAAAGTGACAAAAGATGCAATTCTGTTACCTAAGGATTTACCAGAGGTTAAAATTGCAGCTAAAGTTTCGCGCACAGATTCATTTAAACGTAAGGAAGAATCAATTTTCGCTAGTGGATTAAAAGTTTCTGATTTTGTTCAACAAATCAATGATAGCAATGTGAAAACTAACGTAGGTAGAACATGGAAGAAAAATACAGCTAGAGTAAGGAGTGCATCGGCTAGTCGACCTGGAGAAAATGAATACCACGAAGTCTCTGACGGAGCATCTAGTGAAGGTGGATGTTACTCTGACGGTGATGGAATTTACGAGTTTGTACCTGAAAGAGGTAAGTCTCTTATTTAGTAAGGTCACATATTAATACAGGTACATATAGGCATACATGTACATGTATTGCAACATAGAACAAGAATATAATTTTGAACATTTCAGTTTGATGTGTACTTTGTACACATGTACATTACATTGTTGTACATCAACTTATGACCCGAAAAATACGGTAATTTTGGGGAATTTAAAACCGGTACGGATGCGCAGTAGTCGGCACGCTTTCATTTTATGGTATTACGATGTCATGTAATATTGTAGGAATATTATTGACATAAATTTGAAAACCGTACAGGAATTAGATATGAAAAATAACGAGGTGCACCTATTTTTTTTATTACATATGAATTTGAATATTTTGTTGACACGTGATTCTTAAATAATTGTGGTTTGAAAACGCCTGCTTAGATAACGATAAGAGTTATGTCCCTTTATTTTTGAGAAGAAAATGTCCGACAACTAAAATTTTGAAATCCCATCACTGGTTCAGATACTGCACATGATAGTTCCAATTGAATTTCCTCTTTCAAAATGTTCATGTTGTACATGTTTACATGTACATGTATAATATACTTATACAGTTGTACTTACATGTACAATATGTACATGTAATACCATTTAGAATTTGAACTCTGATGTCAGTCTTTTGATTTTGATGAAGAGTAGAGCTACAGTACCTGACAGAAAGACATTTTTGGGATGTCAGTTTTTTTTTTTAACCATCATCCTTACAAACTGAAGCTGAATAAGAAGTCCTGATTTCTGACTAAAGCAAAACCTGTACATTTACATATACTCACATGTGACATGATTAATCTCTGTTGAACTTTTATCGTCTTAATCTACGTGACTACATGTACCATAATAGCAAGTATGCCATTCTCTGTCCCGTCACAGACAGAAACTGTCAGGGGTTAATTTTGGTTCAAGTATCAATAGTTTGTACATGTGCATGTATATTATTTTGTGTCTGTTTTATTAGATGGAGAAAATCAGGAGATAGATCCTTCAGGAAGACCTCCAAGTCGGCGCTTTGGTTTTTACAAGTAAGTTTATATGTATTTTTCTATACAAAGATCAAGGGCTATATTTATAAAAAAGATTCAAACATTACTGTTTTTTAAAGCATGTTTGGGAAGATGTTGTATACTACTTGTAGACGTTACACTACTGTACATGTACATGTACATGTAGCATGATGTGAAAGTACATGTACATTTGTACATGTATAAAATATGTTACAGTTACGATGTACACTACACTGTAAATAAGAAAGTGTTTATGAAAATGATTTGTATAGTACAATGTATACAAGTATAGTTTGTTTTCAGTGGTAATTTTAGTACATGTGTACATGTACTCGTATCTACTGTACATGAAGATGTACATGTATATGAAGATGTACATGTACTGTAGTTACATGTACAATGTACTAAAATTAACATTTACTTGTGTGCATTTTGTACACGATTAACATACGTACGGTGTACTTACATTTAAGTACATGTATGTACACTGAAAATGAAGTTGAGGTCAGAATTTATTTTTACCTACATGTACATGTAAAAGATACTGTTGGACTAACGTGAAAAGTCCTTAAAAGATAAGGCTATTAGAATGAATTCTTTCTCATAATTGCTAATATTCCAATTAACCTTTTAATTTCTGTATACATGTATAGTATACATGTATGAGAGAGAGCTACATTTGTACCAGTGAGTCATTAATACTGAAGGTTAAAAATATAAGAATGTACAATGTACTGTTACATGTACATGTACATTCGTACCTATTTTAAGACTTTTTGGAGTTCTTTTCTAGTCATTTACATGTATTTGTTCAAAATAAATTCTACCAAATAGATCCCAAAATACAAGCCAAATCATTATAATATCAGCAAATTAATGGGTCAATCATTTTCATTTGTAAATCCATCACCCTCTACTCAGATTAAAGTCTCAAATAAATGTACCCCACTAAATATTTTCACTCCATGAACTCGGACCCTGAAAACGTGTAGCATGCGATGTCAGAACCGATTTATTATTGTTATGCATGCTCAAAGTCAAATATGAATGCATCCAATTTTATTTGCGTGTTATCATTTATTCATTTTTGTATTTTCATTTTTTTGAAACACAGTAAAATGGCTAATTTTACCAAGATTTTGTAAGTAGATATTGATGCAATTTGGTTATGTTTTTATTTTTATTTTAAAATTCTGTTATTTTAGTTATTTCTGTTATTGGCACTTTTATTTACCCAGTTTCTCCATAGCTTTCCAATAGCATTTTTGATATTGAAAACTTTTGAACAAGTGTATGATCATGCATATGTTTGTAACTTTGTGTTTCTTCAGCAGCATGATTGCTTTTCAAGCAATGTTTTCTTGGGTTTTATTTTAAAGAATCAAAACAATGCTTTGAAGCACAGTCAAAATGATAACACAGAATGTAATAGTGTACTGTCACCTCAGCATGCAAATATACAGGCCTTCAAATTGATTTATTTATGATAAACAAGCTTACAATAAACTAACCTGGACACAGGTACATGTACTTTTACCTGACATTTTTAACTTCTTGGGATGTATATGTACATGTATGCATTTAAAGTAAATAATATTTGTGCATGGCGGAATAACAAGACGGTTGTTGAATTGTGCTTAAAAAGAATCGGTGTAGGATCTTTGTAGTCACAGGTGGATTATTTCTAGGCTTGCAAAAAACAATATGACATACTTATCAAATACATGTATATGTAGAGCCTCTTATTCAGGTACAATGTATACATGTATGTAGAATCGTGAACTCAACGTGTTTTGATTAGCATTGAAAAAATACCAAGTTTCAGTATCCTGTCTTGATACTTGTCATATTGTAATGTGTATATTGCGATCATATTAATTGAACTAGGTATTTAGTTAAACGTAAACATTTAGTAGGTATTGGGCCTGAGACAGGGTGTACTCTTCCATGATGAGTCCAATGACAATGTACATGTTGGATTACTGTACTATAAGGGCTGTATCGATATATCAATACACCAAAATGTATCGATACGTTCCAGCGATATTTATATCGATACGTAATATGGCCGTATCGTTGAAAAAATTATTCAGTTAAGAAAGACCATGAATTGAAACCTACGTGACAAAAGAAGACGATCACGGCATGGTTTGCCAATCAAGCATCTTCTACGCCGCGTATGAATTCCAGGTACCGGTAGATATTATAATAATAACTGGATCATACATTGATAGATTCATTGACCAATTGTTAAGTAAATTTAAATCTTCATTGAATATAATCCCATGATAGAACACCGAATACACCGAGAAACAATCATTTAATAATATATTTTCCTGATGGCATCTCCAATGCTGAATTTCAATGACACGTGACATATCATGATTTTTTTTATTTTATACACATTCTGACAAAGGCTTAAATTTAAAAATATTGTCGTTTTTATTGAAGGCTATATCATAATCGCACGGAATTTTTTTTAAAGCAATTTCAAGTAGGCCTATGGTTGTCACGTGACAATTGTACCGTGTGTCTATCATTGGTGTACCTCTGTTGTTATTTTTGTGGTAATCACATACATACCGCGTTCTCCATAAATTACCAATAATTATTTTTGTTGAAGTCTAGTTATATCAAAGGGAATAGACTCTTATAATTAACCCATTTCCTACGGGATCCCAATTGACCAACATTATTCTGGCCGTTTGTTTCAAAATAGATAAAGAACCCTGATGCTTGCTTACTCATCTCAAATGTCTTAAAACAGAATGTAGTTTGAGATTATTTTGAGCATAATTAGTGATGTCACCATATTGCGATACATATCGCGTATCGGTTTGCTGTATCGTCAATATGTATTGTATCGAAAATGAACTGTATCGACACAGCCCTAGTACTAATTAGGATCGACTGTGCTTGATTTTAATATTTATTTACAAGTAAACTTATTGTGTTATGAACTTTATAAGGCTGGACAACACAAATCCTTGTCCCTCGAAAACACTGTAAAGTTGTTGTATTGGATTTGATGGCAGACATTGTGACAATATGCAGCTGCTTCCGTTAATTGCTAATACATGGAATACATCTACAATGTACATAAACAGACTACATGGGTTGATGAAAAGTTTGATGTACCGGTATTAAATTTCGGGGATGCCATGGGTACATGTACATACAATGTACCCTACATGTATATGTTAACTTCCTCGAGATAAGTGGTTTAACAAATCTACAGTGGGAATTTAGTAGAGCAGAATTTTTAGTGGGGCCAAAGACAGCTCATTAACTGTGTCTGTGGACCGTGATATTTCATTTCCTCCCAGGTCTGACCTGAGGTGAAAACCAAACTTAAACTTCAATTGTACTGTACATGTATCAAATAACCCAAAGTTGCTGAAAAAAACACATGTACATGTATTGCACTGCCACTGGTTTTTACATGTACTTTTGTCTGTCTGCACATTTGTGCTTTCAAATTTTATAAGCAGTGTTTATTACTAGTATTACACATAGTACATGTAGTTATTATTTATTGTAATTTTGATTTAAGCAAAATGATTTAAGTAAATATTTATTGTGTACAATAGGAACTAAATTATGAGATAAAGGAACTAAATCGTGTTGAGTCTACAATGTAAATGTTTAAAGAATAATGATAGCTTTGGGATACATTATAAAATCATTTTAAAATCATTTATGTAGGGAGAGGTTATAGGCATTTATACATGTAATTCATGTATGTGTTAGTAGGGTAATATACATTGTAAAATATTCAGATCATATTAAATTTTAAAAGGGTTGTACATGTATGTACATACTATACATACATTCATAGGAAGAATAAAAATGCCTATTTGTCCTATTTACTTTTTATATTGTGCACTATAATATATACATGTATAGTATAACTCAGTACTATAAACCAAGAAATTAATGTGAGCAAGAAATTAATGTACTAAATGTGATCTACTCAGTGCACAAGCGAATTATTGAAATAAAGGTATACATTTACATGTATCCAAATTACCTAGTTTTTGAGTGGATGTTACAGCCCATTTCTCTCTCTCTTGGATCAACGTAAAAAAAAATATGCAGTCATAAGTTTAGACAAGAGAACATAGCGATTCATATTAATTTCATTACGCATTTATTTCTTGTTTTAGAGTGTATTGTGTTGTATATTTTAAGTACATTACTATCTTAAGATATACAAGTCAATATATTGAGATCTTCATATCTGACATCAGAATATTGAGATTTACAACTGGATATGTTAGTTTATAGGCCCACCATAAAAAGTACCACTAATACAAGTTTAAAGGTGACGCAAAGTTACATGTACTGGTATGACTTTTCTGTCCATCTACATCTATAAGCAATTGAAATACATATTCAAATGACCAAATTGGTACTCTGCGAAGCTGTCATTGAACAAGTCATCATAATCTATTTGGCTTCAGTCGTAGAAATAAAATTCAATTTATTTTGTACAATGAACTCGAGAGAAGAATTATTGACAATTTCTGAAATTCAAGGAAAAACAAAACCAAAATCAATTGTATAGAGTGTTCAGTTAAGTTAGTAGATAAAGGTTATTAAGTTGTATATGATTTAATAATGAGTTAGATTTCAAGTGGATTGTATTAATTAATTGTAATTTTCCTGAAATTTCAGTACTTTCTATGTTATTTGATCATGAACATGTTCTACTGAAGTGTATATACTATTCTTCCTGTAGGCTAGAATAAATGCTTTTTTTCCTCCAGAAAGATTTAGCTCACATTATGGTTACAGATATTTACCCAGCTTTTCTGTCTTATCAGGGGTCACATGTCACAAAGATTAGTCATATTTTTTACATTTTTATTTTGGATTATTGATAGGCTTGCATATAAATAAAAAAAATATGTGACTTCTAAATGTATTCATATTTTAGGAAATTGATGTTAATGATCCACAGACTAGACATGAATGTTACATTTTTGAAGACTTTCTTTGAAAATCGATTCTTGTTAGGGTTTTATATTGCATGTAAGGAATGGTTTTGGTATACAGAGTGTATTCATGTTGATAATCTTATATTCACTAATGCTTCTTACTAAAACTGTTGTATGGAATTTAATTTTATTTTAAAAATGAGCTCAAAATGTTTTATCCATAGATTGTATTTGACCCTTGATTCCCTTTGAATGCCTCTTCCTTTTATTTTTCCCTGCCATATCATTATTTATCTGACCTTGTAGTTCAACAGTACTGCACCCATTCCATTATTAATACTGTACCAAAATATTTATTTATTCTGAAACTTAACATTTGGTTTCTTAATTATAAATATCTTGAAAGACAGCTTTCTTACCTTCATCACATCCAGTTACAACCTGGTTAAATTTTGAATAATTTACATGTAAGTGGTTTGTATATATATCAAGTAGTGATTTATTGTATAAATAAAGTGACTTACAGCACCCGATATACCAGTATATGTACCTAAACAAGGTAAATAATCATATTCATATTCTTCTTCAGAAAACAGAAGGGCAGCAATTATAAAAAAGCCAGCTTTAAAGTTAAGACTAGAAGTAATTCACTTCCCAGGAATAAAAAATTACAGAAATCTTCGTCGTTAGAAGACAACTCTCAACAGAGAAATGTAAGTTTATTTTCAATACATTGTGTACAGGCATGACCAAATAAGGATTTGTATATTTATACATTGAGGATTACCTCGGATAGAGTAATATACGTGTATGTACACCGTATGTGACTTATTTAAGGATCGCCAATTGACTGACATTTTTATTATGATTTTAAAGGTAACATGGCCTTATTTGTAGATTCAGGGATTGGTTTTAAAGAGACGGTCCATAAAACTTTTCATTATTTTTAAAATGAAAACAAATATATGTAATAAATGTGGGTTCAAACTGCTGTAGCTAGATGCCTAAGCATACAGTTGTATGGCCACTATTTACAAAGTGATTGTTTTTTGGGTTTTTTTTATTATTTGTATATAATCTTAATCTTAAACTGAAGATTCGACTCTGATTCTGTCTAATAATTGTCTCTTTAAATGCAATAAATCTACATCCGTAAGCACTGGTAGTATACATTTTCTTGACCTTCGATTTATATTATGCATGTTAATACACACTGTGGAGATGATGACATAGTTATGTATGACATAAATTCTAGGATTGACAGGGTTAACAAATCAATTGATCCCAATGACCTTACAGTCAGTGTTTTATTAGCAGATGTCTGGCTGATAAACATGCAAAGAGAATATGATACTTGTATTTAATTCTATTCCTTTGTCTTGATCTCAGTATTCTTCCTTTTACAATGTATAATGATATTGCTAAGATCAATAGATAAATCTCGTGGTTGACATGGTCAATGTTGAATATTTATTTTATAGTATAACATTAGGAGACCCATATAAACTATTTTAGTTAACATTTAGTTTTGATACAGAATAAAAGAATGTCCCCAGAATAAGAGGGAATCCCTTAGAATAAGCAGGTGCTCCCAGAAAAAGGAGGTACAGTACCCCACCATGATGGGGATTATTCCAGAATAAAATGGTGTGTCTTCAGTATAAGAAAGAGGGCACGCATTGAAATTACATGTGTCCTAAAATGAAAATATAAACTTGGTAAAAATTTCGGGAGACTGGTAAAAGTTATGTCATTCAATAGTGTAATAAGTAATGAAGCAATAAATGCACTGTTTTTTTGTGAAGAAATGACCAAATTATATTGTGTTCCTTTAATAAATTCTAGTCTTTCTATGAAATGAAATGTGGTTTAATGTCCTACTGTTCTGTTCTGACTGGGCCAATCAAGACTCTATTTATGAATAACATTGCCTGTATGAAATAGTTTCGTTAGTGACGTCAGTAGCATGTCCTGGTTTCATTTTTCATAAGATAGTGTTTTTATATAACTACTAGTAAGACTGATATCAGGTTAGAGAAATGTCTAATTGACTACTATCAGTGTAGGAGGTCTTAATGTGACATTTGAGATGTTGATTTAATTACTTAGACTGTATGTGTACACACTAGGTTCTGAAACATAATAATAAATCACTTCTCTTACAATACATACATAGACTTTATAAATTATTTAAAACAACTCTATATTCGCGTACTGGTACATTCTAGTTGAAAAAGACTTGTTGCAATTGTTTTGTTTCAATTACCGAAAAGTTTAAATTTGTCTGACTATATTTGCAAATCTTTGCATTCAGATGAAATTATAATAAGTATTCACACATATAAGGGATCGTTGGCAGGATTTATCCCATAACAATTTTTTGTGGGTAGCAAGTACCCAGCATATGGTATGAGCAATTCCGATAAGTTGCGATATGCATTCAGCCCCAGCCCCGCCCCCTGTGAAAAATTTTCGACCATAAAAAAAAATCGATACCGGTATACATTGTCCATCAATAATATTACAGCACCCCTGAGAACACTTCCCGCCCCCCTCGTTGCTCTGAGCTAGTTACGGCCCTGTATGCATTCAGAAGCTGGAAAGAATAAGATAATAATACAGTGCACTCTGTCACATTCGACCTCTGATCACTCCGGCACTCTGTTACATCCAACACCATTTTCATGTCCCGATTTATTTCCTTATTACTTCAGCCAAAAAATCTCTGGGTAATTCGACCTCTGTACGTTCTGGATTACGACATCAATCAGCCGCCCCGTCATACGATTTCCATTGAATCGACACCGTATAATCCGGCCTTCAATCGGTGGGTGTGAAGCAAACACTTACCGATCAATTATCCGTGAGATTAAAACTGGATGGGTGTGAAGCCACAAAAGATTAACAAGTAATCACCAATCAATTATCTGTGATATTGAAACTCGCTACCGTGGGTCTTTGTTGATTACTTTGATAATTTTAATCTCTTGTACGACAGTTGTGACAAATACTCAAGAATATCCACGAATTTTCCCCCGAATTCACAGTCGTAAAAATATTCCTAGCACCTGTTGGAAACATTCGTTGCGCATGCCGATTGAACCTGAATAACCTATAAGATTGGTAACCCTACAGATCTCTTCGAACCGTGTGCTGACGACCTGGGATGCTCAAGTCACAGTCCGGAACGTCCCGAATTGACAGAATTGCAATCGAGTGACGCGGAATTCAGTCCTGTCACAGTTCTGTCAGTCCCGACGACGGAGGTGGTGTGAGTAGAATTGTGACGTAATTAAACACAACGAACAGGTTTCGGCTGCATGAGATATTTATATATCCAGTCAACGCATGCGTTGTAGCCCGAAGTACCCATGTTCACTCGATTGTCGCTACTTTTGGGATTGAGAGAATTCAATTCCGGAACGTTTAATCGAGTACGCCCATTATCAATGAACACGTTATAGCAAAGACAAGACTGCGATCAACTGAAGACAGCGAAGAAGATAAATTAACGACAGACTTGACCTATTTAAAATGCCTACGCATGTTAAATGAAATAAAAATTATGTAATAAAATTTTGAATGTACAGAAAGGTTTATCATTTTTAAAGGGAATAACATCTGGTGATTCGAAGTTCTGTGTTCGAAGCTACATTTTAATAATACTTCCGGCTTTCGAAGTTACAATATTTCCGGTTTTGAGAAAACTTGGTATTCCGACACTCTGTGTAATCCGACATATTGTAACGATCCCGTACGATGTCGGATGTGACAGAGTGCACTGTACATGTATATAATTCCTAAGCCGGGAGGAAAGCATAAGTAAATTAAGATATTATTCATATATTTACTCAGGTTTTAATGATAATTCAATCAATCTTTTAAGGGTGGCAGCTCATCAATTAAGGTGGTCAGGAATGCTAATGGTAGCGGATATAACTTATAAGTTAAAATAATTCTAAGAGTAGCATTTTACCACTCTTGAATGGCCTGGGGTAGACAACTTTTTAGCTGTTTGAACTTCCCTAATAAATAATAGGCAATACAGCTAAATGAGGCATGCATGTACATATATACTGTACATGTAGTTGGAACATGAATTTTAGAGGTGATGCTTCTGAGTTGATCAAAAGGTAACTTTGGAAAGTTTGCCACCAGCATACATGTACAGTAATCCCAGAGCTAGTTGTTTCCATGAAATTCAGTTTGATTTACCAGTGACATGTACCAGTATCAAAAACACTATTTCTTTTTCAACGATTAATTGAAATGTTAAGTTTTTTAATCAAGTGCATGTAGGTGTGACATGTTATACATGTTTATAAAGTAATTAACATTTGAAACAGAGCGTGAGAATAAAGGAAATGGTGCAGTATTCAACATTTGTTTATGTCACTCTACCTTTAACTCTAATTAAACTTTTAAAGTCTGAATTCTATTATTTGATTGCTTCTGTTGAGTTAAAACTAGTTAATAGAACAATTTATTGAGTTATAACTAGTTAATACTAATAAAATAAATCGTTGAGTCATAATTATAACTAGTTAATAGAACAATTATGGAATGAGATTTATGAGTAAAAGAGAAATGCAATGATTTTCTTCAAAATCTAATAAGCACCATCACATTTGGAGAGTGTGTGATCTTCTCATTAGAATATAAAGACCACCTGTCTTTGTAATAATATTTGGCATTCTTTTGAATGTTTTCATTAGGATAATCTATATAATGATTTTCTGGATACACAATATTTGTCTGTTTATAAAAGGATAAGAATAAATTTTCAGAATTTTAACCTCTGACCTGGCTATCGTCTCTGACCCTTGCCCTTATAACCTTTGACAGGAGATTCTTATCTGTGGTGTTTGTTTACAATGGGGTGGAATGTTGGTTTTTAATACCTCTCTATAATGCAGATAGTTATGTAGATAATGATTGAAGACTAACAGGTACACTATATTAAGTTTATATAAACATAACTAAGCTTATGGTAAGTAAAAGAGTATGTAAATTTAAACAGGCATGTTAGCCTACTTTTACCTGAAGATCAGGTTTCAATAATTTTATTTAGGTCAACAGATTAAGTTTGACATAGAAAAATACTGTGAAATTACAAGTTAAGTAAAAGTTCAGATGTGTGTTCATCTTCTCTAGAAATATGATCCAAATTTCTGCCAACCATTTTTTATGGTACATTTACTTTTCTTGATTTTCATTTAGATAACTTTGATTAGATTCTAGAAATATAAATTGAAATCAAATGTTTTCTTAAGTTAAGAAAATAGAAAATAATATTGTAACAGTTGAACTGGTCTATTTTATTTTTCTTCTATGTAGATTTTTTGTTTTATTCTTAGATTACCGATACGTTGCCAATAAGGCTTTACATATGAAGAGCCCAGGGAAAGAATGATCTTAGTCACTTTTTCCATGAACCCCAGTTAAGGGAGCCATCTGGTAGTAAATTGTATAAGTTTTCCGTGGAACAATCAATTTCAGATCAAAACGATCTGAGTAACATCAAACCAGGGCCCTTCTGAAATGGCCCTCGGTCAAATACATGTCCATGGTACCTTTTATTTCTCCTTAATTAGACTGAAAAGTTGAAGTCCGCTGTACTGGTAATTGTGGTTTGTATTAAACATCATTTTGAAGTTGTTATTAAACCCACCCGATTTTCTATTCGAGTCACACATTCTCGTCCAAAAGTTTGTTTTGCATTTTATGCTTACACACAAAAATGTGACTTAGATTGTTCTTTCCCTGGGCTCATTATATGGATATTAGAATGAGCAAGTTCATAAATGATTTATATTTCCTTTTGGAAACATGGTTATTCGTTCAGTGTGTGGAATTTGACCATCACATCACCTGAGAACCCGGATCTGAAAACTTGTTATAATCTATATGATTGATGTTGTTGGGTGACATTGATAAGTTAGATTGACATGTAGACTATATTTAACACTAACAACTTAATTTATAACATATCTATGTTAATGGTTACTGTACCTTAAACTCAATATCACCTACATCTTAGTACTATATTCATCTTGTGTTAAATACCTTGAATAGTGTACTTAACTACACCTGGTAATATTCAATAATTTTTCACAAATTCATTATTTGTGGTTTATATGTCCAAGTGCAACATGGTACTTACTAGAATGAACGTCAGATACTGTTTTATACTCTTGTTTTGTTATTTAGAATAGAATAACATACTTTACAGTAAAATAGCACATACATGTATCTGGCTTGTATTACATTCAACATGTACTGTTACAATTAAGAATGTTTAGCATCTGTCATGACAGTATTTAAATTGTAATTTATAATATAGTACTGATAATCAATATTCCAACATCAAATAAAGTCTTAATTCTTTTATTGAAAAATTTCCTGCTCAAAATGTCAAATTTACAATAAACGTTATATGGTTAATTGTTACTAAAAATATAATTTAACTGCACTGTCTACAATATACATTCTTCAATCATATACATGTTTAAGTCTACCTAATGTTTGAGCGTACATCAGTGTACAGATCTGGTTTTACCTTGTTATTAGCCTGTCAAGCATGTATTGATTGTCTCTCATCATATTCATTAAAGAAATCTCTCAGTAGTAAGTCTGTACAGTGTTGTATCCGTTTATTCTGTGCTGTGTAGATATAGGAAGCTGGAAGATATTACTTCTGACATCTTGATTCCAGAATCCGGTATTATGATGCCGGTTCACTATGATTGTTAGTACCATTGAAAATCTTAATTTTACTTTAAAAAAATTTACAAATTTTGCCGATTTTTTATTTGAATGTTCAAGAATAAGCCTGGTTTTAGCAGGCTTTGATACACACAACCTTTCTCACGTTCAATTTATTGCCGTTAACAAATTAATTTTGCGATTTCACTGAAATGTCTTATTGAATCAAATAGTTGCAATATACAAGATATCCGACGGGTCATTAGTCAGGGTATTCCAGACTAAATGGATGGCACGTAACATGTAAATGCTGTGCATAGAAACACTTGGTCCAAGTATTTCCACTGCCAATTCGGAATGGGGCTTGACTCCAAATTCAATCGTATCCCAAGAAATTTACAGAAATATTTCACTCAACAATGACATTTCCATAATACACTTATTAGGTGTAAACTACATGTATTAATACATGTAAACTACATGTAGTTCTGGAGGAATACTTCACTGCTTAAGCCTGCATGATATTGTAACCATACCTTTTAAGTGTTAATGGTAGACATGTACAGAAATGTATTGGGAAGAAAAAGCAGTATTTTTTATATTGATTTATTCTGTTGATCTAAATGAGTCGAGTCAGTTTATTTATGTATGGAACTTATCACTTAGTTCAACAATTGGTGTGACCCTTGGGTGAGATTGATTAGAGAAAGTTTTATAAATTTTCACATGTATTTACATGTATAGGAAATGCCATTTTGTATAAATGAGTATTTTGGGGAATACTAACCCTATTCCTAACCCCTTTTAGAAGACTAAACTTGGTTCCAATATACCTTTTAGCCCTCTAAAAAGGGTTAAGGTTCGTATTCCCCAAAATACTCATTTATATAAAGCATCTCCCCAACCGACCTACAATTAGCATCTCCCAACCTACAACTGAAATCATTGTCAAACAAAAGAGGGGTGTTGTCTATAAAAGGCATGGGTTAGATCTCCTTTCTAAGGAACCCTGCATACAAGCGAATTATTGAAATAAGAATGTACCATACATGTATGTTAATTGCCTTTATGTCCCTCCCTGTGTGTAACTTGCTTGACAGTTTTATTAATTTTCCTTCCTGCTCAATTGAGACATACGGTATTTTTCAGTGTATTAGGCACATACCGACCTACTGGTGTGCCACGATAGCAGACTCTAATATTCAAGTGGTTAACAATTTGTGTCTATAATTTGATTCTTTCTGCTCAGTACAAATATCATACTTTCAGATAAAACTGAAACCCAATCATGCTTAAAGGAACCTTTCTTTAAAAATCCAAATTTATTCATTTATTTTGAATGTTTTTCAGACAAAACGTGAAGAAGAAGATTGGGAAACTGACAGTAATAGTACAACCTATGAACCAGTTGATGACGAAAATCTGTATGAAGAGGCTGGTTTTGAATCAGACTCAGATTCCAAATCACACAAAAAGAAATCAAAAGATAAAGACGGAAAAACATTTGGTGAAAAGATAACATCACAAGCCTCAAATGTTTTAAATAAATTTACCAAATTTGGTAAGAATCGATCTAAAGGCACAGATTCTGGTGTGTCTGCTACAGATTCCGATGCTGATGTTGTAGAGGAATCTTCTGTAAGTGATGAAATTGGTAAATCTTGTTCTTTATCTAGAAGTAGCAGTGAAAGAAGTAGTGGTAAACGAGCCAGAGAATTAACGACTGATACTAAAAATCTGAGGATATCGGAAGACGAAGGGATGTCATCTCCTACTCCACCACCCCTTCCACCTCGAGCATCAGTGATTCTTCAACAACCAAGTGTAGAGAATTCTCCACCACTACCACCCAGAAATACAGATCCCAGGTTATCACTAGACATGGTTATACCAGTTTCACCTAATGTTGTGTCACAATCGACTGGTGATCTTAGGTTAGTTCACTGTTTTTCTTATTTTTATATTTGGGGTTAATTTCCATACAATATTGAATTAAATTCTAAAAGTTTCTAATGGCTATATTAGTATTTTATCCATCAAAAATACAACTACAGTATTCATGATTCATTTGAAAATGGATTATAAAAAGTGTTCCCCAAGATTTTCTAATGAGGTTTCTCCTTGTTAGTGGTGCAGTGTTTAGTCATACAGATAGGTGAAAAAGCAAGGTCCCGACACCCATTGGCATACATGGAAACGAACCCAGTACAGTTGTAATTTGCAAAATATCCCTTATAGCACACTGTATGGTGTATGCATGTCTCCATTAGACCAGTTAATGCAGAAAAGAAGGGCGTTAATAAACTCCATTTCATTTCATATCCATGAATGATGATTTGAAAAACTGTAAAATGCTACCATTTGACTAATACTGCACATTGACCGGAACATGTTTACGCTGTAAAATAATGTACATGACATAAACGTCATTCTTTAAAATTTTATAAGATTTGGGTGAGTCTTCTTTTGCTGTCTATCTTTATCTACATCTCACTCAATTTACAGGAAAAAAGGTCAGTTTGCTTTTGGTAAAGAAAGTTATTTATTTGGACAACAGATGAAAGCTTCGTCTGTTGGTGATGTGAATGATGATGGTCCTGTATCTGTGGATGGTAAGTTTTAAATGATACCTGGCTGGAGGCTTCTACACTCTGGTATCTTTTACGGGAAATAAATGCAAATAATTTTAAACATTAGAAATACAAGTCCCAATTCCTAATGCTGTCTTTTGTAAGGTAACATCCTTGCCTACACATAGAAATTAATGTCTACGGTAAAGCTGTTTGAAGCAAAAAGCTGTATAATGAATGAAGTACGATGTTTTATGTCAGCATTTTGTGTATAAGCCACGATCACCACTATTAAAAATTATTAAAACTTAGGGTTGTGTATTGCTACACAAAATCATGTTGCAATATATTGCAATACAGATAAGCTTATTGCGATACATATAGCAATATGTTGCTAAATTCGCTTTAATGAGAAAAACCCTTGGTCAAGCTTTAAGAGAAACAATTTTAGCAATATTCGTGGAATGTTTCTAATGAAATTAGAATGTTTGAGAGTGATAGTAAAAAACACCAAACTAAAATTTCAGTACAACAAATAAATGTTGGAAGTCACCAATGATATGCACACAATCTTTTTGATATACTATTTACTTATATGAAATAAATGCTAGAAAATGTGTCTTGATACATAGGCACAACAATCAAAAGTCGATTTGCCAACAAAATGTGGGGGATCTGTATTGCAATATATCGATATATCAACTTTTTTTGACAGACCTAGTAAAATTATCAGTTTTGAAACATTCTTGTTCATTACTCAAATCAAATATTGTGTTGATTTTGGAGTGATATTTTAATAAACATTTTTTTTTTCATTTTAGAATCTTATTTAGAGTACGACCCTGCTCTAGGCAAAGTTGATAAAAAAGAGTAAGTTTGTTGTTTATATTGGTTATAGATCAATCATATGATTATATCATGTTTTGATTGCAAATAATTACCCTTAGGATTATATATTCAAAAATACTCCCCAAGATACAATGTGTGTGTGTGTGTATATATATATATATATATATATATATATATATATATATATATATATATATATATATATATATATATTGCATCGTCTATAATTATTTATATTTTAAGATAAGTCTTTTCTCATGTAATAAAATTCTTGATATATGTTGAAATTTATTAAGCATTTTGCTTTCATTTCGTTCATTTCATTTAGTGTAAATTCAAAAACTGAATGATATCATATTTTTAATATCAAGTTGAATGTTTTGTAATCAAAATAAGAACATATAGTCTTGAATGTCAGACATGCTGATTATATCTGAAAATGACGGTTCTGGACAATTTTTAGTGACCTGAACAATTGTGTACAAATTCATTGGAACATAGACTAAAAGTCTCTAGTTTATTGGAAATTTATTATGAAATATCCCTTCATTTTGACAAGCTATAGAAATATTTTGTGTAGCTTGTTGATTTTTACTTTTCAAAGCATTTATATACATTTACTTGCCTTGCTTTGATTTTACATTATATGAAACTTCATTTATTTAAACGTATATTATATCTATCTTTGACTTATTCTTATAAATAGCAGCAAATCTAAAAATTCTTTAAAAAAGAAAAAGTCATCTAGTGTGTTTCGGTGAGTATTTGCTTGTAAAGCATGGTGCACAAAAACCCTGATTTACATATTGTAATTCCATATAAACAAGTTCATGATCCATCTCTTTCTGTTCAGTCACTAGATATCAGTTGTGTATTATAATAGTAAAGTTATTGTTTTCTAAAGAGATGTAATTGAGTTTAGATTTATACACTTGTTTATTGATAAATACAATACAATTACATCTTCAGTTTCTTTTCCCTTGGTGAATTTGGTTTAATTTTTTTTTTTTTTTTTTTTTTTAAGTCCACATGTTAATATGGTTGTATATTGTTGTCACCTCAGTCTGTCGATAGTCACTCTGCATGTCAGAATTTGTAAGATTTTTGTTTCGAACTTGACAATCTTATTCAAACTCAATAGACAGTTGTAGAATAATATCTTTGAAAGGCATTTAGTAAAGCAATATATAATAATAAACAGACACCTTTATGGATAACATTCACTTGGTTTATTAACTGCAACGTTTCAATGGGGATACTCTCACCGTTATCAAGCAATGATAAGATTATTTTCTTGCAGACTTGCTGGGCCTGGGACTATGAGAAGAATGAGCCATTGTCATTTAATATTTTTGTTTCAAACTTGCTGGTATTGTTTGACTAGTTATAATGCCGAATCCTTTTGATATTCAGACTAATGAATTAATTATTTAAAGAGTAATTCTCTTGTCAACAAACCCATCTATCGCTGTTGAGGTCAGAGTTTCTGAGGTTTCTGTGGTGAACGTCTTGGGATTTTTATTCTGTTTATAAGAATGGATGAGCCATATCGAAGTCATAATCATTTGTAGTTATTACATGTACCCGTTTCATCAAAACTTGTCATAAAAGTTGATAGCTGAAATTCTGCACAATTTATTTCCTATACTTCCAAACATCGAAATCTTTATAAACAACTTGGAGGATTAAGCAGCTTGTGGGTGTATGTGTTTCTTTAAAAAATATTTTCTGAAAAAAAAATATATGTTTAGTTATTATATTTTTCGTATTTTTGTTGTACCTATATGTGAGCTTAAATAATATTGGACAAGTTTTGTTTTATTTCAAAGTCGTAATTATTTTGTGTATTTTTCTGGTATAGGTGTTGTCATTTTTGTTTCTTTCTTTTTTTTATAAATAGATTGGATAAAATTTCACTAAAATTTCTCGCAAAGCTGTAAATATGATTTATTTTAATTGCCAGAAAATCCTTAAACTATCCCAACACAAAGTGTAGCTTGCTTGCTTCGATGCACACAGATGTTAAAATGATATAGTAGGAGAATTTAAACACTAACTTTTATAGAAGTACAATAGATGTTCATGTTCTGAAAGGAGTATTAATTTTATTATTTATTAATTTGCATCATGAACTAAACATATCAATATTAACAAATGAATTATTCCATAAAGTTTGTGTAAAGTTTTTTGAGATTTGTAACCAAAGAAAAATATGAAAGGATTATTTATTTTTATCATTAATTAATTTGCACAGTGAAGTAAGCATATCAATATTAACCAATTAATTATTCGATAAATATAGTTCTATGAGAATTGTAACTAAAAAGAAATATGGTAATGAGTGAAATTTCTTTAAGGGTGATAATATATTGCTCTATGATATATAACCAGTTATATATATTCACAAGGATTTGTCATATTCTGTGTTATATCAAGTTATATTTGAAAACAAAGCAGTGCCACTAAGTGGATGTGTTTATTAATAAATGTGTTGGCTAGTAGCCTATTCATACATGCATGTGCTAGTGGTGACAGGTGCATGGTGACCTGACCTAGGTTATGGTTATGTAGTAATGGTTATTAAAGATGTGTTATATTCAAATCATGTTCAACGAGCCTCTCATTGGCTTCTTGTTACAACACAGTCACAGTGTCTCATCCACTTCATATAATAGAAAATCAGTAAGCCTTGACTTGACATATAACACACAATTTGTTTACTTTTGCATTGCAGTCTGATATTTTTTCTATAACAACTGCCAAAATCTACTTAAGAAATAATCTCTGTGTGAATAAGACAAATCATGTCAGGTTCAAAACAATTAAGTTATCCAGATTGCCTTTTTTTAACAAACATATATTATGATTAATTGTGAACCAGACACTACAATGAGTGTAAATTAGAAATGTCAATCACAGTCAAGTTGATTAAAACTTGTTCAATGGTACATTGAGGGTTTTGGTAGGTTTATTCTTTGGTGAATATTTTACACTACATGTATATTGGACCAAATTGTAAAGTTTCTGACTTTGGTTGAACTTCTAAAAAAATCAACCACAATACTAGTTCAGCTGTGAACATATGTCTCATTACACTTATCCTATTGAACGCTTCCAATAGCTCTTTGTCGAAAGTTTTAAGCTTCTCCATAAAATGTACAGTGAACTTTTTTAACAGCTAAAAGGTTGTGTGTCAGTCCCTGTGAACACTTTAAACTTTCAGGCCTAGTAAATAACCTGAAAACATTCTAATCAAACAATAGAAGAGAGACATATTTACTGACTGATAAGGACTTTATTAATATTACCTAATTTTTATTGTCCCCCGACCTTTCATCAGTATTTTACCTAAACAATAATTGTTTTAATTTTACTGGGAAAATACTGATAAAAGTATATTTTAAAATGTACCAGACGGCAGACATGCATGTATTTTTATAATAAGACATCCTCAAGCGTAAATTAAAGTTCTCTCAGAATAGATTACTTATGATTCATATTTGTCATTTGACAATTATATTTGAATTGAAGTCATACTTGTCGAAATAGTTGGATATTTATTACTTTCCACAAAAACATGTCATATATTTCAAATGTTTAAAAATACAAATATATTTGAATAGAGGTCATCCTATTTTGCTTACGTGTATGTAATTTTTCCTGATCGAAACAGTACAAAATTTGTTTGACTTTCATCACATGATGATCTGTAGATATTTACATTTAGATCATACATGTATTGCTGTGACTGTAATGTCCAAACACAACTAAGCTTAACATGTTATGTAGACACTACCGAATAAGACAGAATTTCATTATAGTTCTAAAAATGTTGGATGTTTATTGATTTTCAAATTAGCTGATTTTTATTTCATGAAGTAGGACATTTTATTCTGTCAGACCTAAAAAATTGATCGCTGATGCAGAAAATCTAATTTTCGGTACAAGGCCTGACATTTATTTTTGTAATATTTATCACAGGTTATAAGATTATGTTTTACCAAATTTTGATAGGCTTGTTCTGAAGAGTGAAGATACTAAAGTAAAGATGAAAAACTAACCATTATATGATTTTATATCATAAACTAATGTCAGCTATATTGACTCCTCAAATAAAAAGTGATATCGGGTATCAGCAAGAGGAAGGATACCCTGCCTTGTGCATGATTAATAGCTACTTAGAGTGATAGATGTTATTGCATATGTCATTCAATTTTACCCCTTTCAAAGATGCATTATGTAATATTTAGTTAAAGAGTTGGCCGTTCTTGCTATGTATAATAGTTCAAAAATAGATAATGCAAAATGAATATATTAAAAATTTCATTCTAATTACTTTATTCCGAGCGAAGTTATCACTGTTTCAAGTTTTGACTTGATGTGGCATTGATTGTTTATTATCGAAGCCACAGTACTTGGTAATAGAGACTAAATCATTTGGTGGCGATCGTGTTTAAATCGCCGCCATCCGATAGTCTAGAGAGTTATTTATGGGCTTGTCATGTTAATAAATGTCTAAATAATAGTTTATATAACATCTGAAACCAAAATAAAGACCTGCAATATGCAAATCTATCTCTTACATAATGCATCTGTAAACAGGGCAAAAACATTAATTCAAATAAACACAAAACAAATGTGTGTAACAAACGTTTTGCATTTATCATCAAAAAAAATCAAAAAATCACATGATATCAAATGATTTCAAAATTGTGGCCGAGTACAGGAAATTTATTAAGAATATATGTCAATTATCACCATGTCACAATTAGGTTTCTTGTTTAGGTAAACGATTATTCAACAAGTTTGTTTAGTATTTATTGTACAGCTAAACACTTGTTTACTGTTTTGTTATTTCAGCACATTCATTTGAAATAAAGCAGCTACATTGTTTGTTTTCTGTTTATTTCTGTAAAGAATGGATGTAATCAATTCTGAATTAATTTAAGAGTCTTTTATTGAAGGCCAATAGGTCATCCAAAAAATAAAGAGACCTATTTATGTCATACTAAATGAATGTATCCCTAACCAAGTGATTGTGTCAGGAGTCCATTAGTAGTTGGAGATGGAATAAGTAGTGAAAGTTTCTGTATAAAAAATATTGTGTGCATACTCATAACCACTAACATATGTTAGAAAAAAAACATCAACTCGTTAAAATATTCCAGTCAATCTTACAACCATCAGAAGAAAGATGAGAACTCATTAAAGACTATGATTTCATTTCTCATTAATTCTATTGGAGAAGTTTCATAAAAACATAGATAATTACAATGTAGAATGAATTTTGATTTGCACAGAGTGATTATTGATCTAGCTAGCATACAGCAATTTTAAACCTTTCTTTACAAGTGGAATTAACTGGGAAATATTGGAATGCTACATAAGGTAATTACATTTTATGCAGTAATCATTAATAATTGTATTGTGTATTATGTTTTTCAGGAAAAGTTCTATGGCTGATGATAAATCTATCTATTCATCTTCATCTTCATCATCTTATGCTGAATCAGATGATTTAGATACAATTATTCCTCTAAGTATAAAGAATGATGACAACAAATTTTACATTGAACCGGTATGTTACATGTATTAGAAGAGAACACCACCCATACGATATTGATAAAATAGACAAAATATATGCCATCATTGTGGGGGATATACCAAAATAAACATAATATTAACGTTGGTATGATTGAAAATGAAACTATCAGTATCAAACTTTTGTGAATATCTGGTATTACGGGGACATAAAAGTATTGATTTCTTTATTTGTTATACTCAAGTTGAAGAAGTAGATAGGTTTATTAGAAAAGGCATTTTTATGCAAAGGTTCCCCACCGTTCTATCTAAAAGTTTGAGGCATTTGACATTGTGAATCGGCTAAACCCCACATCAAAATAAAGAATTGGTATTATGTCTTTTAGCGCAAAGAAATGGATATATTTTGAATTCGAACATTTAAAAATGTGATGCCCATATGACTCTCTTTCATCAATCAATTTAAATAACTCTTTTGTCTAGAATGAAGAACAAGTTTATGGTAGACTTGGTTGTACCAGATATTCTACAAAGTTTTGTCAAGAACCTCTTTATCAGTATTATACGAAAGAAAAAGTTCATCGAGCAACACTGAAGAAATGTATTCAAAGTGATGATGATGAAGATGATGACAGTAAATTTGAAGATGGTATGTGTTATTTACTTTGCTGTTTGATTATCTATTTTGTAATTACATAATCATTTGAGATTTATTGGGTTGGTTGGCCGACTGCTCTAACATGCAAGGTTTACATTATCCAATCTACTATTCTTGTGGATCAATCCCAAACTTGTTACAAACAGTAGGGTTGCATGCAGAACTGTATCAGTTTTTCTTAAGATTTCTCTTTATCCAGTTTCGTCCCACTGCTATTCATATACAGGGCTCACACTGGCTTTCAATTTTTTCCCCGCCAAAATGGATGGTAATTTTTATACAAAAAAAATGTTCATATTTTTTCCCGCCACATGGAATATTTTATCTGCCAAAAATGTGTGATAAAAAAGACAACATCTAACAATTTTATGTCTCAGCTAGGCTTATTATAAAACAATTAACGATATATACAATACAATATACAACAACTTTAAAAATCTGTCTTTACATAATAGATTAGCAAAGTTTGGATTTCATAAGATCACATTTTATTTTTGGTGGCTTAAGTCTATTTGAACACCGTACTGCACAATATATTTTCATTCAGTATTTACACGTCAAATCTCATCCAAGGTAGGTGTCCCACCAGAAATAAATATCTCCAAATATCTCGACAATTACACCACAATATTTATATATACACCTCGCCGTAAATCAGTTTCAAACATTTATAGTCACTAAATAAACGGTCGTGCTGTACTTAATAAGCTATGACCACTTAATCATCCACAAATAATACACTGAAAGATGGTTACGACTGTCGGCCATAACATTCGAGCACATGTGAGTAAAAAATAAGTTACGTGCCCTTGTTTTGAAAGTAGTCTCGCTTAACCAGTCTACTGACCATTCTACGTTTGATTGACAGGCCGGGATAATCAAGACTACTTTTTATGAAACATAGCAGAAAGCTGGAACAAGAAATTAAATTTAGAAACACGCACGTTGGGCAACTCAACAATTGTTTTAAGAACCTTGTAAAAGTAAAATGAAACTACTGCTAGTATAATGTTCTTGTCCAACGCAAGTATTTTAGAGATAATATATGTACTAAACCAAAAGATGTCGCTGCTAACAGTACAGTTAATGATAAAGCAATTTAAGAAATAAAACGAACGTAATTTCTAAAGCTGTTGTAATAACCAATAAGCTAAATATTACTGCTATTCATAATCTTCAACAATAGATTTTTTTACGGCTGTAATAGTTGATAGATGTGTAGAGAATTGCACGTGCGATGGCTATTTATAGTATCATAGACTCTATGGCTGAGTATTATCATACTGCGTAGTGACTTGAGATAGACTCTAATATATATCTTTGGCAATTATCAATCAACTAATCATTGATTAGTATTACTCATTGACACAATCCGGTTTATCAGCCAACTGATTAATTTATAGTATCCCGCCATGTGATTGAAATGAAATGAAATGAAATGGTGTTTATCGTCCTACTGTTCTGCTCCTAAACTGGGCTAATGAAGACGGGCATACGCCATACAGTTTGCTATGATGAGGGAAATTTTGCCCGGGCAGCGGTGCTACGGTCTACTCTTATATCGAATTCCAACTGCCAAGGGATCTTTTACGTGCATGCCAATATGTACACGGGACCTCAGTTTTTTTATCCCATCCGACCGACTAGACAGCTGTCCTTGTCAAGTCCTCCGTCCTGCATCACTGACAAGGGGAAACCACGCCGGAAAATCTGGATGAACTTTCTCGGCCAATGCAGGGATCGAACACCCGACCTCCAGTCTAGTGAGCCAGTGTCTTACCCACTTAGCCACGTGATCCCCTGCCATGTGATTGACACTCAATAATGGTTAATCCAGGATAAATATGATTAAAATTTTAGGATTTTTTTTTCCGCCAGGTCTCAAAAAGAATTGCCAGTATGGCAAAACATTATTGCCAAAATTATCATCAAAATCAAATTTTAACCTATTGGTTATAAATGCATGCCATGCATTTATTAGGACTATGTTTTTATACGCCCACATTTTCATGTGGACGTATATTGTCGTCGCCCCTGTCGTCCACAATTGTTTGTGAACAGTCTACAGGTCACAATTTTTATCCGATTTCAATGAAACTTGAAATATAGGGTTATCACCCTAAGATCTCGGTTTCTTTCGATATTGGCATCTGTCGGACCGTAACTTCATGGATTATGGCCCCAGATTGTACGAAAAATCACATTTTTGGCATGTGAACACTGTAGAGGTCACAATTTTTATCCGATTCTGTTGAAACTTGAAATGTAAGTTTATAACCAAAAGATCTCGGTTCCTTTCGATATTCGCGCATATGGGACCGTAACTTCCTGAATTATGCCCCTGATTGTACGTAAAAACACGTTTTTTGGCTTGTGGATCCTATAGAGGTCATAATTTTTATCCTATTTAAAAAAACGTGTTAATATATCACCGTTACACCCTAAGGACGGCTGAGTTCGAATTTCGTGAAAATCGGCCCAAAACTGACAGACAAAATGGCCGCCATTCGTTCTCAAATAGCGTAAAAAATAGGGTATATCAAGGTTGTGGACCCTATAGAGGTCACAATTTTTTTATCCGATTTTGTTGAAACTTGAAATGTAAGTTTATAACACAAAGATCTTGGTTCCTTTCGATATTCGCGCATATCGGACCTAACTTCATGAATTATGGTCCCTGATTGTACGCAAAAACGCGTTTTTTGGCTTGTGGACCCTATAGAGGTCATAATTTTTATCCGATTTAAAAACACGTGTTAATATATCACCGTTACACCATAAGGGCGGCTGAGTTTGAATTTCGTGAAAATCGGCCCAAAACTGACAGACAAAATGGCCGCCGTTCATTCTCAAATAGCGTAAAAATATGGTATATCAAGGTTGTGGGCCCTATAGAGGTCACAATTTTTATCCGATTTTGTTGAAACTTGAAATGTAAGTTTATAACCCAAAGATCTCGGTTCCTTTCGATATTCGCGCATATGGGACCGTAACTTCCTGAATTATGGCCCCTGATTGTACGAAAAATCACGTTTTTAGCTTGTGGACCCTATAGAGGTCATATTTATTATACAATTTAAAAAATCATATTATTATATCACCGTTACACCCTAAGGACGACTGAGTTCTAATTTCGTGAAAATTGGCCAAAAACTGACAGATAAAATGGCCGCCCTTCGTTCTCAAATAGCGTAAAAATATGGTATATCAGAGGTTACAATTTTTATCCGATTTTGTTGAAACTTGAAATGTAAGTTTATAACCCAAAGATCTTGGTTCCTTTCGATATTCGGGCATATCGGACCGTAACTTACTGAATTATGGCCCATGATTGTACGAAAAATTGCGTTTTTAGCTTGTGGACCCTAGAGAGGTCAAAAATTTTATCCAATTTAAAAAAAACGTGTTTTTATATCACCGTTACACCCTAAGGACGACTGAGTTCAAATTTCGTGAAAATCGGTCCAAAACTGACAGACAAAATGGCCGCCCCTCGTTCTCAAATTGCGTAAAAATATGGTATATCAAGGTTGTGGACCCTATAGAGGTCACAATTTTTATACGATTTTCTTGAAACTTGAAATGTAAGTTTATAACTCAAAGATCTTGGTTCCTTTCGATATTTGCACATATCGAATTGTAATTTCCTGAATTATGGCCCTTGATTGTAGGAAAAATCACTTTCGTTTTAGCTTGTTTTCTATCCATCTCTCGAAAATGTGGGCATATCCTGCCTGGCAGCCGCTGGTTCCATAACTAATAATAAGTCTTGAATGGTTCTTCCATCTTTTAATTACGGGAACTTATATCTTACATACAATAATTCAAATACATACAATGTGCATCACACTTGCAGCACAGTGGATGACTGATGGAGCTGCTGCTAAGTCAGGTGACCTACTCCTATCTATCAACTTCTTCTTCTATTGGTGTTCCACGTCTGCTTCCATCAATGGTGATATATCGCAGACAAGTTATCCTGTTTTATTATAGCGCACATGCAGGGGTCTTTCCTTTGGAAGGAAACAGAAGTACCCAGAGTAAACCCACGAGGTTGTAAAAGGCACATACACATACACCAGGGATTAAGACTACGACCACAAGCCAGAGGTGACTGGCCAGCTAGAGCTTGAAGCATGACACTCTAGACCACTAGGCCATCACAACCACCCTCACCCTATCAATGTACATTAGTCTTTTTATATTTCAACTATTAATTAATGGATGCGCCAATAGATATACTATAGACATAACATAAATAAACAATAATGGATTAAATAAAATAATTAGCTACTACCCTGATTGACATTAACCATGAAATATTAATTACTATCTAAAAGCTGTCTGGTCATACATTTGTCCTGAAATAACCTGCATTGTCTTGAATCGATATTAAATCTTATCTGTGTCTTTCTCTATTTATATACAGTTGTAACTTTTTCTGGTTTAGCATTCATTGTATAACTTTAAAGATACATCATGGGAGATAAGATAAAGAGATCGCAGTTCTCGCTATAATAGTTAAAAACTAGATAGTGTAAAGGTAATTTGCTGAAAATTTCAGTCAAATTGATCCACTATGAGCCGAGAAAGAAGCGGGTGAAATTTTTGCATAGTCTTGATCATCATTACTAAAGTCATTAATATAAACAGCATAGTCTCGATTATCCACTTTTTTTTATTTAATTATCAATGGCCGTTAGCGGCATGTAGGAATCTAATTCAGCCACCATCGAAGGCTAGCCTTGACATCGAGTTTATTATGGTCTGGATAAGTTAATTAATGTCTAATTGATAATTTAGATAACATTTCAGGCCTAAAGAAAGACTTGTAATAAGCAGATTTTGCTCTTGCATAATGCATGTTTAATCTATTTGATTAATTGTATTCTAGAATATTCCCACAGTATTACCCAAAATAATATAGCAATTATTATAATGCGTGGGATTATTCTATTCAACATGTAGGCCTACACACATTCACTTAATGCGTATCATTATACACACACTTTTATACTCTGTTCATTGAAGCATAATACACTTGAATAGTGTTGTTTGATTACTAAATATATACTTTACATTCAATTGTCATTTAATTTGCTTGGTCTTCTGTGTAAATGGGTTATGATAATTTTGTAAGCTAGAATCTAGATTATGTTTCTTTTGAGTCATAAGTGTTTTGTTACTGATTATTGTCAGTTTTAGCTTTACACTGGTTATTTGTACATGTACAAGAAGCAGAAAATAATGAAATGGATTTTTAATTGGTATTTGTTAGATATTACTAATATAGATGTTTTATAAATATCCTGAATTTTCTTTTCTGCTGCCTTAGGACGCAAAAAATTAATAAAAGGTAGGTCTCGTTTGATTCAATACTAACCTTGGATTATAGTCTACATGTATGTATATATATATGTGTGAACACATTATTGTATATAATTTGAGTATATATAGTAGATAATCTATAATAAGTTTTCTCTATAATCAGGTGGTTGTATATATGAAGATGTAGGGTGTAATGAAGATAAACATCCAGAAACTATTGTTGAAAAAGAATTAATACAGAAGCCTCGAAACGATTTCAATAAAGGCGGTTCTCTTCATAGAGCACTGTGGTGTGAAATGCCAGAGGTAGATACTTCATTTTTATCATTTCTTGAATTGAGTTGATATATGTAATAACAAATAGGGATACTAATTTTAATTTCTTTTTCATTTTTATACATCAACATTTTTGTGGGTGTATTATGTTGTCACCGTCTGTAGGTCCGTCCATCAACAATTGGTTTGTGAAAGCGACCGAGGCTAGAGTTTTCGATTTGGTGTGAAGCATCATGGTCATGAGAGGAAAAACCGTATTGACTTTTCGTTCTGGAGTTATGCCCCTTTTTATACACCCACATTGAAATGTGGTCGTATCTAGAGGCTAAAGTTAATATCCGATTGACTTTAAATTTATACACAGTGTTTAAGGTCATGAGACGACGAAGCCTATTGATTTTCAACGATTTCCGATTATTACTGCCCGAGTTATTTCCCTTGATCACTTTGTAAAATTTTTTGGATGCTTTAGAGATCATACACCATGTTTACGCCTATATATAATCGTTTTGATTGATTTTTTATTGATACACAGAGTTTAAGGTCTTGAGACGAACAAATATATTGATTTTCAATGATTTTTAATAACTTGAACAGCTGAATCCATGATATTAAATGTTTTGTATACTAAACGTTAGCATGGGCCAAATAGATTCTAATGTTGTACAGTAACATTCTGAATTATGGCCCCTTATTGTATGCTTTTTTAGCATGGGCATATCTTGCATGTTAACCACTTGTTTCTTGTGATTGGAGATGTTGCATTTTCATTAGCTGTTTAAAGTAAAACAGATTGCGATCACATATAAAATATGGAATATAAATTTATAGAAACCGAAATGAAAACTATCTGATTAAAATCAATGTAATTGAATTGATTTTCTTCTATTGTAGGTTGTACGAAGTGGTGTTCTAGAAAAAATGGCAGACAGAGATAAGAAAATACAAGAAGCTATGTTTGAAATTATTACATCAGAGGCATCGTACTTAAAAAGTTTGAATATTGTTATTAATGTGTTCCTTATGTCACCAGAATTTTCCTCTGATCATTCTGATCGATGTGTTGTTACTAAACGTGAAAGAACTGTTTTATTTTCTAATATTGGTGCCATAAGAGATACAAGTGAAAGGTAATCAAATTTCTTTAAATCAGTGAAATTGTAAAAGCTTGTGATTTTTAGTTGCTGGAGATTCATAATAGACATTCTACAATTCCATTGTTGTCTTAATGTAGGAATGATGTTTGGATAAGTAATTTGCAGGCTAATTCTATAGAATTTCCCACAGGATAATTGTCTTAATCCGACTGAACTTCATTCTGTAGTATGTAAGTACACAGAAAACTCATGAAGATGAACTAAAGAATATAGTTGTGATCAAATAGACTTTCTGACTTTTCTGTCAACTTGAAGCCAAAATGCAACAAATAATTATATAATTAAGGAATTGGGAGTGTTGCCGGGTAACAGTCGTTGAATTTCTTTTTATTTCCTGATTCAGGTGCATGAATTTGGAAATAAATATAGCATGATAGCAGACTGAAGTGCTGTAATGTTTGCTATAAATTATAATGTTGGTCTATTGCAGGTTTCTAGCTGATTTAGAAAAGAGATGGCAAGAATCGTACATTTTAAAAGACATCTGTGATATTATATATGAACACGCTTCTAAATATTTCCAAGTCTATGTGAGATATTGTAGTAATCAAAAATTTCAGACTCAAGTCTTAGATGGTCTTAAGTAAGTCACATTTTATTTTTTTAGAAACACATCAGGAAAAAAAAAGATAATTTATTTTGATAAAATGTCTTTGATACAAATATTTTTATACGTCCACATTTTCATGTGGATGATATTGTTGTTGCCCCCATCCTTCCAAAATTTGTTTGTGGACACTCTACAGGTCACAGTTCTTATCCGATTTTGACGAAACTTGAAATATGGGTTTATATCCAAAAGATCTAAGTTCCTCTCTTTATTGGCATGTATCGGACCGAAACATCATGGAATATGGCCCCTGATAGTACGAAAAATCACTTTTTTTAGCTTGTGGACACTCTAGAGGTCACAATTTTTATCCGATTTATATGAAACTTAAAATGTATGTTAATAACCCAAAGATCATGGTTCCTTTCGATATTCGCACTTTAACTTCCTGGATTATGGCATCAGTACAAAAAAGCATGTTTTTAGCTTGTGGTGCCTCTAGAGGTCACAATTTTTATCCGATTTAAAAAACCATACTAATATATCACCGTTCCACCATAATGGTGGTTGAGTTCAAATTTCGTAATAATCGGATCGAAACTCCCTGACAAAATGGCCACTCCTTATATACAAATAGTGTAAAACTAAAATTATGTAATACCAAAGTTGTGGACCCTCTAGAGGTCACAATTTTTATCCGATTTTGTTGAAACTTGGAACACATGTTTATTTCCCGAAGATCTCGGTTCCTGTAGATATTCACGCATTTGATCACATATAAATATTTTAAGATAAATTTAATTTTTATACTCCTACTTTGAAATGTGGCTTTACAATGTTGTAACCCAAGTCTTATTGAACTTTGTTTCTAGAGGTGTATGTTTCACTACCTGGCCGGTCTTCATTAGCCCAGTCAGAGCAGAACAGTGGGACATTAAACCCTATTTCATTTCATTTCATTTCATTACCTGGCAACCTATCTTTATTTATTTTTTATAGAAAAAAGTCAGAATATGTTGAAGCTGTTCGTCGCCTAGAATCACACCCGCAGTGCCAAAATCTACCCATGTCTTCATTTTTACTGTTACCCATGCAGAGAATAACTCGTCTTCCTCTCTTGGTTGATGCCATATGTCATAGATTAGAACCTGATAAACAATTACATAAATCAGCATCACAAGCTCTTGAAACACTTAATAAGGTTTGTTATATTTCATTATTTAACTTGGAAATTTTATGTTTTAAGTAGTTGTTTTTATGACATTAGTCTACTGTAAAAATTCAGGTCAGTTAAAAGACGTTGGCTCGCTAAGCTGGTTGTCCTGTGTTATGTCGCGATACATCAAATCAACGATATATCGTGCCGGCACTAATACCAGTGACCTATGTAAACAGGGAACTGCGATAGCTCTTTGAGTAAGATGTTGGCTCAGTAAACTTGAGGTACTGTGTTCGATCGTTGTTACCCCCTTGTCAGTGGTGCAAGATGGAGGGCCTGGAAAGTTCCATGTATAGTCACCCGAATGTAACGAAAAACCAAGGTCCCATGTACACAGCGTGTACATAGAAGAACCCTTGACAGTTGGAATTCTAAATAACAGTAGACTCTGTATGGCCTATTGTCATCATTGGCCGGGTTGGTGCGGAACAATAGGACGTTAAACCCCATTTCATTTCCTATGTAAACATATTTATCTCAGTATTGTATGTTGTAATTATTATAATTAGATTGTGAAGAGTTGTAATGAGGGAGCTAAGAAAATGCAGCAAACCGAAGAGATGTGTTTAATTGCCAATCAGTTAGATTTTAATAAAGTTAAGGTTAGTACCTACTCACAAGTAATGATTTCTGTAATAAAGTCATGATGGTAATTACTGCAATGACCGGCGAAGATTATTATAATGGTACATAAACAAAGATTACTATGTATGTAATTGTCAACAAAGATTACTGTAGTGATAAACTGCAATTATGCAATAAAAAGCAAAGATGAATGACATGTAATGAAAGTAAATATTGCTACAAGGATAAATAAAGATTACTATGTGTAATGATTAAACAAAGATTACTACAGTTATGTGTAATGATGAGCATAGATTGCTGTGATGATAAGCCAAGATTACTGTAATCAATGTATTGATCAGTAAATATTGATGTAATGATATGCAAAGAGTATTGTAGTGATGAGCATTACACTAATACTAATAATGCAAAGAATACTGTAAATCATATTGTAATAACATAAACATTCAAATAGCTGTAAAGTGTGAGTTAAAAAGGAAATACAGTTTGATCATGAAAATACTAATAATAAATAAAGTGATATGATTTAAATTATGATATTTATTGGTATATACAGTAGAATCTGTATGAGCAGCCACTCCTATTCAGCGACATCTCCTTGTAAGCGGTCACGATAAATTCCCCCCGTAGAAATTCTGTTGTTTTATCTCTTTATTCAACGGTCACTCCTCTAACGCGGCCAGCGGTCACTATTTTACTAATAAATTCAACAAAACATCGCCCATTCAACGGCCATTGTTGAATGATAGCATCTTGTCGTTCTTTGTAACACCCCCGCTAATCCCGTGAGTAGTAGTTAATTAACTGGACCCCAACTGATCAGGTAAAAAGAAATGTAAACATAACAATCAACCCAGGATTATCTGTTAATTAATCTTTTGTTTTATTAAACGACTAACCTGATCATTGTTTTCACGCGTAACGACACATTATTTGATACTGATTGAATAAAATAAAAGTACCGAGTTTTGTCACGATCATCTAGTATCTCTCTTAGCGCCTCCTATAATATTACATACAGAGTTACACCCCCTGTAAATAGGTGATAAAATTAGCGATGTTTTTTGTTCATGTGCTTTTTTGATAAAATAAAATGTATTCATCGATTTTCTTCACAAAAATGGATAAATATTATCGAATGCATCACAATGGCAGACAGTAGTATCGAAGTTTTTTACAAAATGACAAGTTTACAGAAGTTATGTCCGAGATTTGAGTAAAGAATTTTCGTCCGGTGCAAGATTCAGCGACGGCCAAATTTACCGCTTCCAATGCATCCAAGCGTAATATTTAATTTATGTCGGCACAAAAAGCAACGAGATTTATTAAGAGGCCACTCCCGTTAAGTTATGTCCGAGATTTGAGTAAAGAATTTTCGTTCGGCGCAAGATTCAGCGACGGCCAAATTTACCGCTTCCAATGCATCCAAGCGTAATATTTAATTTATGTCGGCACAAAAAGCAACAAGATTTTATTAAGAGGCCACTCCCGTTAAGCGGTCAGTTGTGAAAATTCCCTTGGGTGGCTGCTTAATGCAGATTCTACTGTATATAAATATACGTCTGAACATTTCAGGAATTTCCAATTCGTTCAGCATCACGTTATCTTGTAAAGAAAGGAGATCTTGTACGAGTTATAAATGATACTGGTAGTAGAATGCCATTTGGTAAAAAAGGTGCCAGTAAACAAAATGTCAGTATGTTCCTCTTCAATGATTTAATGATACTGACAAAGAAAAAAGGGTAAGTGGTTTTCAGATTATAAAAATCTGTTAAAGAAGTTCTGCTCTGTCTGAGATAATGAAGCTGGACATATGTTAAGCAGTGTCCCATGAGGAAAATTTTGCCTAGACAGTGGCGCTACAGCCTCCTCTTTTATTTTGAATTACTGTACACGGGACCTTGATTTTTTGTACCATCCAAATGTCTAGGAGATATCCCTTGCCAGGCCATCTGTCCTGCACCACTGACAAGGGAAAAACCACCATCTGTCCTGCACCACTGACAAGGGAAAAACCACGCTGTAAAGTCATGCACCCTCCAAGTTAGCCAGTGCCTCACTGAGCCAACCCGGTTCCCATGGGTTAGAGCATAGAAGTTAATGGAGGGACCAGTTATATCTAGTTTTAATTAGATTTGAGTAATTATTACATTTTCATTGATTTTATTTCAGCAACCAGTATGTTGTGACTAATTATTGTCAACGTAATTCTATACATGTTGAATCTATAGATAATGTAGAGAAATGTCCACATCTACCATTAGGTATACCTAGTGGATGTAAAAATCTTTTCTTAATGGTCATGTTAGAAAATAATGAAGATAAACAGTTAGAGATGGTTCTATCATGTAATTCACCGTAAGTTTTATTGTTTTATATGAATCAAAAGAAAAAAATAACAGATTAGTTTTCTATTAAAGCAAAGCAAAAGAGCTTAAAAGATATGTACTATTTTAATGTGAAGACATTTGTGTTATTATGTATTTACCGGTAAGCACATCGGAGTATAAATAAATTTATTAATAATACGCTGGTTTGTATGGAAAAGATAAAATTATTACTTTGGCTTCAAAGCTATTTAACTGATAGACCACAATGTGTTATCGTCGAATATGCCTCCTCTCTGGTACCTCAGTTGTCACTGCTGGTGTTCCGCAGGGTTCAGTTCTCGGTCCTATACTTTTTTGGATCTTCATTAATGACATTGTCGAAAAATTACAGTCAAATATAAATTATTTGTGAATGATACATCTTTATGTATGTTGATTAAAGATCCTACAAAAGGTGCCCAAATTTTAAATTCAGATATTGAGAGAATATTCACATGAGCTAAATCATGGCTAGTTTCCTTTAATCCTGATAAAACTGAAACATTAACAATATCAACCACATCTAAGCACGATCCGATTCCTCTTTACATGAACATGGTTAAAATAAATGAAGTATTTCATCACAAACATTTGGAGCTTATTTTTCAAAATAATCTTAAATTGAAAATACACATAGAAAATCTTTGTAATAAAGTTTCAAAATTTATCCACTGCTTAAGACCACTTAAGTACCGACTAGGAAGGAAATCACTCAGAACAGTATATACTTCCTATATTTTACCACACTTTGACTATGCTGACATTATTTGGGATGAGTGCACGGAATACTTAGCTAACCAGTTAGAACAATTACAATTAGATGCTTTATAAAACTAATCTATTTTATAATTCTTTTAATCTATTTTATAATTTTTTCTTTCCTTCAACTATGCGACTTTGGAATAATCTAGATCTTTCTATATGTTATTAACTTTTAAACAAAAACTCTAAAAATATGATCACTTGGTACCTTCTTATTACAATTGGTAAAAGAAAAGTTCAAATCATCCATTCAAGACTTCGTTTATCAAACAGTGATCTAAATGGACATGCATATTTAAGACACATAACCGTCTCTCCATCCTGCCGATGTGGACACAATTTTGAAGATCCATATCACTTTCTGTTGATATGTCCCTTATATAAATTAATATTTTCTGAGGTGCAAAACTTTTTAGAATTAAACATACATTATGCAAGAGCTAAATCTGGCTATTTCAGGTCTTTCTTTAGGCCTGAAATGTTATCTAAATTATTAAATAGACATTAATTAACTTATCCAGACCATAATCAACTATCGATGTCATCCCTAGTCTGCGATATTTACTGGATTAGGATCCGATTTTCTGCTCAACTTTCATTCATGATTAAATCATAAAATGGATAATCAAAACTATGTTTTTTATTGTACCGACTTGGGTAATGATGATCGAGGCTAGGCCGAAAATTCAATATAACCTCTAAATGGCCATAACTTAAATTAGAATTGATCGAAAAGAATTATTTTTGAAACAAATTTTTTTTAAAAAATGAAAAGACTTCTAAAGATACGTTTTGTGTACCATGTTTTGATATTTAAAAGCTAAATGTACCATTGGGGTTCTATTTGTATCATATAGATTATGAATTAATTAGGTATACATATATTAAATTTGTAATATTACAGGAGTGATAGAACACGATGGATTGATGCTGTTACATCATCTAAAGATACAAGTGATGCTGATAGAGTTTATGAAGAATGGGGTAATTTATATTTTTGTAACAATAGTACTGTATCATATTGTCTAGTGGTAATAACACTTTCAAAGGATTATGAAACAAAAACATTTCTTAAAATCCGAGCGAGACATTAATTTATTTTATCTGTGGATGTTATATAACCACATTTATTTTAATAATTAAAACATTGATTACCACTTTCTTGAGATTTGTAGAGATTATTAATCAATGTTGTAAGATGGATTTTGGATAGAAGTGGGAGCCACAATATGTTTAGATTACATTAATTGATACTACATGTGTAGGAAGTCAGCATCTCCCTCCCTTCAAATAATTTTTGGAATTGTTTATTTAATGTTATTGATTGTTTATTTACAGATTGTCCTCAGGTACAATGTATAAAGAAATATGTAGCTAGAGAATCAGATGAATTATCTTTAGAAGTTGCTGATGTTGTCAATGTTTTAAAGAAATCAAAAGATGGTAAGATTTGAATAAATATAAATCATACTTCTTTCCCCTCAGAAAACCTTTAAAGATTTTTATACGCCCACATTTTCATGTGGACGTATATTGTCGTCGCCCCTGTCCGTCCGTCCACAATTGTTTGTGAACATTCTACAGGTCACAATTTTTATCTGATTTCAATGAAACTTGAAATATAGGTTTATCACCCTAAGATCTCGGTTCCTTTCGATATTGGCATGTATCGGACTGTAACTTCATGGATTATGGCCCCTGATTGTACCAAAAATCACGTTTTTAGCTTGTGAGCACTGTAGAGGTCACAATTTTTATCGGATTTGGTTTAAACTTGAAATGTATGCTTATAAACCAAAGATCTCGGTTCCTTTCGATATTTGCGCATATCGGACCGTAACTTCCTGAATTATGGCCCCTGATTGTACAAAAAATCGCGTTTTTAACTTGTGGACCTTATAGAGGTCATAATTTTTATCCGATTTAAAAAAACGTATTATTATATCACCGTTACACCCTAAGGACGGCTGAGTTTGAATTTCGTGAAAATCGGCCCAAAACTGACAGACAAAATGGCCGCCCATAGTTCTCAAATAGCTTAAAAATATGGTATATCAAGGTTGTGGACCCTATAGAGGTCACAATTTTTATCCGATTTTGATGAAATTGAAATGTAAGTTACCAAAGATCTCGATTCCTTTCGATATTCGCGCAGATCGGACCGTAACTTCCTGAATTATGGCCCCTGATTGTACAAAAAATCGCGTTTTTAACTTGTGGACCCTATAGAGGTCATAATTTTTATCCGATTTAAAAAAACGTGTTATTATATCACCGTTACACCCTAAGGACGGCTGAGTTTGAATTTCGTGAAAATCGGCCCAAAACTGACAGACAAAATGGCCGCCCATAGTTCTCAAATAGCGTAAAAATATGGTATATCAAGGTTGTGGACCCTATAGAGGTCACAATTTTTATCCGATTTTGATGAAACTTGAAATGTAAGTTTATAACCCAAAGATCTTGGTTCCTTTCGATATTTGCGCATATCGAATTGTAATTTCCTGAATTATGGCCCTTGATTGTAGGAAAAATCACTTTCGTTTTAGCTTGTTCTCTATCCATCTCTCGAAAATGTGGGCGTATCCTGCCTGGCAGCCGCTGGTTATTCCTGAATTTAAAATTGCCTTGAATTTTCTTTGCCCTAGTCTTTCCTTGAATAATTTGATATGCTTGATTTTATGTCCAAATTTATTTATGAGTTAACCTGCAATGGGAAATGGAGAAAATTTTGAATGAAAACAGAAATAAAGGGGAAATACTCTGTTTTAGTTCAACTCCAAAGCAAAAGGAAGTGAAATCTAAAAAAAGCTTACTGGAAGAGTGTAGGCATGAAGTATCAGACATATCTTTCTCACAGTTCTGTCCATCCTTTCTTAGATTAGGTTCCTACACAATTAATTTAGTTTCAGTGCAATGCTATTTAGTGATAACTTTCGTCAGGGATATACTTATTTTGTTGATATTAAGAAAGCACAAGTTATTTTCTAGTGTAGTTATCTAGACTTCGCCATTTTTTTAAAATAGTATTTATGAATGGTATTGTAATATAGTATTTTGATTATTTGTAGGTATGTTTGAAGGAGAGAGAATACATGATGGTGAACGAGGCTGGTTTCCTGTTGATCATACAGAAGAGATTGTCAACTCACATGTTCGTGCCCGTAACCTCAAGATAAGATATCGTTTATTGATCAAAGCTTCAGAAGAGTATAAAGATAGTAGATTATTTCACATTTCATAATCTATAATCAAACAGAAATGACGATCTGCTCAAATAACCTCCATTGTCCCATGATGTTAAAAAGGTTGTTGAGCTCACCTTCCTCGGACAAACCGATTCATGGAGACCAGTAGGTATACATAGAGCTCAATATTCCATATTAGTATAGCCCAGCTCAAAATAGAAATTATATTAATAAATATTTTTTGTGTAAATGTAAATGATTAACAGATATGTGGCCGAATTTTATTACCATATTAGTTATGTTCTTCATACCATTTTTTAGAAAATACCAGCTTCATGCAATCGACTTTACACATACAAAGTTTCATTGTCACTATACAGTTATTGTGCATTTGTCAGTATATATGTATATAAATATGCAAAATGTTTTTTTATTGTAAATATATTCCAAGAATAATAATATATAAATAATGGTGCTTTCCTGTACAATGATTTTTTTTTTTTTTTGCTTATCTACGCTGATTTTATATATATATATACATGTAGAACTACGCTGACTTTTATAAGTGTACTTATTGTTTGTTTAGCTTTGTATGTTTTTTTATAGAGAATCTTTTTGTATTAAAAAGGTTTACGTTAAAAGATTTCAAGGATATTACTGATCTAAAGATTAAGATGTAGAATTTAAGAGATTTCAATTGGAAATCCATGAACGGTACATAATTTGATTAAAACTATGCTCATTTGGAACAACCCATGTCACTTACATATAATATTCTATGGTATCCATTGATTAAACGAATGTCTATAACTTGTAAATACTGAATGGCATCTTTTTTTTCATTTCTATTCATATTTCTCTTCAATCAAGCATAATATTAATTATAGACTGAAACTAATGATGCATTTTGTGTAATATACATTTACTGTCAACTTAAAAAGTTTAGATCATCAATCATTATCATGTATAACCAGTGCAATATTAGTTTAATAGATTCGGTGCACTGTTAAAATCACACATTAACAAATAGAATAGGTAAAACGATTTTAAAGTTTTAGCTATCACTAGAGAGCTCACATCTTTTGAATGATGATATTAGGATACAATAATACATGTTGCTGTTCATATGTAGTATGGTTTATGTTCTTTTTTTCCAGTACCATGTATGGTATAAAGGGAAACTAACTGAATTATTAATTATTACTCATAGATTTTATTCTAGTTTTTAGAACTCAAAACCATTAATGAATGACTTGTATATATTTTAATAAAAATATCTTAAATGATTAATCTATAATTATATTAAATTGTTAATTGTGATATATGTACAAAACAATATAATAATGACTATCAAACTTCACATTTACAAGTTAATAGATCAAATAAATTTTACATCCAACAACTGCCACCCTTCAATGTCTATATGTATCTTTAAATATAAAATATTACATCATCCTTCCAATTTTAAAACTAATTTAAATCTTATGTCTATATCTTTAAATACCAGTATTTCATCAGGCATGTCTGTAACAAATTTCAAAGTTACAAAATGGATAAGATGATATACTTATCATGAATACTGCATTGCTGTTCATGTGTGTATTTACTTGGCATTATAATAATTTTTAACAAGGTTATTGTAGGAGTTGGAAATCAAAGTCTAGGATACTTGTGTGCATTCCTTATATAAGCCAATAAAAATATACCATAATATCTTTTAGATATATATATAAATAAGTTTCTAAAATTGTCAGTGGACTGCCAAAGAAATATAAAACCGTTGATTGAACCATATCAAACAAATTATGCATATCTAATTAAACCAAATATGTTTGTGTATATGAAAAGTAAATAGATGATATGTAAATATATATTTTATGTAAATATGTATTGGTGTAACTGAATTTAATTAATACATTATGATTATGAAAAAGTAAAAATGTACTTTTTTAAATCAACAATATAAAGAGAAGTAGTATTTTTGCTTTATTCTTCTGAATTAGACATGTATTTCTTCTATATATGGACCTGATTAGGGGTAATTTACAAGTAGAATGGAAACAATGGCTGTAGTAACAACAAAGAACATTCCAGTTGTAGCAGGGACTATAGTATTACATGGTTCCACTACTCCATTTCTTATGATATTGTGTTATAAGAATTTTGAATGATCAGCAAATGTGTTCTTTTACTAAAATGTTTTATTTATTTGTAAATAAACAAATTGTACATATTGCTAAATTTCTTTTGACAAGATAGCCAAGTAATAGCTGTACATTTCCAATTATTTGTTGCTTTTTAACAGAGGAATTTTAGAATTTTACTGTAATTGTATGACACTGCATTTTAGATCCAGTTTCTTTTAAATAGATATTACAAACCAGATAGGGTAAACATTTAAGACACATTCCAATTGTTAACTCTTGTTGCCAAAATTTATGATATAGGTCCATAACGGAATTAGGGGTTTCCATTCATAGAAATCATTGTAGATTAATACAAGCAATTCTGATTCATAAGTCACAAACTGCCTACCAACAAACTAAAAAAATAAGACATATATATAATGTGTGTTCACAATGTTATTATTTACTTGTATTATATTTTTCTACTTGTGCTTTCACTTCCTGTGGTTCTCTATGTTGCCTTCTATGTCTTTATTTCCTGTACTTATATCCTACTAGTAGTCATAATGTAAGCACTAATTGTTTATGTCTTGTATAATTTTTGAATTATGTCTTTAAGAACTTGTAGATTGAAAACAAAAACCTTATGACAGATTTTAATTTTCCTTCATTTCCTATTATTTTTGTTTCTACCAATATCCATAACTATTTTGAAAAGAGAATGTTTAAACTAAAAAAGGACCAATATTTCACCATCTTTCAGTTTATGATATAATACCAGTGAAAATCAAGCTTATAGTGAGATTTTGTTTTATAAAATCTAAGGGGATTTTTTATACTTATTTACAGAGGAATATATCTATATAAGAAATGAGAAGACAATCTGTTTATTATTTAGCAACATCAAAGTAACTGATGTTTATTATTATATTTTAACTGTCAACATGTTTAATGGTAATGACAGTATATGTTATTGATGTATTTTGTTGTTATTTTTGTTTTTTTAATTGGCTGATAATGTTGATGTTTTATATGTAATTATTTCTGTGCTATATACATATATTATATGATATACAAACAGTATGTCCAATAAACAATTTTTTGCTATTGAATCTAGTATTTTGTTATTACTTCGTGCAATTTATTTTGTCCAGGGGACGTTGGGTAAATGACCAGCCCCCAATCATTCTGGAATTTTTTTAATCGATCAAAATAGTGTTGTTTTGGCCTATTTTAACTCTCATAACAAAATCTTATATCAATCTGTGTAAAAGTTAGATAAAGAAAAAGACAGAGCATTATAAAAGTTGTTTCTATGGCATAAATAAGGCAATTCTGACCATGCTGAGTTTTGATTAGATTTCATTGGAAAATTTGTTGAGAAATATATGACATTTAAATAAATTCTTGATCTAGGAGTTCTTTTAACATTGGGTTAAACTCGACTTAACATGAAATCTGTACTGAAATATTCTCTTCAATTTTGATGTTAACGGACATATTTTTACCTCCAAAATTTCCCTTTAAGTTATTCGCAATTTGTTGGTTAAAGTCTTAATGTAGTCACAAATGATTGGGTGAATAGAGGGTCACTTGCCAAGTCCTACAGTTAATACTAAATGTCAAATTTTGTCTTCATGTGACAGGAAACTTTTCTCATTTAATTTCCAATTAAAATCAAGATTTAAATGTTTTGAAAGGTTTAATATCTGGAAGACTATAATATGCATCATGAAATTCATCATTCTCCTTACTTTCAATACCAATATACTTCTCATAGTAAATATTTAAAAACAAACGTCTTATATTACACTCTTAAAAACAAATGTAAATAATAGTATGTTCAAAATCCAATTATTATGGCACACATAAAGTTTTACAGAATTAAAGCACTAAAAACTAATTTATAAACAACAAATGCACAAATTTTCGAAGTCACTAAAGAAAAAAAAATAATAAAGAGTCTACAAACCAACAGAAAGTGTCCTGCCTTAAACAGAAAATATTAGTTTATAGACGACACTCATTAATCACTTGCACATTTATCTATTTATAAAGGAATAACCAATCATCAAACTGCTTATCACACTTCTTAATCTAAGCTAAAAAAAATCATTATCGACCTTAGTCAAGCTATTCAATTAAAATCAAATTGATTAGCCTAAGCAGAAAATGCTCATCATCAAACTCACTAAGACATTCACCTAATGAACACCTAAACCAAGTTTGAGAAGTCTACCTCAATTAGAAGCAGAGTGATTGTGTTACAAAATGTCTGACAGACGGACAATCCCATTTCAATAGGAAGCAGACAATAAGAAAACATGACTAGTACTTCAAAGACAACAAACATGTAACACCTGTAACACAGTTACAAACTATATGGTCTACATTTACAGCTCATTTATTTCATAACAATAAAAGTTTTGCAAAATGATAAGTTAACTATTTTGCTTTCTTTGGTTCTTCCTTTGCCTTCTCGTCAAATGATGAACTGAACCAAAGGCCTAGTAATAAAATAGCGTGACAACCATGTAATAAGGAACTACTCATTATGGTGGAAGGATATGTATTCCATGATAATTCAATCACTCCTAAAATTAAAACTCTGAAAAGAAAAAAAAAATCATAATGCATCTTTATTTTGGCTTCAGATGTTATATAAACTATTATTTAGACATTTATTCACATGACAAACTGATAATAAACTCTCTAAACCATCAGACACCTGTTAGATATTTAACCATAAAATGGATAATCAAGACTTAAAGATACATTGTGGTAGATTAGATAAAGAGCTGGCAGTTCTCACTATAACAGTTAAAAACTAGATAATGTAAAGGCAGTCTCAATTGTCATTGCTACCATTGCTAAGATAATAAACAAAGTCTTGATTATCCATTTTTAAATTAAATCATTAACTTCCAATCATAGTTAAACCTGTTAAAAATCTAGAGCACCCAATGGCATCAGAGTTGATTATGGTATTGGCAAGTTAATAAATGTATAATTAATAATTTATATAACATCTATGACCTAAAGAAAGACCTACAATAGGCAAATTTAGATCTTACATAATGCATCTTTAAAATAAAATCCACTACACTACATTTCTTTCTAATGTGACCTCTGACATTTGATAACTAGAAATCCTCTCTACTTACTGTAATGTATTAGGAAAACTAATAATAAATTATACTTACTTTAACACGGTGGGTATGGGTGTTGTCCATAATAGATAATGTAAACCATGAAAGTACCAGATATAAAACTGATAATGAAGGGAGCGACTAAAACACATGCCAATAAAATTTGACGTAAAAAGTGGCAATACGATTTCTTGAACAAGCATTAAGGATTGATAACAGTTTCAAATCTACTCATAATGTAACGGAGAATACGATAAGTGTAGACAAAACAAACTAAACAGGACACCAACATAACAATCATTGGATAAAGTGTCAAATACAAATGTCAAAGAATCAAATATAATGTTTAAATATTTACAGCGTAATTGCAATAGCTGCATTTATGCTTGAACATAGCAATGTCCAGCGATTATAAACATACCACTGTGTATTTACAAGAATTGTGAATGAAATATTTTTTGATCCACAGTTTTTATTTAATACATTTTTAATGAATTTTAAAATTCTCATCAACATATTAAAAAAAAAGGATACGGTTAGCATTCAATCTTTTACAACTTGCCTTCATCCATAAACCTTTACAAACATCCGGATATAACCTTTAAAATCACAACATTATTTTTACATGTATAAACAACTCATGAAATAAAGTTAAATTTATTCTTAGTACTGGTAGATATGAATCACAAAAAAGTCATTACACATAATGACAATAGTAATTTATTTATTGTTAGTAAATTAAACTTGAAATGTTATTTATATTATTTTGTCATAATATTCTTTTACATACCTTCTAAATCTAAAGAAGATGAATATTAATAGAACCAACACATGACCAGCAAGTAGAGCTAGCTGGAAATTTCTATTTAAAAATATTTCTTCTGGTACCAAACGCCAGTTAACTGTCCATATATAGAAAAATTGACGACCAAAATCAAATGAGCGAAGAAGATAGCCTATTGGGTTAGCTTTCAAGAATGGTATAGCTAAAGCAACCTGAAAAGAGATACAATACAAAATAAAATGGGAATTTAAGCCTACTAATGCTTTTGCAGAAATACTTCTTCCCCTGACTACAGAGATATCTAAAGACACACTGCAATTATGTGAAATACATTTTATCCTAGAATAGTTTAATTTCATTTTATCCTAGAATAGTTTAATTTCATTTTATCCTAGAATAGTTTAATTTCATTAAGAATCAATCATCAAACTAGTTACTGAAAAGTGTCATGCTTTATAATTTATCATAACTGCATTCTGACATGTTTAAAAAATCCAGATCATCATATCGGCATGGAATGGGTCATATTCTTGAACCAACAGAAAGACGATTTATCGGCCATAATAAGGATCACAGACTCACTAATCAAAATAGTTGATACCGCCTCAGTTGTGCTTACTTCCAGTAAACCTATATCCAATTATTATACATCACTCAAACTGCATCAATTCCATTTTTTGGGAATGTATAGTTCATATAAGAGATAAGGTGGCTATGAAGACCTGGTTATCCCGAATGTCAGTGACTAGTTTTGTTCGTATTGAACTCTTCAGACTGATTGGACTCACGTGTTGGGTGTTTTTATTTATACAAATTGGCGGGGTTTGCGAATTTGTTACCGGGGTCGCTAGCTCGCTTTCCGGAGTTGTACTAATCGTTTAGATTGAAGTGCTAGTGTCCATAATTTTGCTAACTAGGGTGCCTTGGGTTGGTTTGTAACATTGTTACTTGTCATAACAATGAAGGGATAGTATATAGACAAGGGTGTTGATGTAGCACCCGTGAGAGGGGTATAAGGCTAAATATAAATCCAAAGTGGGAACACTCAGGGGTAGAGCATTGTGATACAAAAATAAAAATGGTTGGAGTGCCCCAGTTTAGATATGTCGTTGATTCCATGAAGTAGTTAGGTTTTAGAACGTTAAATACTGTGTGATTCAACATGGCGCCCAAGGGGTTTAATATAAAATAGGTACGAAATAGTACCAAATGGTTTATTGGTATGAAAGTCAAGGTTTAGACTATAATGCCTTGGAAATCGGAAGTTGGAGGCGACTAATATGTGTCTCTCTTATGTGGACCGATGTGAGATTGTCCGTTGTGTTAACTGGACGAGTAGGCCTATTCACTTTCACCTATTATCTCACTCTCTGCTTACGATCTCGTTATGGCAAATTTTGTTGATCAAACCGGTCGGTCGTGATTCCTTCTCTTGCCTCGGAATCAACCACCATTTTGACGGAAGATATTCTCTCGATTAAAAAATCTTCTTTTTCTCTCAGCTACGAGAGATACGTAGAATCAAACCGGTCCAGAGCCGATCGTGTTGATAAGAATCTGCTTATTTGACATTGACAAATAACCGAAGGTGCATCGTCCTTGAGGAAGAGCAGAACAGTAGGACGTTAACCCCATTTCATTTCATTTCAGTTCCTTGAGGAAGATAACTAGCCTGAAACATCACATAATTATATTGTGTTGTATGAACAGATAATGCTTGTAACCACTGCTGTAGAATGTGGAATCATTAAGTAGAAAATTTAATATTTACCTGGGGTAAAGCACAAACTATCAGGTGTTTAATAGTTCCTAGGGTACCCTGGGATACCATTAATAAGATAAATACAGCTGGTGAAAACAATAACAGATTCATCTTGATAGATACACCCAAACTACAAAATACAAACAATAATAAAAGATTCATCTTGATAAATACACCAGAACTACAAAATACAAAAAATAACAGATTCATCTTGATAGATACACCCAAATTACAAAATAAAAACAATAACAGATTCATCTTGATAGATACACCTGAACTACAAAATACAAACAATAATAAAAGATTAATCTTGATAGATACTCCTAAACTACAAATATCAATTTTGGTGTTACCATCTTTTTGGTTTTAAATCATGTCTATAATTACGTTGATCAAGGATCGGCAGCAATTGGACTTAGTTCTTTTAAGTTACCTAAAAGCTCTAACAGTAGGTATACAAATGACATAAATGACACTTACACTCGGAATCTGGCACCGTTGACTTCTAAACATGGGCTTTTTACTATTTAAATATTTTGTCATTTACTCATACATTATTTTAAACTAATGTTTAGTATGAATAGAAAATGGATAGAAATTATACAGTAGTCATTAATTAGCAAGTGTGTAACTAACTGTAAAATATGTCACTTCTAGTGTGAAAGTGTCACTAATTCTAATACCCAACACAAGGGAATATACAAACTTGATAAAGAAAAGTAGTGGATTAGTGGTGTATATCATTCAATAGTTGCAAGTTTTAACACCTTAGTGATATAAAACATACATAATGACTACATCCTGATTACATATACATACCTGTACATAAAACATCCTATTGTCCAGTGTTGTCTTAGAAACAGATCTATTGCTAAATACATAAATATCATGGCAACTGGATCATTAAATAATCGTAAAATAAAGATAGAATGAATTCTATATGATGCACAGCACATGAAGAAGAAAACATATGGTGGAACCTGAAACATACAAATAATTGTATCAATATTATCATTTTCAGTTTCATCTCATTAAGAAAGATGGCATTTAATATCCACTCAAACACAAATTAGGTCATTTCGGGACTAACATATGGTTCAATTTTATTTCAGTAATTCGCCTGAAGCATAGGGGTCTTAATCAGTAGGAGGGAACTGGGGACCCAGAGAAAACTCATTTGGTTGGGCAGATGATCCTACTACTTGTCACGTACAGGCTGGGAATTGAAACAAGAGGACAAATCTATGATCAAAATCTAACATCCAGTACCAGTAAATCCAGAGAAACAACTGTGTTATACTTACTCTTCTAGCATATCTATAAATATCAAACACTATAAGAAGTGTTAATATATATAGACAAGCAAATATATATTGTGCTAGTCTTATATTAGTACCATGGTCTGTAATATAGTATAAGGCTGTGTAGATATAAACAAAACCAGCTGGATATCTGAAATAGACTATACAAATTATAATATCATATAAAACAATCTGTAGTACTTTTATTATAGAACATCTTCTACAAAAATGATTCAAATGAATTCTAATTTAAAGATGCATTATGTAAGCGCTAAATCTGCCTATTGCAGGTCTTTATTTTGGCTTCAAAGGTTCAAATGTTACATAGACTATTAATTAGACATTTATTCACATGACAAGCCTATAATCAGATGATGGAGATTCAACCTTGATCATCATTTAATGATTTAATTTAAAAATGGTGAATCAAGACTTAGTCTCTAATAACAAGTACCATTACTACGATAATAAACAATCTATGCCACAACTTGTCAAAACTTCAAACAGTGATAACTTTGCTCATAATAAAGTAATTTGAAAGAAATTTTCAATATACATGCATTATCTATTTTTGAACTATTAGTATTATAGCCAGAATGGCTAAATATTACATAATGCATCTTTAAGTTATGGTCATTTAAAGTTTAGATTTATTGGTAGGCCTATCTATTAATTCTAATCCACCATTTTTATAAGATTAATAAAGCATTTAATTGTGCTATCTTTTTTGTACAGAATATCTTGTGAAAGTAAGAGCATAGAAATCACATTTACACTCTCTCTATGCACAGATTAGTGCCAAACCCAAAAAGATTTAATGTAAAATTCAATTTCTATTTACACTAAAGGTCCAGTATCTCCTTTTAACTTTAAATAATCATATGTTCCATTGACAACTCCTTCTACTTCCTGCATGTAAGCTTTCCAATCTATCTCAGTATCTTCAAAATAAAAATGATTTTATTAAGTGACAGGGATTGCTAGATGTGATATCTGATGTAAAATAGGAATGTTGCAGTGTATAATAAAATTATCAGATGAATTTTGGTTAGTTGTAATTATAGTATTGGATTCATAAAATCAAAGAAAGCTTGCCAGGCACCGAAACACACACCCACAGTTAAAGTCCAAAAGGGTTGTCGAATAATTGTTATTTTGTCGGTAATGAAAGCAATTAAACCGAAGCGTTAAAAGCTGACTTTGCCCAATATTTTAAAACGGGATGTTGTGTAGGCTAACAACAGAAGATACGTGACATAAAACCACAAGTTAGTAGGAAGTTGCGCATGACTAATGTACCATAATTATGAATAGCCTATCCGATTTTGTTAAAAACGCTGCTTGATTAACTTTATTGACAATATTTGCAGATAAACGAAATTGTGCCACTAAAACATTGGGCCAGGTAGGTTTAATAAGTCCTGATAGTATAAAATTACCATTAAGGAAGTTTGCCAGGTGAAACCAACAAAGGCCTCAGTACATACATGTACATACTACATGTATCAACGTTTTTAGCTACCTTCTTGTAGCTAGTAGGCTACATTGTGCAAGTGACTTGAAGTGTGGGATTGAAACCACACCACTTGACTCAATGACAGAGAGACAGAGAGAGAGAGAAAGAGAGAGAGAGAAAGGCGGTTTAACTTCCACACGATCCAAACTAGGTAATTTTGGGACTAACATATGGTTCAAATTTATTTCAATAATTCGCTTGCGGGCGCAGGGTCTTTAGCAGTAGGAGGAAACAGGAGGGCCCTGAGAAAACCCATGAGGTTGGACAGGCGACCCTACTCCTTGTCATGTGGGGAATCGAAACCATGCCCCTTGACTCAATGACAGACCTTATGATCCAACTTGCATGTGTTAACCATTCGACGACCACACTCCCCGACTCAGTGACAGACCTTATGATCTAAAACACATGCATATGAAGTCAACATCTAAAATCATGTTCGATTTCTTCAATATTTTAAATCTTGAAAAAATCGTCCGTAAAAAGAGTTATTTCCCTTGGCCTGTTCTGTAACTCGATAAGGTTTTGAAGACATATTCCCTACGGCTACTTACATTTAATTTTATGTATAACAATTAAATTTACAACTAGCTCTGCAAACAGAAGTAACAACATAACTGGTATCGCATAATTGGGATCAAAAATAAATTTTTGTAGTCGATAAATTGAAAATCTAGATGACTTAGTCTTTTCAGGAATCCTTTTCATGGAGGCTGCCATATTGAAAATCAGTAAAATCAAATTTGGAACCGGAATGTAATATTCGTATTTTTATAAATGAATTTATTTTCTTCATGAGAAATAAAACATTCAGAAAATATCATCTTTATATATCAATTTACTCAATTGTGGTCACAAATATTCATAATTATTATATATACACGTATTTAATTATATTCCGTTTCTTATTTGATTCTCAAATTTGTATCTGCTCAAGTAAACAAGTAGGCAAAAGAAAACGCAGTTGATCGATACTGTTTAGCATAAAACAGAAATGGGTATTTTAAACTCGATTTCGGCTGGATTGTTTTTATTTTATTTTTTACCACTAGCTTATTCAGCTATGGAGGTAACCTATGAAGAAGATAAACAAAACTGTCCATATTTTTGTGAGAATATTTTAATTATTTTACTACTGTTTGTACTACCGTTCTGTAGTGATTGTTCCTTTCAGATTTGTCTCAGAACGGATTCAGTCCTCAGATCGTTCCTGTCCATTAACTAGCACTATGGAATAATTGACAATAAAGCTCTACAGCCTCTGTTCCACGGCTATTTTGGAGCCCCTACCATCCATTTTTCACTGTACTACAGCTTTGTTCGCCAAAAAGGAATCATTTCTCACCACATCTGACAAAGCTATGAAATTCAACACTATTTTCGAGTGGAATTTTGCAATTCAGAAACATAAACAAAATATGTCTGGATTTGCCCATCATTATGCAACAGGTTTTTTTGGGGGTTTTTTGTTGTTGTTTCTGTTTTTGTCAGATGTGGCAAGAAATGATTCTTACCACACCACTGGTACCGGTTTCTTACTACACTGGAAATGTTACTTGCTTGGTTTTATCTTCAATATTTTATCTTTTAGTGTCATATCAATTATTTGATGTCTGAATGTCTCACATCTGTAAACTGTAAACAAATGCAGGGGGCACTACAATGTCATAGCCAAAAATATTGTTGCCTGTGCTCAAACTGTTAATCATTTACCTGCACTTTTCCAAAGATTCAGTTTAGGCTCACCATCATGTCAGTTTGGTTTACCTTTTGCACTTGGACAACACCAAACTGCCCTAACAAGTGCTCTTCAGACTGCTCAAAATGTGTCCCCATGAACTAGTAAATAGTGGGAAAGCTATTTACATATCTGGGGTAGTTTGAGGTAGTCTAAGGAACAGCAGTTTAAGACTGTTTTGATGTGTCCAGGGGTGTACCGGTTCAATATTTCACTTTTCTTCAAGTTACTGGGGTAGTCAATATTTAAAGATACATTATGTAAGATGTAGATAAAGAACTAGCCATTCTTGCTATAATAGTTCGAAAGTAGATGATGTAAAATGAATAATTTGAAAATTTCATTCAAATGACTCTATTGCAAGCGAAGATATTAGCCTTTGAAGGTTTGACAGATGTGTGCAATAATTTCAACCACCGTACTGGTTGATCGAAGCTAAGTCTCGGTCCTCCATATTTGATTAAATCAAAGTATCGCTGAACCATTCTAATCTATTTAATATCGGAGAAATCTGATGCCATCGAGAGTTGATTAAGGCCTGGATCAGTTAATTAATGTCTAATTAATACTTCAGAAAACATTTCAGGCCTAAAGAAAGACCTGCAATAGGCAGATTTAGCTCTTGCATAATGCATGTTTAAATGTACCAAGATAAAGAGTTAAATTTAAAGAGACTTTTCTTGCTTCCAAAATGATTTGATTTTTTTAACAAAGTTGATAAAAATGTGAAAAGGTTATAAATTTTAAAATAATTTTTTTTTCTATATATACAGTGGAGAATAAAGAATATCAACGCTTTGCTGTTCCAACCCATGGTTTAGTGAATTGTTCCTGGTATTCACACAAGGCTTGCTGTAAAAGGACAGAAGTAACTTCAGTATTTTCCAAAATGTATCCTCTTTATGAAGCCACAAAAACATGTTCTAATATGATGAACTATTTGATGTGTTATTTTTGTAGTCCAGATCAACATATTTGGTATAAGCAGTAAGTTGATGTTATATTTGTAACATATTGGTACATTTGTTGGTGTAAAATCCTTTCTTTCACAAAACTGGTTGTCGAAGGAAAATTGACATCAAGTGTGGTGTACTGTAGAATCCTAACAAGAACTAAGAAGAACCTACAAGGTTCTATATTCTCATGGGTAAGGGTCAAGTACACCAGAAGCAACAATATCAACAAAAAATACACTGAACTTGAGATAAAGACCTTACAGAGATTTAATACAAAACATGAAGGAATAATTCTATTTCTACTACTGTAGGATTTATATGATTGTGTTTCTGGTAGACTAAAGTAGCCAGAACTGATAAAGAATAATATACTGAAAACATTATCAAATTGTTTTAATCAGGGACCTTATTGGACTGCAAAATGACCTGGCAAGTCCAAGTAGATTTTTAAATATCCGGTACTTGGCGTGATTTAAGATCAAGGAAAAACATAAAAATTCACAATAGTCCATTGCAAGCTTTTCTTTCTAGGTTTCTTTGCAGTTTTCTATGTTTTGCAATATGGTATACTGAAATTATATCACATTACCCGATCAGCTGGTGGACATTGATCCCAAAAAACTGTGAAGTTGTCATTGTGACTGTTACTGTCTTATATAGTTGACATCGGCCTTAAGGTTTCCCATGGTCACTTTTGGCAGCATATGCTGTTATTAAATCTGACAACTATTGGCAGCACATTTAAAAGATTTGTCAGTTCAGGGACTTTTGAAGTACAATTTACAAATGTAGATACTGCTGTTTTTGATAAAGTTCTTCTCCATTTTATTGTACATAAAGATGTAATCAAAGTAAATGTGAATAGCGTTTTATTTGTTATAAGGCGATCTAGACAAGAGATCAAGATAATAGGGCTAGTGAAAGGTAAAACGATCATATTGATCAGTATCCATGTATTTCACGAAAATAAACAACCAGTATAGACATACAGTATCAACATTTACTTTTTTTTCAGGAGAGCTAGGGTTTGTACTGATTTTTGCACTAATTTGTTTGAAGAATGTAAATCAGCATCATATAATGGGAAAAAATTAGGTAAGAAACAAAATTTAATTATTTTTTTATTACCAGTTTTATAATGCCTCATGATAAGCAATTAGATAAGCAATCTACTTTATAATGAGTGCCATCTATTTATTTGGGATTGATGCTGGGGACATCTAACATTTAGGAAAGCTGGAATAGGACTAATAACAATGACCAGTGACAATGACTGTCTTTGTGGAAGTATTGAGTATAGTAGTCTGAGCACACATGCTACCATCTGTCACAGGGGTGGATCCAGAGAGGGGGGGGGGGTTTGGGGGGTCAACCCCCTTCCCCCCCTGCTCAGCTACATAAAACATTTTTTGTAAATCAACACTTTTTAAGAGAAAAGTTTCTCGGCCGTGTGCTTTATCCTTTATCATCAGATGTGGGACAGGATGGGCACTCAAAGCACGAGATAATGATATAGACATTATGTGATATCACAATTAATGCTTTGCATCCATGACATTGAATCACAATGTCATTGTATTAATTCATAATAAAAATTGAGGTCAAATGAGGTGTTGGATTTCTCTGTTTAAAAAAGCTCAATGTATGCCAAAATGACGATAGAGACCATGCAGGAGGTTGGTGGGGGAGATACATTGTCTCAGGAACCTGGCAAACCCCCTCCTGCAAAAATTCCTGGATCCGCCCGTATGTCACTCAAATCAACTAGCTTACAATGCCACCTTTGGTATATCAGGTTGTTTGTGGTTGTTAAATCTTGAGTGGTATGAAACAGCATTATTTTCTATTGAACATTTTTATTTTTCCAGGAAGTGAATATGAGAATGGAACATCATTTTGTGAGGCACAAGATTTTAGTGTGGTAGAAGGGAATTGCTTTAAATATGATCCTAAAGTTTTTGATGGAGCCGTTCAACATATCAGTTTTTACTTACCCTATATATCTAGTCTTATCATGATTTTAACTGTTTTAATTATATAGAATAACATGAATATATATGTTTTTAAATAGAGATTAAAGTCAAAATTTACATCGAAATCATAAATAATTTTATTTATGAACCTAATACTCGAATTAATGCCATTTGACGTCAATTGTCAGCCAATCAGATTATATCGTTTTTGCCACTTTGTAAAAGTGGCGCCATTTTCTCCATCAATAAGAACATTTAATTTCAAATCAGAGTTCCCGCGGTCCTTGAAAATCCTTGAATATCCTTAAATTTAAAATTTCATTTTCAAGGTCTTGAATATCCTTGAATTTCGCGTAAATAGGAAAATATCCTTAATTTTGTTGCAAATGTCTTCAATTCTTTTTAAATATGAGATTATAATGATAGTTGGTAATGTTTTGGTTATTTTTAAGATGAAAAATTGTAACTTTAGGCTAAAAAATGTCCTTGAAAATCCTTGAATTTGACGTATATTTATCCTTGAATATCCTTGAAAAAATGTTTGGCAAAGCCGCGGGAACCCTGCAAATTTGAAGTCTGTGTCATTTAATCTCAGCATAAGTTTTCTTTAGAATGAAATAAAAATGACAGTAATGTTAAACATTTTGCCAAATGAGTATGTGAACTTTCTTTTAAATTTGAGTAGGGTTTTCAAAAATCGCTTCAAAGATGCATAGGGGCATGACTATCTTTTTGTGGTTAAGGATTTGTTATATTTAATGATCTGTATGTAGTTCCAAATTCATATGATAAGAACATATTGTTGTTGATTCCGAAACACTGTCTATGTTTAATTCCTGCATGTCATCTTAGTTGTAGCAAATGAAAGTATAGATATTATGCCAAAACCTTCATCTGTACCTTTTACTGTACATAATCCACTTGAAAGTTGTTTTATTGTATGTATTTTGTTATTATTGTTCCATGTGCAATACAGCTTTAATACATAAGTTTATCTCAAATTATTGTGATAGAGCTATTAGTTGTTATAATTTTTACAAATATTTGTGTTTATTGGGTTATACAAAATGTTTTTTAGACTTTATTTATGATATACAAAATGTTGTTTATTTATGTTAGATAAGCTTCTATTTATGTTATACAAGGTTTATTTTGTATTTTATACAAGTTTTGTTAATATACATATATTTATATTAAAGGAACAATATTCAGACTAGAAGGAAGATATAGACATTTAGACTATATATAAATTGATCAATCTTCACAGAAGTTATGGCCGTCTAAATTTCCCTTTACTTTGTATTGATCACATGCTACTAACTTGATTTTACAGTTTATTATAATTAATTATATTGTAATTTGTCCAGTATTCAGTGATTGCTTAAATATTGGAATAGATGGATTGTTTTTTTTAATTTAAGATATACTATATATTTCATTGTTGTTAGTGCAAAGCTATATTTACACAGACCAAGTTTCTATGTTAACCAAAGTTTGATAATGGAAACAGGATCTCCACGGCATGTTCCCTTATTACAGGCAACATGATGTGGCATATAAACTTAGTCAAAAAGTGAAACTATGACATAGTAGAACACATCTTATCCCATGCTTGTACCTTTTTAATGTGCACAATGAAACATCCCACAAAAACTCTTCAAAAAAAGTTTCTAAAAAGTGTAACAAGAACAATTTTCATTAGCTATGCTAATTACCATAGCTAAGTATATTGTAGTTTTCATGTAAGCTTAGATTTATATCTAGTGTGAACATTCTTAAACATAGACTTACTACTACATGTATATATTGTTTTAATAAATCTAGGCTATTAAAATAATTGTTCAGATTATTTGTTGTGACTATACCAGAGATTTAAATTAAGTTATATTTATAGTACTGCTTTCATGAATTAACGAATGAAACGTGCTATAAATGAATTGTAACATTGACACCTGCTCAACTGCTTGTTGTTATTGCACAGAAAACCCACCCCACTTCTCTATATGATTTCTACTAAAACTAATGTTAACCAGCAAAAGAGTGCAATAACATTGAACATGTCTATTTATTGCACGGTTAAGCTCCACCCAATCTACTAGAGGGAAAACAATCTAGACCGGAGGCTCAGTGCGGGGGGTCCATCAAATGGGCACAAAACCAGACCCAACTTTTCTAGAGTAAAATTTTGCCGAGTGGTAATCAGTCCGCTGTTGGGGCGTTTTCAAAATATTGGGGGTCAAAGGAGGTCATTTGCACTGAAAGTGAATGGCAGCCATTCTTATATATCATGAAAACATGCTGAAAAGGTAATCATTCTTTCAATAAAAATGTAAAGTTGCTAAATTCACTTTTGTTCTTTGTGACACCGGAGGTCAAAAGGTCATATTTTCCATTTTTACACTGGGAAGATTTAAAGCAATAAATGTCAGCGTAAAATATAAAAACTTAAAGCGAAATCTGTTCTAATTAATAATAGGAACATTTAAAACTTACCTTTAGGTGGTATTAGCACTGTACATTTACTTTGGAACGTCGAAAACGATCTTGCATAACAGAACCAAAACACTTCGAAACCTGTTCCCAAAATACGTAAAAACTGTCAAATCGAAATCTCACCGATGTAGTTGAACAACGATTGTTATACATAATGAAACTATAGTTGTCGGAAAAACAATTGAATAGTTTCATGGTTGGACTCCAGCCTACAGGCCGCGTGGATTTCCGGGAATCCCAATCTGGCAAAACCGACGTTAATCTGTGACCGGAAAACACGTATCTGACGACGAGATTAAAAGTTTGCAAATATTTTTGATGAGTTTTCATGTATTTCGCCGGATCATGGACACAGATAAAACCGACGGATGCATTGAACATAATAGCTCACGGGAAATAAATGCCGTATTGGTAAGTGTTATCGGGGGAAAGTTTGGCAGGTTTCGTGACGAGGCCTGCAGGCTGGAGTCCAGCCATGAATAATTTATTCAATTGTTTTTTCGGACAACTGGTTTCATTATGTATAGCAATCGTTGTGAAACTAATCGGAGAGATTTTGATTTGATGGTTTTTTCGTATTTTTGAAACGAGTTTCGAAGTGTTTTGGTTCTGTTATGCAAGATCTTTTTTCGACGTTCCAAAGTAAAAGTTCGGTGCTAAGACCAACTAAAGATACGTTTTAAATTGTACTATTATTAATTAAAACAGGTTTCGCTTTAGTTTTTATATTTTACGCTGACATTTATTGCTTTAAATCTTCCGAGTGCAAAAACGGAAAATTGGACCTTTTGACCCCAGGGGTCACAAAGAACAAAGGTGAATTTTGCAAGTTTACAGTTTTATTGAAAGAGTGATTACTTTCGATCATTTTTAGCATGTTTTCATGATATATAAGAATGGCTGCGCATTCACTTTCAGTGCAAATGACCCCATTTGACATTTGACCCTGAATATCTCGAAAACGCCCCCAACGGCGGACTGATTACCACTCGGCATCGTATTCTACGCCAAATTTTACTTTAGAAAAGTTGAGTCGGGTTTTGTGCCCATTTGATGGACACCCCCGGCACTGAGCCTCCAGACTAATCTGCTTATTCAACGAAAAGAACAAAGGAAGATTTCCCGTCCATGTTACAAATGAAGTTAAATGTCCTACATTTCTGCATCAACCAGACCAATGAAGACAGGTTAATGCCATGCAGTGTGCTATGAGGGAAATTTTGCTTTGGCAGCGGCACTTCCACAGATGGTTCATTGAATTCCAACGGCTAAGGATTCTTTTACATGCATGCCAACGTGTACACGGACCTCGATCTGTTAAAAACTGTAGCCTATGTGTTCCCAGGGTATTTGGCAAAGTGAAGTAAGATATCAATGGTTTTAAGCAAAGGGGATGAGGATAGGGGTGGTAACTCTTGAAATGAAGGAAGAATGCCGAATATCGATCATCCTTGGTATCCCCAGTGATCCCATTCCGTTTCATTCCACTAACCCCTGGGTTCATCGATGGGGGAGACGCGTATTCAAATTTAGCTGCCCAATAAGAATCGATTGCACCCTTCCTCTCATGAAGTCAATGCTTGACATGAAATTGAAAACCTCTGTCGCAGTCACAAGGTTTTCGGAAAACGTGGCATAACGGAAAAGAATAACATTGTGTCAACCATTATGGACTGACGGAGGACTGAGTCGAGTTATCGCGGGTATATCAGGATTTAAATTAATAGCCATATAAATAAGTTAATAGACAGAATGTAATATGGTCAGAGGAACGATGAACGATTATTTGATTGTGCGAACCTAAAGTTGTATATAGTTGAGAGAAAAAGTCTAAAGTCTAAAACGGGAAAATAAAAGGCATCAGAGATAATTCGAAAGCCCCCCTAATTTGATAACTGGCGTTACATACGATCAAATCATCAGTATTGACTACCAGGCACTAGGACACAATATGTTTCATCAACTAAGGTACGCCAAGTAACGCCACCAAGACAGCTGGGTACAGTAAGTGTCATTAACCATACACGTAACTCTCATCAATCAACAGAAGGTACGCAAAACCAACGTAACACGGGAAGTATCATCGATAGATCGACGCTTAGTAAAACCATCACAACACGATCATTAATAATCATTAGTCAAGATGTGCAGAAAATGTTCATTGAAGAGCCCATACGGTTAGCTTATTCTACTCACATTAACATAAACTATTCATTCATTTATTTAAAGAGTACAGTGCAGCTTTAGTATAATCAATCAAGAACAGTACGTTTATGAATGTTCATTGAAGACCTCATACGGTTAGCTTATGCTACTCACATTATCATAAACTATTCATTTATGTAAAGAGCATCGATGTCCATTTAAAAGATGCATAACTGTTATATCGTACACAATTTTAAAAGTAAACCATCAGAGTTTGAGTAGAATATTTTAATTAAACCGTTCTATTTCCCGTTTTGGAACCTGTATTCTAATCAGAACTTCAACGCCTTACGCCTTTCATTTGCACCGTCAAACCTAACCACCAGATCCTAGAACCTCGGCAATGCAATAGACTAGATGTAACTTTTATATTATTTTATAAGTTATAGATTATAATGAAATTCAACTACAGTTCTGATTAATGAACAAAATGATAACGAACTAAATAACAAAAAAAACATACGTTTATTTACAAATGGAATGGATTTCTTTGGTTAAGATTCACTACAACAATAAATTAAATATGCTCAAAATTTGCTAAATATATTAAGACCCCAATCTATAAACGAACGGATATAAGCAGGATCTTTGCCATGTGTTTTTGTCCCATAAACTGTACATCATGCCTGAGTTGCCTACCTCAACTGAGACAGTGGAAATATGTTGGTTTCTGTCACGTAAGTCAAAATCTAAAAAATTTAAAAAATCTCCCACTTAATTTCACATAGCTAGCGGAGACACATTATTTAAGTGACAGTTTTGATTTATCAAATTTTTCTTGCTGTCACAATATTGCCATTTTATGTAATATCATTGGCATTTTATACTTTATTAATATCTATATTTAGTCCGATATAGCGGTGTCGGTAGACAAAGTCACGACAATTGTTTAAAGCTATATTGTATCTGACGTATTATTCTGATAAATTTGTTTTTATCTGAACACACATTCCGTCTTACTTCAACAAAACTGGTCTGATAATCACATAAATCAAAAGTATGTTCTATATAAAACCAATGCACAATAAATTCACATCCACCATACATACTCTTGACACCCGTTTGATGAGTTTGTTGATTTACTCCAGAAATCTAAAAAATGAAAATAGATGCCTGGTGTCCGGGACAAAAAACAACTTATTTTGTGAACGACCAGCCGTTTCATACCGTAGTTGGTTGTTTAGGGATTGCAAATGGTTTTAGGATTTCCTATGAAATACAATTCTTCAATACAATATATAGTTCAGTCCGATTTTGTTACTTCTAAATATTTTTGGCCATCAAATAATCCGGATCTGCTTCTATTGGAAGATAATCGGGAATAGGAGTCTCATAAGGCTCCTCGTTATGATTAATTGGATTCGTGTACCCACTCGAATCTTTGCGAGCAGTTTGTCGAGGCGGCATGCTTTGCCACCTCGAAGATTCTTTATTGGTGTTATTACTATATGGCGGACATCCTATCTGATAAGGCGCCACTCCCAAAGTTTCATATTTGTCATATTCCGGAACTTGTTCCACTGGGTTTTCGTATTGAGGATAATTGGGTTCAGAGGATATTTTTGGATCACAAGACTTGGAATACATCACTGTAGTTGGAATTTGTGGCTTTACATAATCAGAAGAGGCACCGGTAACCACCGCTGCTGATCCGTATTCAAACTTCAGGGGCTCTGGTTCTGCATAAATCTAATAATTAAAATAATTTATTATTAATATTAAGGACCACTTTTAAGGCATAAAATGATTATTACTGCAAAACTATATCAAATAAGAAGAAAATAAAATTTTAAATGCATCCACTCAAAGCCAATACAGTTGTCTGGAATTCTTAATCTCTATAGTATTATCAAATACTTTCCACACCGCGCTCATTATGTTCGTCTAGATTATTATACCTTACACGATGTATGATGAGGTGTGTCAGTCCATCCAGTTTGAACGTGTATCTGCTTGCGTCAATGACGGAAGAATATCTAAAACCAGATTGTTTTGGTTCTGAATTACACCATCAGACCTTATTTGTGTAAAATTTCAACAATGATTATAAAGTAACAATGTACAAATTAGTAGGCAGAAATATATTCACAGGTAAACTAACTTATATAGACGGCCCGCCCACTTAAATTCCTTTAAAAC